ATTTCCTTTTGCTATTTCCGCGTACATGTACTCTATCAGCACTTCTGGTAGTAAATTGATGATGTCGCGAGATTCCAGATGCTACTTGTGATAGGTAACATTGTGCTTCTTATAGAATGGAGTGGAAAGTAATAGCTACGATGCTGACCCCGAGCTTGAATGGCTGATTATAACTCTAGTAGGAGGGGGGAGGGGGGATTCACTATGGTAGGTTACCCCTAAATGGCGACTTTAAGGGGACACGGGGCACGGAGGTGGGAGTTACTATAACAGGAAATAAATTCCGTGCCGGGTGGACCCACACCGATCCGGAGGGATTTTAGAGACGGAGGCACATTGTAAAATCAGGAAGCGGTCGCGCAGTGTTTATGGAAATTATTAGGAAGCCACGCTATATTATTTACATGGAGATTACATGATATATTATGCTTAAATACCCTAACTTCATTTAAACAAAGTCACAAGTCAGGTTTTCCGATTCTTCCGATATCATCTTGAGAAGGTCACTGGAGCGCGGATTTCTAGAGCTTAGCATCAAGATCGATGTCGCTTATTAAGACGGAGTATGGGCACCTACTGATCCATTTACACAGCCCTCTGCCCTTAAGCCGGACAATGTTAAACCATGTAGCCATGTACTGCTGACGAGTGGATAAGTCTTGGTGTCATTTGGAGGGAGTATCACTTCTATTCCTATATATTGCACATTTTAATAGACATCAGTGGTCCTTAGCGGCTTGGCGAATCGAGACAACATTCCTCAAGGTCCCGAAACTGAGGATATCACCAATCCTCGGCGCCCCAGAAAACATCATCACTAGCCTATCAACACCGCAACCCCACCCCCCTGTGGGTGGTAGCCCATGCTGCAAGACGTGGACGTAGCTCTCGTCTACTTCGGCGGGCCCTTCGCCTGCTGTTGTTGGCTTGTCCTTTTGTGACTCGAGCTGCAACTCAAACTTACGCTTCTGCTCGAACGGGTCGTTTTCCTCCTCGTACATATTAGCAATCTCGCGGCCTTGTATGAATAACTCGGCGCGAGCGGATACGAGTTGGCCGGTCTTGGGGCACGTAAAAGATTTAGAGAGGGGCGCCATGCAAGCAGGATGATGAATGATGAAAAGAGGCTCATCATGAGACGATGGCTCTAGATATTCGCCAGCAAGATCGTCTAGAAGCTTGGCTAGTGTCAACTCAGACCCTTGAGCGACACTCGTTCGACCGTCCAGGAGTTCTATGAGCTTGGGAAGCGCATCATCTTCCGAGAGGTCTGGGAATTGAATTTCTAGGACCTCTTCTAATGCTGGAATGAACTCAACCTGTTTCCACCTTTCCTGGGGCAATTGTATTTTTGACTTCTCAAGGGACTTAAGTTGACTCTCCGCAAGGTGTTCAACATGTTTGACAAGACGAGTTATTAGGTCCTCAGTCATCAAAATCAAATCGTCTAGGTTGGAATAAGCAGAATAGAACTCGCACATGGTGAATTCTGGGTTATGGGTAGTATCGATACCCTCGTTGCGGAAGCATTGGCCAATCTCGAAGACCTTATCATTTCCACCAACGACTAGGCGCTTGAGCCATAACTCGGGAGCGATCCGCAAAGCAAGCTCTTTTTGAGCAAACTCGGTGGCTGAGGTCAGAAACGGGCGGGCTGCTGCCCCGCCGGCGTAGTCCGCCAAGACAGGGGTTTGAACTTCTAAAAAGTCTTGTTCGTGGAAGAAATCTCGCATGCATTTAATTATATTAGAGCGAAGGCGAAATGTATCCGAGGTCCGTTGGTTAACGAGTAGATCCAAATGCTTATTCAAGACCATGGTCTCCTGGTTTACTAACTTCTCAGGAAGTGGTGCTAGACCAGGACTAAGCAGTGTGGGGAGCTCGGTTGCCTTTAATGTTAGTTCACCGGCGTCTGTTCGCATTGCCGTACCTTTGACTGAGATAATATCACCGCGGAGGAATGGGTGGAGAGCGTCTTTGAACTGCTTGGGTTCAGGCTTGGGATCTGAAAGCTGACCCAGACTAATCATGATTTGCACTCGTTGATATTCACCCATAATGGAGAGAAAGACTAGCTTCGACCCAGACCTTCTTACTGACATGACCCGTCCCTCTAGAACAACCTCCTCGGAGGCTGGTGTAGTGGCTACATCTTGGTACCTTTCCTGAAAGCTAGGTATGCTTATTCGGTTAGGCCGGGAGCCAAGTCTTGGGTAACGAAGCACATTGTATTCTTTTAACTTCTGAACCCGGAGATCAACATTAACCTGACGGGTGACTAAGGCTACCGGATCACTTGTAGGCGCATCAGAATTGGCTGCTGCAGATCTCTTGGGTACTGAGCTATGTATGCATCTGTGCCGGGATGCATTGTGTAGTTTTGGGTTGTGCGAGGCCTTACTCCTTGCCGGATCACGATAACCGACAGAAAAAAACCGTGCATAGACAGGTGCCCGGGGTGATGGTATTTGGAATAGATATGGGCGTAGGAACTTCAAGTACTGCCCGTTATCCATTGCGAGACTGGAGAATGTTAGCTACAATCATAATCTTACATGTATAAATTATGAAGAAGATGACGGAACAAATTCAGATAGGTTGGCTATTTGAGATCAAGCACCACAGAATGGTGTCAGTCGCAACGGTTCTTAAAGCATTAGGTATCATCATGATGAACTTTTGACGATTATAAGAAATTCATAATTGTACTTACACTTAGAAAAGGCCTGCTTTGCTATTGCAAAGCTACCTCCAAGAATCCCGACAACCAATACCGCCTTGCTTTTATTCAGGGTTTCATATGCGTGTGTTGAGGAAGAAGAAAAAAAATAACAGGTACCTAGGTTACATGATTTCCACTTGGAACTTTTCTGCCGGAGTTTCTCCGTGAATTGCTGTTAATCCGGACGCCGCCTTCTAAATTTGATGATTGGTTATCTACCTAAGCTTGATGCTTGATATCTTTTATCGAAAAGCTTCAAGCTTATCAAGTCACTTTATTCAAGTTCTGCGTCACGTAAATAAAAGCTCGCAACCTAAAAAGTCACACATAAAACAGCCCTCCATCAATCGTCCAATATGTCTTTCCTCGGCTTCGGAAGACCACAGCCCACTTCGGAGGAGAAGATCTCAGCTGTCCAAGCTGAGATGAAGCTCTTAACCCAGATGCACGACCGGTAAGATTCTTATCCCGGGTGTTCAAGCGTCACACCTTGACAATTGAGCCTCTCTTTTCAAGAACGGGATAATACTAACACTATCTTCTAGTCTCACAAAAGCGTGCGCGAAGAAATGTGTCCCTAATGACTACCGAGAATCCGACCTCAACAAGGGCGAAAGCGTCTGCCTGGACCGATGTGCCGCAAAGTTTTTCGACGTACATATGAAGGTATCAGAACTGCTGCAGCAGGAAATGCAAAGTAAAGGAGCTGGAGGCGCCGGGTTCGGCTTTGGTGGTTAATACGAATGAAGAGTGCTCTATGATGCTATACTTATATGCGATGAAGCTACAGCGGGCTATTGCAACGATTGTACGATATGGATACCGGAATGTTAGGACATGCCTAATGATACGGTATATCCAAAAGCTCTTTACGGATTGGGGGGCGTATTTGGCTGGCCTGTCGAATACGCTGGGGCTGTACTATGGGTTAGTTTGGCCATATCGGATTGGCTCAAGAAATGAATATTCTCCTCATCAATTTACATAGGTCGTACTGTTTCTTCGGAAGAATCAAGGCTTATCAGTTGGGCCTCGAGAACACGCAGAGCAGACGTGCTAGAAGACGATGGGCCTTCTATGTTAAAGCGCCGAGGATGCCACTGTGATTCATGGCTACTGCACACGTACGCTGATAGTTTCCCGGAAATGACATACCCGACGTGAATGGCAGTTGGGAATAGCTTGGCAAAGTTTGGCTACTCGGCTCCTGGTCTATCGACAGACCTTGCCATAGGATAGCCTCGCCAATAATCATGCTATGCTCATTTATACCTAGGCAGTTTTGCCCTAGGTCTGACATGTGTGCCAAGAATTAGACATAGTACAATTTTCAGATGGCAGGTTTCACGGTATCAGATCGGTGCTCCGTACTTGATGTGTAGTCCAAGCCTTGACATCGATCACATTATGAAGGCCGAGGACGAACGGCTTCACATGTCAACGGGATAAACCGGGGCTACGGAATATGCATACTAACATTAGAATGTCTTGAACTCTAGCATGACGACGATCGAGTCTGGGGTATGCGGGGTAAGAGATGCAGAATAAAAATTATCTATAGACGTTTAAAGCTATTTGGGATCTTCGTTCCTTGGGATGTTACGGGGATACGGCATAGACTTGCACATCCTACGTACCTAGGTAAGGTACCTATGTTAAAATATGACACCGATCATGCAGTCTACCTCTAGATTGCCGAAAGAATTGTTTCAATTCTTGATAAACTACCTAACATATATTGTAATGGTTTTGACTCGAGATATTTCATATAAGTCAATAATAAGTTAATAATAAGTCAATAATAAATCAGTAATAGGATGGAAGCATATGATGGTACGTACCTATCTAATCTGTCCGGAGTTTCTTATCAGATTAACATGTAGCGACCGTCCAACCTTAGCCGTCCTGTTGGTAACCCCGACTGCCCCGACCAAGCTTGGCCCGAGCTTCCCGTGGGTCTTCAGGGCCTTGCAGCCTAAGCTGGGGGAAAGTCCGGTCTTCGGGTATCAAATGATCTCAACAATTGGTGGGACTGTATGACAAGCTTTTGATAAGTTTCTACATAAGCAAATCTCGTTGGTTGATACTTCCCTTCTTGCATAAACGGAATCCTTTCCCCTCTGCTGCAACGCGCAGTCGCATCTGCCCATCGCCCATTTTTCTTACGTTTATATACCCTTGATCCTACAATATCCCTAACCTATACTACTATCTACCTCCATATATATTTTTTATTCTCCTTCAACATGATGGGTTCCTCTTAATTTCCTCTTCCCTCCTACCCAGGTTCCTTCGTGGTCGCCAAGTGCTCCGTGCTCGTTTGCTCCTCCAGTAGTATCTTGCGCCGAACCGTCCTGCATTGTCGCCCAAGGCCATCGTGATCTAGAAGCTCAATCTTAGATCTCCTCCGTTACACTACATCATCCACAACACCCGAATCTTCCCGCGACCCTCTTTCGCGGATACCTATCGTCGCCGATCGCATCTTAACTTTTTCCATATCTTTCCTGCGTACTATGCGCCTCCGCCGAGCCGCCCGCGTCATCCTCGTCGGAGCACCAGGCGTGGGGAAGGGCACCCAGTCTAAGCGACTTCTTACCCGCTTTCCCCAGCTATCGGCTATCTCGTCTGGAGACTTGCTTCGCCACAATGTTAAAAATCGGACGCCTCTCGGTATCAAGGTCGAGAAGACGATGAAGACTGGTGGATTGGTCTCTGATGACTTGATATTACGCTTAATTTCAAACGAGCTGGGCCGTCGTGGTTGGCTCTATGGCGGACGACCGAATTTCATGACTCTTTCGTCGTCGTCCGAGGCCGCCTCTCTAGATGGCGTAGATGCTTTTGGGTCCGCACTCGAGGTCGATCCTCTTGCAGGGGCAAGCTTATCTCCGCAGGCATCCGAAGACCCCGCTGCTTCGTTTTTACTTGATGGCTTCCCTCGTACCGCCGCACAGGCTCAACGATTAGACGATATTGTACCTATTAACTGGGTAGTCTCCTTACAGACGCCGTTCGATGTTATTTTGGAGCGCATATCATCTCGCTGGGTTCATGAACCATCTGGCCGTATCTACAATACCACATTCAATGCGCCAAAAATACCAGGCTTCGACGATATCACAGGCGAACCACTGGTACAACGAGCCGATGATACCGAGGAAGTGTATAGGACGCGGTTCCAGAAATTTCAGGAAACGAATGAACCACTCCTCGAACATTATGCTAAAAAGGGTGTCTTATGGGAAGTCCACGGCATGAGCAGTGATGAGATCAGCCCGAAACTCTATCAAGAGTTTGAAAGTCGCTTTTTATGAATATACTTGAATTTTCGATCTGGGGTCAGGACGGCAAATAGGACTGGTGAAATGACTTAAATTGGCTGTATATCATCATGTTGGGATTTTGAACGAGCAATGTCTTCAAGCTCAACTGGAGTTCAGGGGACTGGACAACGTGAGCGGACGAACGGCGGACGCTCTACCTTTGTGTACGCACTACGGCAGAAACCTTAGGCACCTAGGTTAGGTAGGGGTATAGGGACGATTTGAAGGTTTACCTATATAAGATGAATTCTGGAACAAATTTATAATTCGGAATTCGATTTGAAGATGATCTATATTGATACTATTGACTAACTCATAAAGAATACTACTCGAGCATTCGGGAGCAGAATCGATTTATGATCAAGAATTTATATACTGCGCTTTTTGCTTTAAGCCTCAGCTTGAGGCCGTGTAAGATTAGACGTTATGAGAGGATAATTCTATCATTCCATCATGTCTTCACTATATTAATTACAACAGTCCACAGTTTGTCTACTTTATATCCGTCCTCCCATCCAACGTTTAACCTAACAAATTTAGCCATCAACCGGGTGGCACTTATAAGGGCCCTCGCCAGTAACATCTTGCACGATCTGCACAACAGGGCTCCGACAACAATACACCTTAAAGTCCGTAATGAGACCCTTCTCATTAAACACCGCCGTGGCCGTCTCCGGGAACGGATCCAACTCCCTGCCGTGCACCACAAGGCGATTATTCATCTCCACCGAGATCTTCGACCCGCCCGCGCTTTCGAACCGATCGACCACGCGACGCTCCGCGATGCGCTGGTCCCTGAGAGCTTCTTTGATGCCGTCGACGACGCCCCGGCGGCCGATGCTGGGCGTTGTGAGCTCGCGCATGCTTAGCAGCCATGCGCGACAGTTGTCGTCGAAGAAGTCGGCGAACTTGTCGAATTCGGCCGGGGAAGAGGAAGGGGAGAGGTTAGCCCATGTGGCGTAGAGGGCATCGAGTTGAGCGTGGAGGGATGCTGTAGTAGGCATGATGGGGTTGGCTTAAGATTAGTATGTGTATCGCCTTGGGTGCGAATCTAGGCTTATAGTTTCGGTCCTCGAAAATGATATAAATATATTAGTTGATTTATTCAAGTAACCTAGGGATCTCGATTACAGAGTAAAGCATATAATTGTTATTTCGGTTCTAATTGTGTAATTCATATTCAATATGGAAAAAGCTCTTGTCTACATGTAACTACCTCATATATATATATATATAGGTACCTACCGTATATATACGCTTCGTCGTTTATATCGATGGGTAAGTAGACCCCTTGCCTTCCCGGTCTAAGCTACATATCGACTATCGACATAAAAGGAACTGTACCTAGGCATGTTTAATTTCCTAGCCTATCATTTTCCCCGCTCATTCTACCTAACCTAGGTATGTACCTCTAATTTTAACAAGACGCATACTTTTGTACAGCCGCTTATTAATTGTTTGCGCGGACATGTTTATCGGTCGAATTGCCTTTTTTCTATGGGCGGTTTCTTCGTCCGTCCTCGCGGAGGACATTTCAAATCGGCTCGGTAAGCCGATCGTAATAGACACCGACATCTTATCTGACGTCGACGACGTGGGCTCCCTCGCTGTTGCCAATGTGCTGCATAACTACGGCCTGGCGGACCTACGGGGAGTCGCCGTGAATACGCACTCGAAGTACGGCGCATTGGCCGTTAGTGTTATTAATACGTACTTTGGAAATGGACATGTTCCTATCGCCGCGATTCGTCCGTTGACGGACGAGACCTTCTTCGATACGCGGGACTTTGTGTAAATCATATCGTGATCCAGTGCGCGAAATATGTTAACTAATGGTTTATAATATAGTCTAAGCGAATATGCCAGCAAGATAGCTCATAACTGGCCTCGCTCCCTGAACGACTCATCCACAACACCAACGCCGGTTGAGATGTACCGCAGGATTCTCTCCTCGGCAGAAGACCAAAGCATAACTCTAATCTCAATTGGCTTCTTGACTAACCTGGCCGCGCTGATGAATAGCCCCTCTGATGACATTGTGTCTCTTACAGGGGCCTCTCTCATATCTACAAAGGTTAAAGAATTGGTGGTAATGGGCGGCCGGTACCCTTCTGGGTGGGAATTCAACTTTGCCGGCGCCGACCCCGCATCCACATACGATGTCGTGAATAACTGGCCACGCCACGTGCCCATTACATACTCCGGGTTCGAGCCTAGCGACAAAATCTTCTCCGGCAAGGAACTTGCGGCCTACGCGCAGCCAGACTCGCCCGTACTCGCGGCGTATCAGTGGTACGTGGGCCGGTGCAGCACCAGTCGCGAGTCGTGGGACCCTGTTACGACTCTGTATGGGATATTAGGGCTCGACGGGTCCCCTGAATTGGGAATTGGAAAGTTGTTTGAGTATGCGAATGAAAATGGGCATAACGAAGTATCGGCAGATGGTACAAACATATGGGTTAACAACTCTAGCATTTCGAACCAGCATTGGTTGAAGCTGGCGAATGGAGTAACGAATGGAACTGTTGCAGGGCTTCTGACTCGGTTTTTTGCTCGTAGCCCTTCAGATAAGAGCTGCCCTACATATAGGCGTGCGCTATTTCAGACTTAATTCATTTGCATGACTGCTAATTACACGTTTATTTTACCATAAGAATGCGTGGCTAGTCCCAGTCTCTCTAGCCCTTCGTTTAATAGTTGGCAGTTGGCGTAGCCTGGCTGAAGGTTACATAATTTCTGAAGATTATTGTGAGATAATCGTTTCATTTTGGATGAGCACGTATAAGCCTTTAATTAATGTAGGTTCTGAGTGACTATTATATATGCTTTCATGACATTCTCTTACACCAAACATCCAATTATCCTGGTCCTCGCTAAAAACCAATCTACTGTCTCGCTTGAAAGAGAAGACAGAACTAATAAGACCTCTTCTATTTCCCCACGTTCAGATCTAAGTAGAGCTCATCACTTTCCGGGCAATATCCTCAGGGGTTTCCTCCCTAATCTCAAGGAGATCCGCATCCGAATCTTCCCTCGACGCTAGGATGCAGCGCGAGTCTCCAGGCGCATAAAGCTGATATACGAGAAGCTCTAATATCCAACCCTTATCTCCCACTTCGTGCTTTCTCCTCCCGCTCTCGAGGAAGTCTTTCGCACTGCCACGTTGGATTTCCCATGTTTGGCCCGTGACCTTTTGGAAGGCGTCTAGTAGTTGGTTCTGGTTGACTTGGATCGAGCGCGCCTTGAGGAACCGGTTTGCGGTCTGCTCTGGATGTTTTAAGACGCCAACGACAGCCTGTCCGATGCCTTCTAGTGTTGTCCCGGTGAATTCTTCGGTACCGTCATCGTAGATGACCGCGGAGCGCTTTTGGACATCGAATCCCATTAAGGGGAAGCGTTTGAGCGCCTATGGGGTCTAATTAGTATCCCGTCGTTAAGATACGTGTAGCTCGAGGACCCTTACCCAGTCGATCGGATTGCCAATAGCTATTCCACTAAAGGTAAACTTAAGATTGGCTTGAGAAAGCTCCCCTGCACGCTCCCAAGCGGCCTTCCTCTGAGCGCCAATCGGTCCAAATTCAGATAGACTGTTGAAGCCAGGACCCCATCCAAAGTCGTCTAATACGAAGCGTTGAACGCCCGCAGCTTCGGCAGCGTCGACCAATATCGTCTGGAATGAGATACCGGCAGGGCCGATGACGGAGATTGCTGCGTCCTGGCCTGACAGCGCTGCCGTTAACTTATCAACTGTGTATTCCGTCCTGATAACGGGAACTCCCTGCGGGAAGGTTGACGTAGATTCAATACGAGTGATGATGGTTACATCGAAGCCGGCTTTTACAAGCGCGGCTGTGATGGGGGTGCCGAAGTTTCCCGCTGCCTAGTATCTTTGGTAAGTTGGGATTTATCACAAGACGGCGTTCGCGAAGAATATATGAAACAGTAGTTGTTCTAATGTTTAATCACTTACACCGAATATGGCAACCTTCTTGATAGGAGACATAATGTAAGGAAACTGCCTAGGGGAGGTCTTTTGTTTCACTGGAAGGGTAATTTCTTAATCACTGTTCAACTAGTGCCATATAGATGGAACCTGATAACTGGGAATAAGTGTCTAGGCGAGTATGGAATAAATAATTCTAAGCTATAGACATGAGTTACTGAGAGTTAGGACATGGCATATATATATGGTGTATTCTTTACGGTATTCGGAATTCGGGATTCAAATTAAGCCGGTAATCTCTGTATGTAGTATTAATAATGCCAGCTCATAGGGCTGATGCCTGGAGTCTTGATGCTGACGGGGGTTAATGTAAATTTGCTACTGGCAGCTATGGTTGGATGAACTGTACTTTATCAAGCTGAAGTGGTTAAGAAGCTAACCTACTGAGATGGGATGAGACGAGGCACACAAGATTAACTTGTTAATAATTGACTGACTAACTAGAGAATCTTAGTAACTAACTACCCAGTTCTTATAAACAAGGACATTCAAATGCAGTCTTGATATATAAGTGTAGAACATTAAGGCATGCATGTAGCGCGATGAAAAGCAAAATCAAAAAGGAGGTTAGGTACTAACTTCAACTTAGACAACATTAGTTCCGGAGTCACGGAAAAAAGAACCTCGATAAAAAACATGGCCTTGGAGGCATCTCCAAGATATATTAATAACCACACTAGTACTAACTGGGTTAGTACAATGTACCCCACACTCAGCTGACACTCTAGCAGCAATAATTTCCACCAGCCAGAATCCACAGAATCTTGAATCTTAGATCTCACTCAGCCCTTTTACAGCCTCAATCTTCGAAACTAAGCATCTCGTACATACAGGTAAATGTGATGGTGATTTGAGTGTTCAACTCATTTCACCAAAAGCATACCTAGCCTTGCTCCAGTCGAGTTGCACAAATTGAGATATTTCTTTATTAGACCTCGCTACTACGACGCCATCTGCGATTAAATTACTACCTACGCTTACTGTTTCGTGTTCATCTTGATGCCTGAGTTCAGACTCCCATCAAAATAGTCAATATCGATAGTACCGATCGCCATGGTTTGAATTCCGCTTACGATATTTAGTTATTCTTTATCCTTATTTCCTATTGCCCCTAGAATTAAGTATTTGCTGTCAAGATGGCTTCATTGCTCATTCGCGTTAAATGCCTCCTCGCCGTTCTGTTTGTCGGGAACGCTGCTTATGGATTATCCAGCTCCGGCGTGGACAAGTCATCATTGATACAAGAATGCCCGATTTTCTTCGATACGGTCAAGCGATGCGATCCTATCGCGCCCAAAAGTTTCCTGCCTCCTCATTTGGCGAGACTTGATAAGGACAAAGGATCTCATTCGCCGGATCTGAATGTTCTGGCAGATCTTCTTGACGCGATGCATGTCATGCAGACGCAATATTTCGCGACATGGCTCGGGACCTGGCCCGAGGCTATCGACTGGACCGCGGCCGTGATGGGTACCCACGTCTCAGGGGCCGTCCGTAGCCTTTCCGAGGCGTTGGTACACATCAACTCGGACGAAGAAAGCGCTATAGACTTGAAACTGGAGTTGAATCTAGTCGACAGGTACTTTACTCAAATTGCGGGGTATTACTTTGGGCAGGACGCGTTTGCGATCCGTAACGAGGCATACGATGATATCCTCTGGGTGGTGCTCGGCTGGCTCGAGACCATTCAGCTGGTGAGCATGCACAGCGATCTTCATTTCAAGTCAAATAAGCAAAAGGAAGTCACCAAACCTGAGCCGAGTAAACCTCGAAGAATTAGTGACTTCTTTTCGAACCAGCCTTACCATGGAAACCTCTGGGTTCCCGCGTTTGCTCATCGTGCGCGAGTTTTTTGGGATCTAGCAACCCACGGGTGGGACACAAAGCTGTGCGGTGGCGGGATGGTCTGGAACCCTCGTCTTTTGCCATATAAAAATGCCATTACCAACGAGCTATTTATTGCAGCTTCTATATCCATGTATTTATACTTCCCTGGGGACGACAATACTTCACCATTCTTTAGTGCTGGGAACCCTGAGACATCCTTTTCTTATATACCTAGCGGGCCGAGAGACGCAAAATACCTGAAAGCTGCTGTCGAGGGCTATAAATGGCTTGTCGATTCTAACATGACCGACCGCAGAGGCCTTTACACTGACGGGTTTCACGTTAGCGGGTATAGCGACACTGAGAATAATAACACGAAGTGCGATCAGCGGAATGACATGGTTCTCTCATACAATCAAGGCGTACTCCTTACGGGACTGCGCGGGCTATGGGAAGCAACCGGCGCTTCGTCATTCCTGCTAGACGGGCACAAGTTGATCCAGAACGTGATCAAGGCAACTGGCTATAGTATTGCTTGGGACGCGCCTCTTGAAACCCTTATGAGGCTGCATCCCGGGCAGCTCCCAAGATGGCACGGTCTAGGCCGAGCAGGCGTAATGGAAGATCCATGCGACGCAAGCGGGACTTGCAGTCAAGATGGACAGACCTTTAAAGGCATCTTCTTCCACCATCTCGCAACCTTCTGCGCGCCATTGATCGCCCCCGACACTAATGTCGACGAGCACGCCTTTGGCGCGGTAAAAGGTGCCCACAGCAGAGCCTGCTCAACCTATAGCGGCTGGTTGAAGCACAACGCGCAGGCAGCGTTGCGCACCCGCGACGAACACGGCAAATTCGGGCAATGGTGGACAGCCGGGTTACTCGCGCACCACTGGGCCGGCCCGTGGCCTACCATGAGAGACGACGGGGTACCGCATAAAAGCGGTGTCGACTACCGCAACTACGGCGTGCCAAACGACACCACATGGCGGGCTCCGCCGCCTAGTAAAGACAAGCCCGGCGTTCACCTGCCCGTTGAGAGACCATTTGAAAACCCAGACCAGGCGCAGAAACCCATGCACGGCTCTGCGGAGAAAAAGAAACGCCAGATCCAAGATTCCAGCTCAAAAGACCCGAACACGCGCGGCCGCGGCAGAACGGTCGAGACCCAGGGCGGCGGGCTGGCGTTGCTACGGGCGTATTGGAAGATCGCGCATGCGCCTTAGTAAGGTAGCTCGTCAGCGACTCCTTTCGGTTGAGTTAGTCAGACAGAGCAGGTGCTGCTGTCGTAAGCTTATTTATTATTGGCATTTAGTGGTATATAGTCCCATCTAAGCGAGTCAGCAAGTCTGATAGTCTCTCCGTATCGAACCGCATCGCGTGCACATACAAAACGAATGGATACCATTGGAAATGGGTAGTTGGTTAAGATATTAACCTAGGAGGTAGGTAGGTAGGTAGGTAGGTAGGTCTAAGCATACATCTGCTGCACTAGCGGTTATATATATACTATTCTGGACAGCTACGACGGATCTAGGTAGCGTAAGGTACAGCTTTGTCTGATAGAATAGCTTCTGTCCAAGCTTGGTGCTATGCTAGTTGTCCTGACTCGTGCTTCCACGACTTCAACCTCATTGCAAAACAGCCGTCCTTAAGTCTGTCTGTCCTGATATCGGGAATTCAGTCAAAACTAAGCAGAAAAAGCAATGCAAACACACCATCAAATCACGTAATTAGTTACTCCTTCAAAAAATCCCACCAAAGTAGTTGATGCCTCAGTTCTGCTCGCCATGGATATACAATGGTTCTTGCATGTATATCTAACTGACCTAACCTAGCCTGACCTGACCTGACCCGACCGAGATGACTCCACCTCACACAACTCATCCCTTGCCTTCTCAATAGGCAGCCTGGAATTACTTATGTAGTGTACGCAAGCTCCCCAACACCCTAATACACAAACTCTGAGGAAACCAAAGGGCTATGAACCAGCATCTTCGGACAAATATCCTTTCAAATCATTTCCTAACGTGAAATAAAGCCTAACTCCCTTTGCGCGTACGCCTCGTCCGTGACCCATTTATGTAAACAGTACAGTTAGGTAACACATCCCCTATTGAGCCTCTCTTCAAACACAGATATCGAGCTTGTCTACTCGATTTAGTCGTATTCTTTCCCATCTTCCTCGTAGTCAATCAAAAAATAAGTGCCTCTTCAGACCCTTCGGCCTAGTGCTCCCGCCATTCGCTTCCATTGCTAATACCATTCGTATTCTTACTCGGCCCTGAATGCGATGATGCCGGCTCTGGCAATCCCTCCGAGTCGTCATCGTCGTCGTCGTCAAGAACTCTAGCAAGCTCGTCGGGATCCTTCATCCTAGCATCTGGGTCTACAGCTGCGTCGCTGAAGTCGTCATCGCTATGGTTCTGCTGCTCTTGCTCTTGCTCGTGCTCGCGGATGCCCTCATCAGCGCTGATCGAGATACCCCTAGAACCCCACTTGGACCTGCGCTGCTGGCCGTTGCCATTGCGGCCAAGGGCAGGAGCGCTCTCCTCGTCGTCCGTCTCGGCAGCTTGGAAGCGCTTGTTGCCAAAGATGCGGCCGAGGAGCCAGCCGCGACGGATGTCGTCCGAGTCGACGATACCGCCAGCCCGGAGCTTGACGCGCTGACGCGTATAGTATACCCAGAAGAAGTCGACGTATAAAGCCGTCTGGATGATACCGAATATGACGGACACGGCGCTCGGCTTGCGATCGTTGACGTCGAGTTCTCGCCAGATCCAGTTGAGGATGTATAGGCCACGGTACGAGCCTAGTGTTAATAGGTAGAAGGAATCGATGACGGTCGGAACATTGGTCTGGCGCAGAAGCAGTAGTTGGGGGAGGACGCAGATGGACTCGAGGATGAGAGAGAAGTCGTACATCCACTATATTGCGCACGCGTTAGTTGACTGGGCGCGGGGTAGTAGTTTAGAAGAAGAGCAGTATGTATTCGGACTAACCGTGAAGAAGCCCCAGCGCTTCTCAAAGATCAACATGACGAAGGGCGATATGAACAGCGATCCCATCAGAACTACAGCGCCTAACTTCCAGGATATCTCGCGCTCCCTAGTCCGAGGGAACAGCCATCGCATGATAATGAGGATATAGAAGGAGGACAGGATGTAGAAGAGCTTAAAGAAGTAGTTCCAGTTGGACGTCTCGCGGAAGAAATCTGTGTACCTCGTACAGAAGACGACGGCATAGAAGGCTTGAGTGATCATAGAGACACCTACATAGAACGTGTTAGCTGACATAAGCTCCGAGATAGAGGGGGAAGCTTTGCTCGGGGGTTTTTACCTTCAGCGCTCCGGTTGCGATGGATGGCGAAGATCAGGATGCATTTCGAGAGCAGATGGGAGCAGTCTCCCAGTATTCGAAATATCTAAGCCATGTTTTCTCAGTATAGTTCTTATAAAGGATAGGGAAACTACAGGTACTAACATTCCACGCAGTCATTTTGACAGGGAAATCGGCCAGGAGCTATGAGCTATGAGCTATGAGCTATGGCAGCTCTTGGTGATAGGTGGATGATTGAAGGTAAATCCGGCGGCCCTGATTTGCAGGTCAGAGCCGCAGAAGCAGCTGTTGTTTTAGGGGTGGGATAGTAAAAACTTGTAGGAAGTCTCACAGAGACATCCGACGATTGCACGAAGAAAAAGGTGGCCTTATTATGTGGTTTGTGGTTAATAGATTGTAAGCTTAGTATAGGAGATGTGTCGCAAAAGGGTGATGTAGATGCATAATCGAATGCACGGCGACAGGCGATGACGGTTATTACGTGTATCCAAGAAGTGGGTCCCATCGTTACATAAGAGTAACCATAATAAGGTTAGCGCAACTCAGTTACAGTATGCCCTACCTACCTGTACATAGGTACATAGTAGGCACGGTACCTACACATTGACATTATCCGACCGGTGGCTGTTATGTTTTGAGCCACCATCTGCTTGCTTTACCTATTCCCTCCCCTGAACGCCACAACACCATCAAACCAACTACCTAACCTAGGTTACATCACATCACCCTCAACTATATATAAACGATATTCGATGAAAATTTAAAGCCAGAATTCAGTATGTGGCATATAATAGTCAGTTACCTGGTAAATACGCACGCACGCATTGGGGGGGCTAGTTAATAGTAGACAAGCGGCATCGGGTTTATTTGCTATAGCCTACGGCTTGATTAAGTGCCTAACAGTTGAAAAAAACAGACGACTAACCTAGGCTAGGAAACAAATGAATAACGAACGTTGCGACAATCTGGATTTTCGTAATTTTTTTCTCTTCTCTCTCTCTCTCCCCAAAAACATGAAACATGAAACATGAACTCATAGCCTTCCCGGCTTGCAAATCGGCCGTGGCCGTAACGGCAAGGGAAATAATAGCATAGCAATCTCTGGCGGTTCTTCCTCGCATTCGGCGGCAACGAATCTTCGGGTTTTCTGGTTTCCTTCCGAACGAAACCACCCGTGAGGTTCTATCTGATCTCACAACACGATTTTTCTCCTTACAGCAGGCCTGGGAGGGCAAGAACTCCGAAGTTCGTTGCGTGTTCCTTGAAGCATCCCCAGGTGGACGTAAACACAATCTGCGTCGATACTCCATCTTCACTTTTTCGTTGTCGGCCATTCATAGTCGTGATATTGTTGACGAAGGTGTTCTGTAATGAATGCAACGAGGATAACTAACAGCGCATACTTAGACAGCCGGGGCTGCTGGAGAAGGCGGCGGCGGACCCTGAGGTAGGCCTCCAGTCGGGTGATTAATCTTAATGTGGCCGAAGAGGGCATTGTTATATAACACATCCAGCTTTCTAGTGGCTGGATTGTAGTCCACCTTCGTGAGACCATCGTTCTTGAACAGTTTGTTGAATCGTTCCGAAATTCTCACGCGTTTCAGAAGCATAGACATCACCGGGCATGCTTCCAAATCACCGACAACCTGATCGTTGTACTTGACAGTTCCATAAACGATCGCTCGAACAGTTTTGCAATATTCAATCTTAGTTAAGCCATCAGGCTGGAAGAGATGTCCCGGCAGAGCAGTCATCGGGGCAATAGATCTAGAAGGCCCGCTGTTGGAAGACGCAGCAGGTTCATTAGCAACAGAGACATTGGAACTAGGCCCCCAGCTGACTTGTTCGTCGACAGGAGGTGCGTTGGGTATGTCCACCGGGGGTGCATTAGGGCGCCTAAGAGGGGAATGAATCTTCAGTAGATCCGTACTAGACTCGTCAAGGTTCGCGGGGGGAGGGAGAGGGACCGGCATCTGTCGAAATTCTACAGTACCGATAACCTTGCTGTCGAACTTGATCTGAATGCGCCAGAGAAATGGCCAAGGTTCCAGTCCGGTGCGATCATGAGCTCCTGATAGGACATATGTGATTGTCGTCGCCATGTCATATCCAGGGATCACCGGAAGTAAGTCAGGAAAGAAATGCACTACGCCAATTTGTTGGCCGTCAAACCTGATGATCCGAGACGACGGGATATAACCGTTGGGAAGTAGCTTGGTACGATCATCGCAGAATAGGTGTGGGTACAATCTGGCCATTTTCTGGTACTTGTCGTAGTCAGCCTCGGTAGGATTCTGCGGACTCAGACTCTGGTAGAGGTCGTCTAGGTTGGCAGCCTGTCCAGCCCTCTGCGAACTGTTGCGTCTAGGTAGATTCATAGGGCCGGGTCGTTGACTGCGGCGTGCAACTGCCCCTTCAGGGACCACATTAAAGGGGTCTGCGCTAGAGGAGCTTGCACCAAAGTTCCGCAAGACATTCTGCCTAGAGACATAGTCCTCGTCCGAGTTATCATCATCGATCACTATCACAACTCTCTCCTTCTCTTTCCCTTTCCCTTTCTCGACTCTCGTCTCGTGATCCTCGACGTCCGGACTGGCATGCGGAAGGTCATCGTCGGTCATTACCACCACCTCCTCTTTATCGACTATCGACTCATGATTTTCAACCTCCATGCTAGCGTACGGAGGGTCTACATGGTCGTCCATCAGGCCCATACTGGCGAGACGCTCCGTCATCTCCCGTTCGCCCCCGAGCTGAGAACCCGCGGAGTCAGATTCTTCTGGAGTATCCGGGAATTGGTAGGCATCAGCGTCCTCGGGGTATAACTCATCTTCATCTTCATAATCCATAATGGGTTCAAGTTCTTCTCTTAATCCGACAGCAAGAGGCAACTTCAACTTATAATCAGGTCCTACGCCCTTCAGGACCCAAAAGCCAGAATCGAATAGCTCAAAGGTTCCATACTCTGTCTTGAGGATCCTCCTTGGTTTCTCTTTTGCACGAGACCGCTTCTTAATAAGATAGTTGTCTGCAAATAGATCATCTGGGTCGCACTCTAGTCCTTCAAATGGGGTTCCTTTGCAAGGGTTTTCACTAGACCGGCTTCGTTTAGAAGGGCGAGTGCGAGGAGGATCGTGAGGGAGAGAGCGGCGAGGTCGACGAGGTGGAGGTGGCTTAAAACCGAAATGTTTGGCATTTCGTCGGTCCTCTATTTCCTGCAGCTCCATCGCGGCCTGTAGCGATATAGTAGTAGATACGTATGAGACATCAGTCTCTTTAGCAGCCTCTTCGACATCCCGTTCATGTAGGAATTTTCTGAGTTCTTCCTCCACATCCCAGGGGAGAGGAGAACACTGGGCAATTAGATCGTTTCGCTCCATAATTCCAGTAAGCCGGTTCCATTGTGACAAGTCCGTGAATAGATCTTCGTGGAGGGTGAACGGTAGAGAACATTTGACGGGAGGTTCGAGTTCCTGAAAGAAACAATACTCTACCTCGGTCCTCGCCTTCCAGCACACGCTCATATATTCTCGGATCTCCCGCGGGTCCGGAGGCCGGGTATTAGGGAGACCCTCGTTAGGCAATTCGTGTTGCCAGAAGCTAGCTTTCCCTGCGCATCGTAGTATCAACCAATTCCAGACTGCCTAAGCCTCGATTGGTTTACAGTACCCTATAAACTTGCACACCTTGGCACGGAGTAGCTCTTCACGATTGAAGCAGGTGTTGCATGGCTTGGAAATGAAACCCGTAACGAGGCGAACAGAAAGTGCCTCTCTTCCCCGTCCCAGCCAAGCCCATTTCCATAGCGTTGAATTAAATTCCATCTCGACCTCTTTGATGCCGAACTTGAATTCCTCTCCGCCCGGCGTTTCGGTGGCTCTTTGGAAAAAGAATGAGGGTTTCTGACAAAGATGGCAGTGAGGGATTCGGAGAGTGAGTACTCGGTGAGGCTCTTCGTTTAAACGAGCCGCCCAGTCACCTTTCATCGACGTTTCCTCCGAAGCCCATGTAACAGAACCATCTTCATCGATCTTCTCCATCTCGACTTCGGGGCCCTCGACTGTTTCTTTTACCCCTGGGCGGCGTACGCAAGCGCAATTGTCGCATAATTGGTTGACGAGAGAGGTAGGATCCATCGGCGGCCAGATAAGATGTGGGCAGTGTATACGAACAAATGGTGCAGATATGGTTTTTCTGTCGTGGTCGCTGCGGTCCATTTCGTTCTCTACCATATCCTTGCAAGGGCGAATACTCCAATCGGCAACATCCTGGCATATGGGACAACGGAGACGAGATATACGACACATGATGATGAAGGGCGAAGATAGTGCGTGTATAAGAGGTATGTACGTAAGGGGTATGCTAACAACTCAGTCAGCGTCTTTACTTTCTTTGATGGGTATGCCAGCTTTGGGATAGACCTCTAGATTCAGAGGGCAATACTCACGTCAGATACAGTTCGGCCCTTCCAAATAAGCGCCAATAATACAAATATGTATTAGAAACTTCTTGAGAAAGTTGTTCTTGGTTTTCTAAACGGCTAAACAAGCCGTGTGGCACTATTAGACACGGGTTAGTTTGTGTAATTCAGTTATATGATCAATACTTTATTTAAGTTAACATTAGGGATTCTCTTACAATAGTAACTCAGAAGTCCCAAGACACTAGATGGCAGAAGTGTGATCTCGGGTAAAGACGCGTATAAGCAACACCGAAGGCGACAGAGTTGAAACTAGAGAGTGATTCGATGGGCGCTACTTGCGAAATGGAAGACGCGTGAAAATATCAAGAGTCGAAAGCCTAAAAAGGCCCATGTTATGAGTGAATAGCAGACTTTCCACGGAGATGCTTCCAGGTGTTGGTTGTTAGCCTCTATGAGAGTAACGATAGAAACTGCGATACGGAGTGCTTGAAGCACACCTGGATCGCATCTGATATGTGTGTTTAGTTGGAGGTATGGCGAAAGGTAGGAAAAGGAGGTAGGCAGAAGAACCTTTCAACGAATAAATATTGGAACGGCCACAGATATTGGAAAGTGTGAGTGTAAATTTTCTCACTTTGGTTGCCCCATGGTTACCTGGCTCCTAGCTGGCGATAAGAGTTCTACAGCCTTAGACAGACGTAAATCTATCTATCACAGGTGCTAACTGCGCCTATCAACACGTTATTGAACGTAAGGTGCACGGCTTGTACCTGTCTGGGTTTTGCTACGTTGTCTGTACCATAACTCGCAATAACAGGCTGATCCCAACTTGCATCATCGCAGGGTTGGCTGGCTAACAACGAGCTTCGAACCTGACAAGCTGTTATATAAAAATGCCGAAGATGTGATAACTTCATCCCAGGCCTTGAAATAGATCGAGGCGGTCACTTCTGGCTTACAGCCTATATCTACAAGCGCTACAAAGGCTGGCCAGCAACATGGCGGCAACGCTCTTGGTTTACAAGAAGTCAACTAGATCTGGTTTGAGCTTGATTTGTTATGGTGGTCCAAAGAGGATGACTATGTTGTACACGAAGCTATGGAGACGATGATAGAGGATATCGAAACACAATTCTTGTCTGTTAAGGAAGTCCGTAGAAGTAGTTACAACGCCCAAGGGGTTATTCAACAGCCTTACCCTTGTAAAAGTAACATATGCCGAGGTTGTTGGCGCCTCCTTTCAGTGCCCAGAACAAGTCTCGATTTGTCTCCGCATTGGCATTTATTAAAGGACCGTTCGAGAGAACGACCTAGTGTGCAACGTCCTGGTCAAATCGGTCTTTAGTCCTAGCTTGGAAAATATGACAGATCAATATAATATAATAAAATAGGAATACTTTCTGATTGGCGAAAAGGGGTCTAAGGTTATAATTGGCGATATTGTGCGCCCATCTCGCATTATATAGGTACGTATCTGCCTAGGTATCATTGGTATGTTCCATTTTGATAGTGGTCAGCTTGTAGCTCTGCTGCAAATCATATCACAGTATAAGTAGAGAGCGCATATACTACCTGCCTACCATGTACCTACCGGATATACATAGATACAGGAGACATCAATCCGACATGATGACTAGATACAGAGACGTCCCAATGCGTAAAGTCCTACATATAATGAGTAGCGCATCACTCCCACATTCTCCTTGCCTGCCTTGTAAGGTAGGTAGTTTTCCTTTTCTTGTGCCACCAAGGGACTGCTGCTACGACCCCTGTTACGGCCGTTACGGTTATCTTTCATGTATTGGTCTACAAAACCAATCGGAATATGTTGGAGAAACAATTCTTTGAGTGTGGTTATGTCAGAGTATAAGCGGAACTTAGTATAAATTAACTAATCCAAGTAAAGTCCCATTTTCGAACAAACTTGAATGGACCCCGCTTAATCCGTAGGTACCTAGGTATGTACCTACACTACATGGCACTAATTAAGTACCTAGGTACCTACTTTAAGCAAACCGACGTCAACTGTGGCGCGCGCATCACGACGCGTCTTACAACTCGCTTTAATCTCGAATATCTGCATACTTTCGCTAAACGTACTGCATTGTCTGCCATGTGCTTTAAAACTTGACTTTATGTAAAAATCGTAATATACCCAGTTCCTCATATCCGAAAGTGAAATGGCCACCAGTGAGTAAAAACCACAATCCTCGCGAAATAGAAACTAATACAAGGGTACGCTAGGCCGTGAAGAGCGCATGCAACAGCGCATGCGTGGAGCTGGGTATGTGTCTCCCTTCGTTGCTTTGAATTTCGCCGAGTCTCTAACTTCTTAGAATTTAGACGCCACGAAGTTGCCGATGATTCTTTTGGTTTTATCCTCCCGGGCGCCGAAGCTTCTTCCGAGCCTGCTTCGGACCCCCCTCCGCCGTCGTCCGTAGCGCGTTCGGAGCCTAATACCTCTGCGAAGCGACGCCGACTAAACCCTGAAGCCGATTTGACGAGTTCGCAACCACCATCCAGTGCGCTAAGAGCCTCGAGAAGAACATCGGCGCGGTTGAGTGGGTCAAGAGTTGATCCTTATGCCGCAGTCCAACAAGAAAGTCCCGAGGATGCATCAGGACCTCTAGCAGCTCTAAGTCTGGAGAACCAGGAGCCACATAATGAAGATGAGACTCTGGAGTCTATGGACGCTGTCATGCAGCGTCCTGAATCACGTGGATCTGTAGCTTCGCGATTGTCTCCAGGGCATGTTGCAGAAGAAGTTACTGAAAGTCCTGCTGAAGCCCCGGGAAGTGGACATAGACGTTCGGTTAGAGTTCTCCCCGAGAGTATCACCCGGAGCGCAAAACTATTGAAAGCTGTGATAGACGAAGAAGCCGGAGTTACGGGCGAGCTTACTTATTCTTCACCTCTAGCACGGAAAAGCAGGGCTAGTGCTGCCACTTTGGGCGCTGCTTCAGCACGATCAACACGAACAGTAACGAGAGCATTAGGGGGTCTGGAAATTGGTGATATCGAGGAGCCATCGCCAGCGCAAAGAAGTGACGCTACGGCAATTACCGGGTCTACACGATCTACACGAAGCCAAGTTAGACTAGCCACCCCTAGTATAGTAGATGAATTGTCTTCATCTCCCCAAGCCGCAGGTACTGCTAGTCCCAGGAAACCTCAGCCGAGGGTGAAGCCTAAGCCCATAGTTGAGCTGCCTGAAATTCAAATCCAAGCAGCTGAAGAGGAAACTCGAGAAGAGACTCGAGAGGAAGAAGTTGTGGCCGATGAAGAGGAGGCCGAAGCAGTTGACGTCCAGACGGCCGCCCGGAAAATCGGCCGAAAGCGCCCACGGGAGAGTCCACCTCGAGAAGCCTCTCCAGAACTACATTCTAGAGTTGAGGTCAATCGACCAGCAAAGAAAAGCAAACAGAAAAAAGTCCAAGGTAGCCCAGCGGTACAATCGCACCCTAAACCCCCCAAGAAAAAGAATAAGCTACCTCCGAAAAGACGGAGCGACGGCGAAGCAATTCCTATCATTGTGCAGAGATACACGAAGCGAATGCATTTGAATGAAGATGACACTAATGGTGACATTCTCAACGCTGATATACCATTTTCTAATCGTGGCGGCGTCAACGTGATTGACGTCTTGTCGCAAGTATGTGACGAAGTCGTCGAGTCCAGCCTGGAGACGCTTCACGAGGCCGCTGTTAATGCGAAGAACTCGGCTACGAAAAAGGAGTTTAGGACGAAACTCCGAGCTCTGGAGGCATTTAAGGAGGAACTACGAACACGCCTTTTGGAACACGTAAGTTGCCATATTGGTATTAGAATGTATGTCTTAGCTAACAATTTCAGACTATTGCCCTTGACACCATGCATGCGCTTAAGAAGCGTGTACGATCGGTCCAGAAGGACAAGCTTGCACTCCGAACCGAGATAATGCGTATCCGTGCCGAGAGAGAGCAAGTAGCTCTGAAGATGGATGTGGTGAGAATGCGCCACGAGATGGCGAGCAAGGAAACACTGGTGCGTCTAAGATAACCAATTGGGTAAATTTACGGAGTTGTCTTTTCGCTAACTACCTATGTATCAGCATCAACTAGAACTCTCCTCTGCAATGGATGACATTGAATTGGCTATCGAAAATGGGAAATCGGCCCCAGGCCTCAACCCAAAGGAAAAGAAAGCAGCCGAGCTTTCGAATCTGGAACTGTTGATTTCCAGAGTGGCTAGTCAAGCCAGTGGTGGCAGCGATGGTGGTGGAAGCCTTAAACAAATCAAGGACTTTAATGCCTTCCTCGAGCGCGCTGCCGCTGTTCTCGAAGGAAGATGATGAATGTATGACTTAACTTGACTGGCCGACTTTTCCTATTTTGCACAGTATTGGCAATCACATCAAAGCAATGCCAACCACCAGCGTGTTCGAGATATAATTCGGCATCGAAGATAACCCTGGGACACGAGATGAGTAATGATCAGATATTTTGTATAACAGAAGAACCCAATAGGGAGTGGCCATGCTTTGAAGCGAGCATTGCAGACCGCTAAGCCTCTGTTTCGACATCGTGGATATGCATATATAGATATATGGATGATCAACATAATTAAAGAATCCTTTAGTGCTACCCGCCTTGCCATGTCGCCATGTCGCCATTACTCATCAGATGGATGCATGCCAATCAAAGGGTGTTTTATGTAGAGAAGCCAACATGATTTTTATCATCGACGGACAGACACCTGGAATATATTAACACTGCTAATAAATGTTGGTGTCGAATTCTACGGTTTTCGGTTAGCACCTGAAGCAACGTCAAACCAACACACACATACATACAACCTGTGGGGTATATTTTCTTCAGTGCCACTGCTTCAGCCTTGAATCTTGGCATCGCAGGCTTGGAGACTGGGCCTTGATGATCAAATTTAGAGTCTTGGTAGTGTATATTCCTAACATACCTAGCACTAGACATACATAGCACTAAGTTAGTAAACTACCAAACAGGGACTCGGCTCCTTTAATGAAAATGGAAATGGTTAAAAGCCGTGACCTATCAGAGACCCTTGCAACCTTAGCACCAACAAAAATAGCCAACTCCTACATAGGTACGGAAGTCGCCTTCAAAAGTTCTGTCCATACAGAACGCCTGTCAGCTTTGGCCGCAGCTGTCGGGCAGCCTACCCCACCTGGCAATCTAAAATCGTAAAGTATACTAGAATATATCCTTTATTATACATATTACCACACAATTAAAAATATTAGAAAAATAATATTTTTAATTATTTAATAAATATAATGCCTTAATTATATTATAGTATATATTTTTATAAATTAGCTTTTATATTTGAAATGTAATGAGTAAATTAAAGTATAGCATATTTAAAGGTACATTTATTATTATGGCTGCCAGTTGCCGCCAAGCCTTGTCAAGCTGACAGGGGCTGGCCTATGGACAAAACTTTTGAAGGCGACTTCCGTACATACATATGTACATAGGCAGGGGTGGGATGATAGAACCTCCACAAAACCATCGCGATGCATGTCTCGGGGAAAAAAAAAAACATACCTACCACCCAATCCAGAGGCTTTTTTTTTCAGTCTTTGTGTTTCCGTGTTACTTGATATAAAACAAGCCTCAACGTCACAAAACGTCGCGTAGATCTTTGAGAATCTAGGGGATACGATTAAAAAACAATTTTGGGCCGTAATGTAAGTAGTTTTACTAGTCGCTCGTAGAGTCTTTTAACTTCTAAAGTCCCAATACATAGCTACGCCTGATGAGTGCTGCCTTAAAATGCGCACCGTTCGGCTTGGCAATGGCTCAGCCCACAAGCTCAAAACCAACATCCAATATTCATGGCATGGGGTAAGCGCGATATAAGGAGACCTGTAAATTATATATCATTCTGCAGTTGTCTTGTCTTGTTAGCTCTTGTCTTTTGTTCTTCTATTTATATTTCGTCCTTCGTTAGGCCTTCATCTCTTACTAGTATTAACTTACTAGTTATCCCCTACCGCAACTCCACGATAGACGAGACCGTTCCTAACCACAGACACGACACCATGGCCAAGCACGACTATCCGTACAGGAAGAGTATTAACATCACCGCTTGGATCTTGCAGATCTTGGTGTGCATAGTGCTCCTAGCTGCGTCGGCATGGTTGTTATGGTTTGTAGAGCAGCAAGATCTTGATACTATCTTGGGTGATTATAATGGACTTTTCACGTACGCTTTCTCATGATTTTCGACTGGAAAAAAAATCGAGAGGGGAGATGAACTGACTGTGATGAACCATTGTAGTGCCTCTGCCGGCCTTCAAATCGCCATTACCGGCCTTAACATCGTCATAGACATAATCGAGATCATCTTAATCTCCAAGAAGCGAATGCCGCCAGAGTTGTTCCTCGCGAGCGCTTGCATCAAGACCGCAATCTGGGGTATCATCTTCACACTGGACGTGATCGCACAGTCTGTTCTCTCCTGTATCCTGACTATAATCCTACTGTACGTATACACGACCTATCTTCCCATATTAACGAGGAACTTCGACCGAAAGGTGGCAAGCGTTACCACTGCGGCTCATAACCGAGAGAGATGATGCTACTAGAATACGAAGCTAACACCAATGGCAATAGTGTGACGTCCTTGATCCAACTTGTCCACGCAGCGATCATCGTCCACCGCAAGCGACGGGGCACCCTGAGGGGCGGCAACTACGCACCCGCCGTCAACCCGCAGGGCTTGGAGGAGGGCGTACATGCCCAGCCGGTGCCGGGGTACTACTACCCGCCCCCCACCAACACCGAGTACAAATCGCCTGCTCCATCGCCGCCGCCGCCCCAACAATATGGATACCCGGCGGGAGATGCCTACGCGCCACAGGTGCCTGCGGGCTCCTTCGAGCTCGACAGCCGAGCCCGGAACGTTTAGATAACGTGCCGGGTATAAAGGCTTATATTATCTGATGGATTGCATATCAAGGATGCATTGTTGTCTGCTTCGCGTGTTTGTCTGTTTGCTTGCTTGCTTGGTTGGCTGGCTGGACTCGGCTAAACTCGGCTTGTCTGGCTGTTAATTATGATACCTATTCGCATGCTGCATTTAAAGTCTCGCATTGGACATGGTAGCGGTTATGATTATCGATAGAAATAAATGCATTAGAACAGGGTGTTCATATAAACCCTTACATCAAAGCTTCCACGTACGATGGTTGCATTGATTGTAAATGAACTCTTGCCTTTGACGATGGGCGTTTAGCACGAGGTTCATACACGTGGGAGCCATACCATATATATTTATATATCGGCACTTATACCGAAGTCCCTTGCTTTAGAGGTGCACTGGGTGGTGTAACGTCGTATCGTGGATAGTAACCCTGTGGGCGTGAGTGATATTACATCAGACTGATATTACATAGGATTGAGGAACAGGAAATCTTACCCATCTGAGACATTTCTCTTTTAAGGCCCGACAAGGGAAGCAAATGACGGCCTTAGCTTATCTTGTATCTAACCGGCTACTCCGATACTGATTTATACTGAGCAAGATACACGGTAGGTACACGCGTATGTGTTGTAAGCCAATCAGAATTCCCTCTATAAAATTAACATTTGGTAACCAGGTAACATACGACACACTACCCCGGCTTGCGTATATTACTGCCGATGGATTCGTGGGGAATGACGAGGAATTAATTAAACAGGGCTGGCAGATGAATATGAGGTAGTTGATGGGGTAATACGATGTGGATTCATTTATATCTTCATAAAAACTGGCTAAGTAGTAATTACGTAACTACCACCCCAGTACCTTGGATACGACAAGCAAGTACGTACAAAGGTCAAAGCCACCGTCCGGTGTCCCAGCTAACCAATTGAACTATTCAGAATACGGGGAATTTCAAAGTTCCATGTGACATTAGTCTGGACCCTGAAACTTAAGACATCACATATTACATAACTAGTCTTATCTATCATATGAGTGTACCTGACCTAGAATGCTAGCGATAGGTACACCAAACAACTTGGATATAAGCACTGCCTGCATGACAAGTCATTATTTTCAGCTGAATATGGGTCAGGGACGACGACATATCATGACCTAGAAACAAACCAGCCTCCTACCTCCTACCTGACTTGCCCGTATTGAGTAGCTTGAATTGGGCATCGTGGGTAGATGATTGGTTCAATAGGAGCTGCGACTCTAGTCCGATTGGGAGTTCCATGCAGATGGCATGGTTGGCTATGTAGACGGCACGTTTTCGATGGGACGTTCGCACCTATTGGATTAGACTACCTAAGCCTGCTAGCCTACCTGGGTACCTAATCTACCTATGTACGCAGGTGCTTACGACGGGACTGACCGTGAAGTACCTAAGTAGGTGCTGTCAGTCTGTCACCGCCAACAGGTTTACCTGTGTATGTAGGTAGTACTTTCCTATCGACTTCTTGTCTGTGCACGGCCGGTACTTCTCTTGCCGCACGTTCATGCTATGGGGGATCGTCCCGACTGGGGCTAGACTAATACCATCAAGCTTTTGTGGCGTGCAGATTTTAGCTAGGTTAGGCGCGCGATAGGCGTTGCGCGCCTTCCATTCCATGTCCCATCCCATGTCAAGCTTTCCCTACATGTATGTAGGTATGTATAGGTAGGTTCCTAAAAGTTGGTCACGGTCTGGGGTCCTAGGTAGCCCCTCTCCTTCCCCTTGTTTGCGACGTGTGAATGTGAGGTATCTTGTACATCGTAGTTGCCGGCCATAGGATCAATGGGCTGCCTCCCGTTGCCGTTATATCCGCCTGCTACCTAGAAAAAGGACACTTGTTCCTCTTTTCACTCTCTCACATACGAAACTGGTTCTTCACCGCTCTCGAAATCCTATTTAGTTTCTTACTATCATCGTCTTCGTCGCTTCGTCGCCAATCTGCAATCAATTACCTAGTCATTCCCTACAATCGATTCTCTTCGAAAGACCCATCAACATGCCTTCCCCTCAAGAGCCCCAGCAGCAAGCTCCCATGGAGATGACTCCCGTCGACGGCGTCGTTACGCAGCAGCCTGTAGGTTCCTCTTTCCCTTGTCCTATTCGAGTTATATAAGGCAGTCCAATTGACATCAAAACAGGCCGCTGAGCCCCAACCCGAGTTCGGCAGCATGCGTGGTGGTGAAGAGGTAAGCATATTCTTCCCCGAATAACCCCAAGAGTTTTAGACATTGACTTGTTGCAGGCTGGTTGCGAGATCTGCTGCGGCCTTTGTGCCTGCGACGAGGGCTGCTGCTAAACGGCCTAGCCACTCGACTGCCGACACGCTCTCTATTACATTTGCTAGAGCAGTCGGATTGAAGTCCCCGCGATGCAGTGGAACGAGCACCACGACCAATTGACATGTTGCACGGAAAACTCATACTCGTACCCCACCTACTATAACTCTGAAGAAAAACTCATGCACGGATGAGTCAGCGCAAGCGTCTAGGCCTCTGAAGATGTCACGGCATTCGGGATCGAGAGAAAGGACCGGCATTTCCTAGTAATGATGGTAGCAAGCGGGCGAACTCTGGATTTTGGTAGTGCGGAGTCTTATCAATAGAATTCTTATAAAAAAAATTCGATGATTTTTTCATTAATTTCCGTTCCACGTTTAATCCTAGCATCTTTCTTCCGTGATTTCTTCCATTTAAACAGTAATGCCGATGTTGATGTTGACGCTGACGCTGACGCTGACGCTGACGCTGACGCAGACGTCCATGATCTTTGGCGGCCTGAATGGTCAATTAAGCAGCGTTCAAGTCGAACAACTTCTTCATAACACCAGCTCGAAAGATAGAAAGTAAAACACAAAGGGTAGCAGAACTTGAATAACACCACTTTAGTCTTCAGCTAGTCGATATAAGTACTTGGTCATAGCTTCCTCCTTCGCGATATTTCACGACGCTGTTCGTGGTTACGCTGGCGCTGAATACCCCATACCCACACCCGGAGATTCGGTTCTAGCCGTCAAAGATTAGTCAAGAAGGATGCTAGGAATAAGAAAATGACGGCCAAAGTAAACTAAAAAGGATTGATCTGCTCTGTTCGGGCGTTCGTCAGTCGAATTAAGCATTTGCCTTGTGCCTTGGCGATCTCTTGGCTCTTGGCTCTTGGTTCTTGGCGGTGCATCGACAACTGGCATCAAATGGGACCTTAATTTCGCCATCCTTCCCTCATGCATGCCCAGACCCCAACCTGGGTAACATGCTGTATACATTAGGGAGGGAGGTACATTTCAACGGTCGTCTACATATAAAAAAGCACATCTAAATATGCAAGATGGAGAACTGTGCCTAGGTATTCTGCATGCGACATCAGTTACCTAGTTGGAAGAAATCCAACATCACAATTTATACTACACTAACTATACAATTACTGGCATCTGTAAAGACTACAAGTCAGAATAAGGATACGCCGAGAGTGTATTTCGTGCTGTCGTAAAGACCACAAACTGAGTAAGACCCCGAGGTGCTGGCAACTAACCACCTACCTACATATGTATTATATGCATAGACCCGGTACCAGTTCGCACAAAGTCCCTTCACCTTCCCTCAGCCTTGCAGGACCTGTCCCTAAATACACCCTACTCGTTTCTCCTAAAACCCCTGAACATAGCCCCTTTTCCACACCCGAGCTTGATCGTGTGTGTGTGTGTGTGTGTGTGTGCATGATGAGCAGTACAAAGAAAACACCGCGCGCTACTAAGCCTCCTTACCAGGTAGGTAGGTAGGCAGGACGCACGGAAGGCCGGTAGGTAGATAGATAGACGTCTAGACGTCTAGACGGACGGACGGACGGACGGACGTGGTGTGATGTGATCTAACCGCCGCTGTTGCAGTTCTTGTCCTTGTCCGGGTCGCAGTTGTCGGCGGAGCGACGGCCGAAGCCTCCGGAGACGTGGCCCGGCTCGGCCGGAGGGGGGATCACGTCGCCGACGGTCAGGCCGGGAGGGCCCTGGTGGAGGAAGAATTGGCCGATGGCGTGTGCGTTGGCGTTGTCGGTGGCGCACTCGGCCGTGGCGACGACTTTGGTGGCGCCGTCTACGCAGTACGTCTCGGCTTGGACGGAGGCCGCGAAGAAGGCTGCCGCGGCGACTTGGAGGGTCGGCAGGGCGATGTGCTGGCGCTTCATGGTGGTAGACGCCTAGCTAGGTACCTAAGGTAACTAAGGCTTGGGTGTGTGGTCGGTTTGGGTTTGGTTGGTTGGGTTGTGTGCAATAGATTGATGGAGGCTCGAAGATGTGGGTTTCTGTTCTCTCCTTGAGGCTTGGGATGGCTGGGGGAGACCCGGTTTATATATTCGTTGGTAGCGGTGTAATGATACATGGCCTGAGATAAACCCTATGACTGTTCGACGGTAGTCGCCCTAGTGAAGGGGAAATTTCCTATGATTACTTATGCCAAGTCATTGTTTGCCTGTATCATGGGGCTATGCCGGTGGGTTTCAGCTAAAGTCTGGGGGTTTTGCTGACGCGTGGAGTTTGAAGCATCCAGATGTGTCAAGTTATTGGTATCATTCAATGCGCCGTCATGTTCTGCGATACCCTCGTCATCCCATATGATCAACATGATTATACACAATTTGGTAGTCATGCTGACTGTATATATGATAGTCCGAACCTTCGCAACCTCTGAGTTGCTGTTTGTCAGCTCCTTCAATCCTTTTCTCTTTGTATTTCACGTTAAATCCTAAAAGACAAGGTCAGCCAATGAATATCCCAGGGAAAGCATGACTAGTTACTGTTTGCTCCGGTGATTGTGGGTGTTCTCAGATGTATTAGACACCTACATATAATTGTAGACGCACTCTATGGCAAATAACTACATAAACCTACCATCTTTAGCGATTCGCTGATATAGACAGCAGAAGCATCGGTATTATAGACAACCAAAATGCGGCGTATCCAAGTGGAAAAGCGACCTAACGCGACTCGGCTCGTCCAGAGCCAAGGCCTTGTCTACTCCAAGGCACCAGCACCTGGAGATACCTCAGACCCTTACTGGCCAGACAACAGATACTATTCTTTCGACGGCGAAGAGATCGAGCTGCTCGAGAAAGCCGGGCAGGATGTCTTCGCCATGTGTTGCGAAGCTGCCGACATCCTCGTGGAAAACCCCGAAGTGATCACCAGCAAGATGGCGATCCCCGCATTCGCACTCAAACAGATCAAGGAATCATGGAATCGGGATCCTGCCTGGGGAAGTATATACGGCCGTTTCGACATCTGCTTCGGCGGGCTCGACCATCCGGACCCGAGACTACGGGTGCCCAAATTTTACGAGTTCAACGCAGACACGCCGACGTCAGTTGTAGAAGCTGCGTCGATACAATGGTTCTGGCTCGAGCAAACAGGCCACGGAAACGATCAGCTCAATTCAATCACCGAGAAGCTCATCGACGCCTGGAAGAGGAACCTACTCCTGATCGAGAAAACGTTAGGCCATCGTCCCACCGTCCACTTTGCCATCGGACATGGCGAGCCAACAGGAGAAGACGCCATGAACACCGCGCTGCTGATGGACACTTGCCAACAAGCAGGATGGGCTACCAAGTCCATGTACGTAGAGCAGATCGCCAAGTCCCCCGACGGCCGGTTCTTCGACCAAGACGGCCAGCACATCGACGTCATCTTCAAGCTGTACCCGTGGGAGTTCATGGCGGAGCAAGACTTCGGCGAAGCATGCTTCAAGGACATGGAGCGGGTCGGGCAGCGCAACGCGGCCGGCGAATACACCGGAGGCACGGTCTGGATCGAGCCGCCGTACAAGATGCTCTGGAGCAACAAGACGCTCTTCGCCATCCTATGGGACCTCTTCAAGGACGACCCCCGATCCGAATGGCTGCTCCCGACATACTTCGAGGACGAAGCACCAGCCTGGCTAACGCGGTTCGCGCGGAAGCCCATCTTCGCGCGCGAGGGCGCCGACGTCTTGCTGCAGTCGGACGGACACGTGATCCAAGATGCGGCGACGGGGTGCTACGGCAAGGAAGGCTACATCATCCAAGAGCTCGCACTGCTGCCCGAGTTCAAGGACGAGCACGAGCAGGACACGTCGTACTACCCGGTGCTAGGCCTGTGGTTCGTCGACGGCGACGTGGCGGGGATGGGGATCCGCGAGGACAAGACGCCCATCACGACGAACGGGTCGTGGTTCATCCCGCACTCGATCTCGGACGGGCCGGTGAGCTACGACAGGACGCCGATTCCCGATGCGGATGAGATCGAGGCGGCGCTGACGCTGGAGAGCTATGCGGATCTGAAGCAGTCTGATGGGGTGATGGAGTATATAGAGAGCGTAGTGGGCTAAATTAGGTCCGGTGGAATTAAGGGGAGCGTGTGGATGGAATTACCTGCCTCATATGTATGAGACTATGAGTTCGTAGCGGGCACTTTGTCTAGGTAGCCAGGCGAGCCTCGAATAGAAGTTGAGTTATTCTAGCAAAAATATAGTTACGCGATGATACCAGTGTTCTTTAACGCCGTATGTAGGTACTTACTGTTCATGCTGTAGCTAATACGCGCCTAGGTAGGTAGGTACATACATACATACGGTAATACGAAGACGGCAGAACCCTCGATGATAGCTTCGCGCCAAGACGTTACTACACTACATACGACGAATTATTTTTGGCAAATTGATCCCACAATATAAGCTAAACTATGACGGCCGAAATTCATCAATTGGTCCAATCACAACCATCGCATGGTCACCTGGTGTAATGGCTAGCACTGCGGATTCTGATTCCGCCAATCTGGGTTCGATTCCCAGGGAGACCTTTCATTTTGAATTGTGTAGGTTAGGTAACTATGTTTTTTTTTTGTCAACTTTGGTCGAGTCCTGCCATATAAATTCCTTACTTTTCTACGCATTGGAATCAACTATGCTATTCTATATAGTTAGAAACAAGTTTTCTAAGTTGCTTTTCTTTTCTTTTCTTTTCTTTTTTTTGTTCGCACCGACTTATTATTAACCCAGCCCATCACCTTCCTATACATATATCAACCTAAATTACTCTACTTTTTTCTTTGGAATTGCTTCATCCCGGTTTATTCTACAAGTAGAGACGTGAGTTGTCAATACAGGTATAATACAATCGCACCCCCTTAGGCTAGAGGCGAGAGCTACATAATACGTGTTATCCCTTGAATGCGTCGTGAACTTCATACCGTAGCATACGTATAGACTTAGAATAATAAGGTATATCATTTCCCGTTATCGCTACGGAAAGTTCCAGTGACTTTATCCCACAGCGTCTCCTCGCCCCTCGCCTTTCGCGCTTGTCTTTCTTGCTCCTGCTGCTTCCACAAGCCCTGCACCCGCGATGCGACTTCGGCCTTGACGCGGAATTCCGCCCTGACGGCCTCTTCTTCTGCGGCTCGGTCTTCCTCGGCCACCTTCTTTAACCGCGTCCTTAGAGTCTCCTGCTGTTCTTGTGTCAGCTCTTCTACGGGCTGTTGCTGCTGCTGTTCTGGTCTCGGTATTATTGGGGGGAACCGAGGAATTGGACGGCCCTCCTCCCTCGCCGCAGTGATCTCGGCCTCTTGCGACAGCATGCGGTGGTATAGCGTGTCGGCGTGCATTTGGATCTCTTCTTCGGCTTCGGGGGAGCGGTCGAGAGTCGATAGGTAACCCAAGGCTTTTAGTAGTCTCTATTTATAGTAAATAGATAGCTATAGTCAGCATAGCTCTTCTGGAGTATTGAATAGCGATATAGCGGATAGCGGATAGCGGATAGCGATATAGCAGATAGTGGATAGCGAAATGATAAACCCACAGTCTGCGTCATGTAGCACTTCTCAAACTTCCTGATCTGATCGCGGCACATAGTCATACGCTCCGTCATTGTCGGATTCGACATGCACTGCCTCCAATCGACCTGTTCGAGTGCGCAGTTCTCCAGCGCCGCCTTGCCAATCTGGCTCTTGCGCTCCTTGTACCCCTCCAACACGTCCATTAGCTTCTCGTGATCGCTCTTGGTCTCGGCCTCGATCTCGGCTAACGGCCTGTAGGTCTTCCATAGATGCGCATATCTGCCATCTTGGAATTGGCTTTCCTTTGGAACTACCGGTGCATTTCTCTGTTGTTCTTCTACCTCCGTTATCGTCGGAGCCGCTTGCTCCTCCTTTGCGCGGGGTTGCGTTGCTTGCGCGGTGTTGTATTTCACGGGTGATTCTCGCTCGAGGAATTCGCGGAGCTTCGGGTCGAGCTTTCGCAGCGGGTCGTTGTTCGAGCTCGACGTCCAGAGACTATCCCACCAGCCCATGGCAGATCACGATGTCTATACAAAGTTAATTGTCGGTTCACTCCATAGGTATGTATGTATGTATGTATGTATGTATGTAGAGCTCTTTTGCGAAGAAACTTAACTTCCATAGAGACTCGAGAGATGCGTAATGCCAAAATTCGTTATCGTTATCAGATCAAGATATGCAACTAAGGAGATTATTCTAAGTAATCTGGTAATCCGTACATATGATATGCAATCCTTATAGGGGGAATCATTTCTTATAATAACTAAGTCTACCTAGTTATGTTTTCTAGATAAACTTCAAACTTCATATTTCTTCCCAGTCATTCTCTAATACGTGGTGTTGGGTGTACGCTAGTTGCGGATCTGAGTCGAATGTGGTTGATACTGTTGTCTCTTTTCTTATGCCGCTTATACCATCATGAGGGCTATTCCCACCCATAGCACGTTTCCATTTCATAAAAGTGTTCATTTCGTTAGAATTACCACTGCGGCTATCACCAAGAGATTTTCGCGTCTTGAAGATTGCCCTGGCAGTTGGTATCGAGGCAGAAATGAGTACAATGTGAGCCTCGAGGCTAGGAGTTAAGTTATTAGCATATGCTGCCATGTTTAAGAGGCAATGAAGGTACTGTTCACATACGTCCAACATATTGCAAGCTTCGCCATTTGGTCTATGACCGCGTATATGGTTAGCTTTGACTGATATGTTTAGAGTAGTTATTAGTTCTCTGCGTACAAGTTAGGTCATCAGTGTGAGTGAGTGCTTGAAGTTCGACTGTTTTAACGACGGAAGCGATCATGGCACTGAAATGTATCTAAGAGTGAGTTGTGGTCTCCTCAACATCACAAACGCGAAAGGTATGGAATTATGCAACTTACAAGACTCCAAGTCCCATTATTGAACTCAGGATTGCTTTCTGCTTCCAATGCATATTTAAATTCCAGAAAAGAGTGCACGGGAATACAGCCAGAGCCAAGTCAGCCACGGAACCTAAGGCTATTACTGATCAGACGGTTATACATTTTAAGGCTCTTGGATTGCCCACTTACAGCCTTGAACATAAGCACCGCACTTCTCTACTGTTGGGGAACGGCAGTAGAATTTAATGGTTTTGTCCCAGTATCCCCGAGATGGCCGGCATTGCGTATAGACGATGACGACCGTCATAAAATCAGCCATAAAATGGACACCGACTGGAGTCCATAAGAATATCCGCCTTAACCTAGACGGTGGAATGAGCTCCGACAGTAGGAAAGCAAACGAAATGCGGCCGAATAGCGGATTCATGATACCGAAGAATTTGCACGAGTATAACCACTTCATGGAGTTCCTAATCTCGACGTCGGAGAGATTGTTAACGTGCTTTCCAAACCCACACGAGACTGCGATCGTGAGGAGGACGGAATTGCCTATTACGCATAACTGACATTTTGTACCCTGTAAGTTATGAAATCTTTGACTTGACGGGGTTGGGTTATCAACTCACCAGAGTTATAGCAACTATACAATCGTCCAGGTGAAACTTCCGTAGGATGCCTATGCGGACGTAGAATCTCATAGCAACAACCAGTGTCGATATACCAGTAAAAACCCATGCAACAGCGAGCAAGGACGGCCCTAAATTCTCCGAATTATCGTTGCCAGTACTACCCATAGCCAGCCACTCAAAGATAAATTCTAAATCATGTACTTAAAAGCAGGAGAGTGCTGGTTTTTCAGGATACATGTACTTTATATTCATCGTATAGAACAACATTAGACTCATAGAAAGAGCAGTTTATTTTTGCCTTATTCGACTTTCGAACTGATTTAATTATTCGTCATTATTCTCGGATTAGCCCTTGCAATATATCTCTTCTCATAACTGGGGTAACTCACGACAGCGGGTTCGTCGAGTCAGACAATAGCCCAACTTGACTCGGGCCTGGCCTGGCTTAGCTTGGGTAGTAAGGTAGATCTTCTTTTTGGGATATCTATTCGAGCCAAGCGCAAAGTCTTTTTATTCGGTACTTTATATGAGGTATATTAATATACGGTCAAGGCAATATTATTAGTTGTCTCGGGGGTTGGGGGTGGAATATATTGCAGCCAAACAAGGTAATGGGCAATTGGTTACGAAGGACGGGAAAGAAACTGTTGTTTCGTTGGCAACTAATGAAGTTCGTGGTGATTTATTCTAAGTAACCTCATAATAGACATTCAACGACATTGCGGTCTCAGTCCATCTAGAAACCTAGCATATGAATATTGAGGAGACTCGAGGGATTTTAAGTCGAGCGAGCCGCTCATACACCGCAAGTAAGTTGTCGTACACCATAACCATGCCGTTGGAAAATAAAACGATGCGTCTGGTATATCCTTTTTATTTCTCAGAACTGCCAATGTTGCATCTCTGTGCACTAGCAGAAAGCCTATGAATCACCCGTTCCGTATCTGAGATCGTGAAGAACCATGAAGTAACAACGCCATCGATGCCCAGGAAAGATCCCCAACTTAGAACTTGCTGAACTTCTTCACCGCCTTACCGGTTCGGGGAAGCACACGAAGAACGTTGAATCGGACCTATATACCGTACTAGTCAGTAATTTGTCTCAACCTTCAAAAGAATTATTCGCGGCATAAATTCCACACAGCTCGTAGGGCGATAAATGGTAACGTACAGTCTTGCTAAGAGGTCGGCATTGGCCGACTGTGACTTGGTCGCCCTCCTCAACACGGAAAGCGGGAGAGACGTGCGCGGCCAAGTTCTTGTGTCGCTTCTCATATCGGGCATACTTGGGGATGAACTTAAGGTACTCGCGTCGGATGATGACGGTTCGGTGCATCTTAGTGGAGACAACGGTGCCGGTCAGGATACGGCCACGGATGGAGACGAGGCCAGTGAAGGGGCACTTCTTGTCTGTGTTGAAAGTAGAATTAGCTTCATATTTCTGGCACCATTTTTCTTAAAAATCGGTATATCGAGTCGCGAGCTTCGCATAGCTCTAAGTATTTCTAGAAGCAATTCGTATAATGCAGCCGGCGCAACATAAATGATCCTGAATCTTTCTTCCAAAAATCTTTATATATTATCACGTACCGATGTAGCTGCCGTCAATCGCGGTCTTGGGGGTTCGGAAGCCTAGACCGACATCCTTGTACCATCGTCGGCCACCCTGAAGAGGATATTTGTTAGCACATTGACCTTGTTAGTAGAACAAACAGATGAATGGTGTCGCCTCACCTTGCCGGGTCTCGTGGACTTGGCCTTGACCTTGGAGTTCTGGAAGATATGGGGCTGCTTCTGGAAAGCACGCTCCGACTGAACAGTCAATTCCGTCGCCATTTTTGCGATATGTTGTCGAAGTCGCAAAGGTGGTAGGGGTCGGGAATCGTGGTGTTGTTGTGGTGGTGGTTGCGATTTTGCGGAAACTTACCAAGATTGAAAATAGGAAAAATCTCAAAAAGTTATTGTGTGGGCTCGCTTGTGGGATGTGTGGGGATCCACCAAGGTACATTACCTAAGGTACATAGAAGAGGATCAGCCCCGTTGTGGCTTAGAGGCTAGTACCTAGATACCTCTGCAGCTTGATGAAATGGCGCATATGTAACGATAAAGAGGCTGAGTGGATCTTTACCTATGGTACATGTAATGAAACCCCACCAACGTAATGTTCAATGTTTACAAACAACCCTGGTCTCAATTGACGCGAGCCTATGGGAATCAATTTAGCTCGATGTTATCCAGGTACATCAAACGCGCCTACATACAGAGTTGATGAGGCATCTCTACATTCCTCACAACTTTTAGCTTATAGAATTCCTATACTTAGGACATTGCGATTCTTCTATTTGACCCGCCAGTAACGCAGTGTACGCAGTACGCAGTACGATAGCTCCTTAACGGCAGTGACATCTTAGACTATGGGACATCTCTCCCTCCCTTGCCGAAACTTAACATAAACCTATATCTGTCTTTGTTACCAACATGTCTGGTCGCAACGACGCAACCATCCCGTCCACGCGACGAACGAGAAAGTCGGTCGGACTATCGCCTGGGCGGAAGAAGATGGAGAAAGAAAACATCACTGTCGACGTGGCTAGTTCTTTAGCTGGTAATGGAGGTAGAAAGAAGTCACGAAGTAAGAGTATAGGTCCCGGTGGACTGGATGCTCTAAAGCCAGGATCGGGTAACAGACGTGTGGTATGTCCCCCAACTCCTAATGTCCCTAGAGCACATAGCCAACTTACACTCTCAAAATAGTCTTTAGCAGCTCCCGCCAGACCACCCCCGAGGTCAATTCTTAAGCCCACGATGCCATTGCTACCGGAAATCCCCTCCTTCAAATCCAAAAAACCTGCCCGGAACTCGCCTGCCTCGTCTACCATCCAAGGAGCAGACAAGTTACCTAACCCATTTCAGACCGACGACTCTGGGTCATTAGGCAAAAAGATCGCCGTACGCACCGAAGAGGAACAACAGGCCGCTGCACGTGAAAGGGAAGAACGAGAAAGAGCCGAGATGGAAAAAGAGATTAATGATCGCCGAGAGGCTAGAAGAAAATCTCTTGCTAATCGAAGAGTCTCGTTTGCAGCTGAAGCAACCCTTCATACTTTTCATGAAGTCGAGTATATGCACGATTCTACAACCTCAACTGATTCCACAAGACGAGCATCGTCGCTCGCCGCTCAAGGACAAGCATCTGGCCACGCAGGTGAACCTGAAGATTTAGTCCCCAATTCTCCGGAGAAAGAAGATACGCACGGCCAGAGAAGACGTAGAAGCTCGGGCGTCAGCAACCTAGGTTTCAATCAGAACGACGACACGATAGCCTCAAGTATCTATAGTTCAGACTCCGAGGGAACGGACGATGTGATAGAAACACATGAAGAGATTGGTTCAGATTCCGGTAGCGACTCCGATGCCGACGGTGTATCAATGGACCTGGACGTCGATGAAGTTACCGGCACCTCCGTCGCATCTGCTATGTCGGCTCGGTCGGCTATTACCAATGACTCTAATGACACATTGGACACAGCTCTCCGACTCGCATCTCGTCGCGCCGAAACTCAGAGCCTCGACGACGAGGAAGAGATTATTCCATCGTTTGGGTGGGCTAAAAAGCCCGCTCCGAAACAAGCCAGCCCTATCCAAATTCAAGAGAATGCTGGGCAAGAAGATACCGGTGGTATGGACATGGACATGGATATGACAAATGCTGTTGGTGGTATCATTAAAGCCGACGATGATTCCCTAGAAGATGCCCAAGAGGAAGAGATGTCAATGGATGTCACCCGAGCGCTTGGTGGCATTCTCCCTTCCCTCAACAACGCGCGAAATACGCAGCCAACTAGTCCAGACAAAGCTGAGGGGGAGTCCCTGATCGAAGATGCCCCTATGGATTTTACTGTTGCGGTTGGTGGTATTCGAAAAGACCCGCAACCTGACAACAACCTCTTTGACCCCGATGATGATTATGAAGACGAGGACATGTCAATGGAGTTCACTTCTGTTGTAGGTGGTGTTCTTTCCGGGAAAAGACTCGATGCCTCCACAAAGAAAGCGTCTCAAGGCCGACGTCGTACCATCGCAGCCGCCGATGACGAAGCAACGATGGACATGACAGTCGGAATGGGCCGTATTCTTCCCTCTAATGAGGATGACGAAGACGATGAAGATGCTACAATGGGCATGGACATGACCATGGCGATAGGCGGAATCATCAAGGGCCCACCTTCAGCAAAGGACCGGATTGAAGCCAGGCGCCAAATGGAGCGGGAGGTTGATGAAGATGACAATGTACCAGCATTAAATTCGTCTGCAAAGCGACGCCTATCCGCAGTTATTTCTGGTACGAACGTATCAGAGTCGGGAAGCCCTGCATTATCCGCGTTTAAAGGCAATGGACTTCGTCGCACTGGTGAATGGCGGAGGTCTGTCACGCCAGGCAGTTCGCCCGTTCGAGACGTAACGACCCCTAAATCTACAAATCCAGCCAATGCGGGCACTCCCAACAGCCAGGGACCCAGAACCCCATTAAGAAAGTCGCCCTTGAGGATGCCAAAATCACCGGCTACGGCCAGTAAAATTGGTTCTGGAGTATCCTCTACCCCCAAATCCGCTTCTAAAAAGAGCCAATTGTCTGTTTTCCAACAAGATCCTACAACTGGGGTGTCAACACCGCGAGTTATCCTAACCCCTCAGAAGAGGCGACTGTCAGGGGTAGGTGCTGATAGGCCTGGTCTCGGATCACCTAAGGTGGCCGCTATCTTTGACCGGCGTGAATCCATTGGCGATGCAGCAGAAAGCTTTGTCCCCCGTGAACCCTCAAGATCTGTTGCCTTCGCGGACCCCCGTCTTATGGAATATGAAGTAGATCGTGATCGCCAACTGGAAGCAGACAAGGAAAATGGCCGCAAAGTACTTGAGAGGGAAGTTGACGGAGACGAAGAGAATACAGCAAGTCTAAAAGATATGATCTCTAGTATGACTCCTAAGAAAAATCTTATAAAAGGACGGAAAAGTCTGCATGTGGGCAGTGCTAAAGGCCTTCTCGGTAAACGTCCTGCCGAGCTTGATGATGAAGAGGAAGCTGAGGAAAGGGATGGAATCAAGCGACTCAAGAACCATCAGAGCAGCCCCGTCAAGAACGTACGCCTACATGCGCCTCCTTCGAAAGCCGAAACGACAGGGCGAGTGACTCGTTCTTCTAGTAAAGGGTTAGAGGACATCAGCGACAATAGGGCCACTTCAACACCGATGTTTTCGCCTAAGAAAACATCTATAGGTGTCCCATCTCCTCATGCCAGAGGACGCTTCAAAGAAGTCGACTCCGATCATCCTACCAGTACTCTCAATTTTGACGAGTCTCATGTTATGACTGATGCCGAAGCTCAGGTGGATGATGACGGAGAACAAATGCATCTACAAGACTTTTTAAATATGACAAATATTCGCTTCATGGAGTTGACCACAACAAAACGGCGACACACACAAGCTCCCGTCAACGTAGCAGATAACGCCGCGTCCGAAGAGGAGGATATGTCCCTAGAGCGATGCGTCGTAGCAGGTGCTTGCACGGTTCCTATGCTAGAATTGTACCAACATGTAAGGATTTCTTCAACTTTGAGAACCGCAAGATACTGATTGTTAATAGTCCTGCCGAGAACTTAAAAAATATATTTCAGAAGGCAGGAGGATAGTTCGTGAGATCGAAACAGAGACTCTGGAAGAGAACCCGCCACTTTTCAAGGAATATATCACTGCAACGCCCGAGTACAAGCTTTTCCTAGACAATCAGTTCAAGAACGTCAAGTCGCATGCACGACTATTAAGCAAAGCCATGTGGTATGAATGGCGCATGAAACTCCAAGACGGGCTCAAGGAGGGCCTACTAAAGATCGAAGAAGGTATGGCAGCCGACGAGCAGCTATTGCACCAGGAGCAGGAATTGCTCGATTCGATTTTGCCCAAGCTAGTGGAGCAGCTCGCATCATTAGAGCTAGAACATGATAATTTGCAATCTGCTGCACAGGAGCTAGCGGATTGCGACCCTGAAGATTTACAAGCTGCTCGATCCGAGCTGACAGACCTTGACTCAGATATCGAAGCGAAACTAAAGAAAATCGAGCAACTAAAGCAGCAACTGAGCGAGACTGAATCTGGAATCGGCGAGCTATCACAAAAGAAAAAGGAATGCGTTGCTGATATAGACGAAGCTGAAAAAGTTCGTGAGCAATGTAGGGGTTGGACCTCTAATGAAGTCAGCGCCCTCAGAGGTTAGTATTTATTTTAGTCTAAAATTTATCATGATGGAGGGCTAACATAACATAGCCCGCGTCGAAGCAATTGAGAAGCAGCATGGCTGGGCCATTACAGGCGTAGTTGGGACCTCGCTGTCGATGGCATACCGAAGAGAGATCGAACTCGTCTTTGACGTCGGCGCTTTCAAAGGTCTAAAGCCCGATAACTCTAGGATTGATCTGTGGTATATCGCAGCCAATCGGGAGCAGAATCCACAGTCAAGCACACCGGAAAAGGAATTTTTTATCCAGTGCATGCGGGATCACATCCGAGGATTGGCCCAAGCGCAAACCAAGATCAAGAATCTCCTAGATATGGTTAGTACGTCCTGGAAGAAGGCCAATCACGTTGCGAAAAACGTGCATCTCCTGAACACCACCTACCGAACCAAGGTCACCAAAACTTCAGATTCGTCTATCTCGATCCGCTCATGGGTACTGCTTGTCCCGTTGGAAACGAAAGTGGAGGTCGTACTCAGCTTACATGGCCAGAGTACACCGGATGGCGTAGAGGTTACCATTACACCCCAGGCACGAGTGGTCTACGGAGAGCAATTTAAGGAAGATAAGATTGTTGAGTTCCTCACAACGAAGATAGGCACACGCGTGGTTACGAAAGAAGAGAGCGGGACTTTTGAGCCTTGGGTCGAGGCCCTTGTTGAGCTCCAGGAAAGACTGCTTGCGAGGGGACGGAAATAAAGGTGAATGGGTAGCATGTTTTCTGTTTTCTAGCTTCTACCTTGTCTTGACATAATGACTTATGACCACAATTGGCGCGTATAGGGGGTAGTCTTGATGAGGATACGATAAGCAAAGGGCGTTTGTTGGTGTATTGTTAAGTTATATACCATCGTCTGGTTTATTTATGTCTTGTTCTAGCTCAAGTTCTTGCCTTTGGGGTATCAATACAAAAGTTTTGATTAAATTTGGCTTCCTCTTTAGCATCGTTGCAAAGATCGTGATATGGTTAGATATGGTCTTTGAGTTTAGAGTTTTTTACTTAGGAACACGGCTCTGATGAGCACAAAAGAGTTTCACGATATATGCAATTGTCTTAATTAGGTACTTGATGGAATTTTTATTATGAAGATCCGATGTAGAAACTCCGCTTCTAGTCATATATAATAGGGTTACTTTGTAGAGTATCTCAACTATTGGATACCAGATTTCTATGAAGACTATGCTTTCCGCCCTATTTTTGGAAGAACATAGCTATACACTTATTAATATACCACTATACTAAACAGAACCCCACTTCTCACTCCGCGTTACACGATACCCGAAAAACTATATCCAAGCCAAAAGAATGGCCAGTTCATCAGACATAAATGACAGAAAGACAGCTTTTGTTTATAGCCGGTCCGACCAACGAGGCATCGGATGTCATCGGGCAGCCTTTTTCGTTTTGTTTTTGTTTACACGTATGTTTATTAAATATTAAATGTAGGAAGCTTTGTGTCTAGATCTTCGTAGCTACCTACCTAGGTACTTACATAGATAGCCAGCCTATGAAAGCAAAAACATAATAGGTGTTGATTTTTGCCAGACGAAACTCCATGATATACGGTCATATACAGAGTGATAGACAGCCAGCTTGAAATGTGCTGGTAGCTGGAGAATATTTAAGGCTATTGACATCTGTTTTCTTCCAGCCTCTGAGAACAGAGGTCTCTTTAAAAATTTACCAACTGTTACTAGGTAGCTAATTGTTATGTACATATGCGCGATCTCAGTCTAGATCTATCATCTTACTGTAGCCTTAGTCATTTTCCTGACTCATCTGACAACAGTTCAAGATCAAAAACTCCCTGGCAGAGTGGTGTCAGAAAATACACCATACTAACCACCACAATATAGGTCATGTTACCCCTATTTTAAATCATGAACAATATATAGTGTACAAACATCTCTATTAATTATTCCTACCATTTGTATACCATATGTCAGCTCTAGGCGCCAGGCCAGTGGCTAATATCGTCGAAGATAGAGAAACTACCCTCCAACCACGTTGTTTACCCCTTTTTAAGATCACTGAATAAAATCATTGTTGTTGCAAGGAAAATAATAATATTCCATTCTATCACTACCTAGGTACCTTAGGTAATTATACATGTTCTACATGTACGTACAGCTGAGCAAGCAAGTCTAAAGTTACGGGTGTACATGTATTTACATGTTTTGTCAATGTATTCTGTATTCTAGCAAACCGTGAGTTGTAATGACTACCTCGTTACTAATATAGCTACGAGAGCAGACATATATAAGGTGTGCACCATAGCACGTACCTATGTAGGTAGGTATTGTACTTACTTACAGACTCGTTTACTTACTCCTATGTACGTATATAATATCCATCTTGTGTTGGTGTACGTACCTACGTACCTATTGGTACGTACAATTGAAGTGATGTATATATCATAAATTTCTACAAAAGTGTCAGTGCATCACTGACTTAAGTCGATTGTAACTGGCAACTTCCTTAAAAACATGGAGTCCCATAGCAACTGCAGTCGTACCTTCCTTCCATACCTCGAGTTGTTACTAGGTACGAAGGTACGAACAGTGGTTGTGTAGGTAGTTGCGTAGGTCCGCAGTGGTTACCAGCTGCGGTTGCGTCTGTCACCCCGTCTCCTAACACCTCCGTTGCCTAGCATCACCAACCTTCCTGCCGCCTGCTAAACAACACACCGCCCAAGAAATTATTATTTAAACAGGGCCTCCCTCCCTCGATCTCAGAATTTCCTCTTTTTCCTTTCTTCACCAAACATTTTGTTTACGCTCGCATACATACTGCATACTGCTCTCTGCCTACGCACTCTGCAATACGCACTATTCACGCACAACGTTTACGAGATGTTTTCTAACGCTCTGATCTTCTTGATCACCCTTGCGCTCGCATTCTCCTCTATCCTCACCTCTATCATCTCTTCTATCCGCGCCATCCCCATTCCTTCTATCCGCCCTATCACGATGCCTTCTCTACCTACCCTACTATCTCCCCTAGTCACCCCCCTCTACTCTTCTTCCGCCGTCATCATCACCCCTCTTCTTACCGGTTCTCTCATCGCTATCGGGCGCGTCCTAGGATGGCCCTCCTTCTCCGAGTTCATTCCCTTTGTGCTGGGACTTGTCACGTACCTTTTCAAGGTTCACCCTGCACTCGGGTTTGTTTTCGTTACCTTCTTCTCTCTCTTCGCGTTCGCGGCTCTAGGTATATCTGAAGATGCTGACGTCTCTACGTGGTTGGTGATCCCCTGGCTCATCGCGCAGGCTGGCCTGTGGATGTATACATCCTACGGTTGGTATGCTTGGTGGGCTGCATCTATCGCTATCGCCATCAAGAACTACGGCATGTCGCCTCCTGTCTGGTGTATCCCACAGATCCTCACTTGCCTGTGTCTCAAGCAGTAAGTACCTACCATTTTTTTGTTTTGTTTATATCTTTCTCTGTTGCTATGGTTTCATATTATGTTGCTACTGTTGTCATACTTTTATACTATTCAACATTCACTATACTCTTCTATCATATTGGTTCTTGTATCCTTTATAGTCTTGTATTTCTGTTGTCCCTATAGTTATACTTATGCGACTTGCATTGTCTTATTACCCCTATACCCCTATACCCCTATATTCCTATACTCTTATTCCCCTATACTCTTCTTACCTTACCAACCTTTTCATCTCTATTATTTGCGACACTTCTTACTTGAATAACACTTACTAACTTATTCCTAGACTGTGGTCTTATTTCAACGAGGAACACATTCGTCAGTTTGGCTATCGCCATTCTCCGGATTGTGTGACTTACCTTTACAATGAGCTTCAGAAGCTTGAGTGGGGTGTTAACATCTACGAACTCAAGGATCTTTGCCTCCAATGGAGAGACTGGTTTGTGGCTCTTGTTCGTCGAGTCGCAGAACAGTTCACTGCTCGTCCTAACCCCCCCGCTCGCCCTACCCCTACCCCTACCCCTCCCGCTCGCCCTGTTTCTCCCGCTCTCCCTGTCTCCTCCGCTCTCTCTCAGCCAACCCCGCTGCTGTATCCCGATGGTAGCATAGTTCCTCGTGAGCAGACCATTACTTACGAGCCTATCGAACCTGAGGCCTTCTCCAGCATGCAGAGAGTGCACCGCCCCTTCCTACCTAGGACTGCCAGCGGCAAGTACGCCTACAACCAATGGTTGAAAGAGAAGAGCAAACAGCGACGTGAAGCACCTATGAACTACCCGCCAATTCTTCGTTCTACCGATAGGCCCATTGCTTCCGCTCGGCCTTTTTCTGTCAATAGGCCTCTTCTTACCGCCAGGCGTCTCGAGGGCCGAGAGCGTAAAAGATTCAGTCTGGCTGACTGGCCGGGTCATCATGCGTTCTTAAGCGGTTTGGAGAATTCTGCGTCTGGGTTCCTCAACGGTGCCCCTGTCTTCGGTGCGCTGACCGCACCTGCTCCTGTGCCGGTCCCTGAGCTCCAGCTACCCCCCCAGCCAATCTACCAGCAGGTGTTCCACCAGCCGGAATGGGTGCCCGAGTCTCAGCCGCCCCAGATTGCGTCAGTGGTTGTGTATCCAGCCAACAATGTCAACATCAACACCCCTTGTGAACCAGCCGTTCCCGCGTTGGGCCAAGCCATTGACATATACAACCACAACGCCACGCACCTCTACATCACGCCCCAAGAGCCAGCGCCAGTTCTACCAGCACCCATGGAGGTGGATATCCCGGAGCAAGAGGAAATTCTCGACCCGATGGACATTTGGGAGGATGTCCAGGAACATGACGTCCTTGGTTTTATGTCCGTCGAGGAAATGGAAGCCGAACTGGCCAACGCCGACGACAACAACACCAACGTTGGTCAGAATGACAAGTCGGACGAAAAGCCAGGCTACGAGAGCTTGGACGATCGTATGGGTGCCTCCCCATTCAACGACTGCAAGATTAGGAAGGATCAAACCCCTACCACGTCTCAGTCGCGGCCCCTACACAAGCCCAAGTCGATCAAGCCTCGTGCCTTGAGCTCCTCGGGTTCCTCTAGCGATTCGAGCAACGGCGGTCTGACGCAAGACTCTACATACAGGTACAACTCTAAGGGCAAGGCTGTTTCCAAGCCCTCTGTACAGTCTTCGTCGACGTCGCAAAGCAACAGCCTTGGTGGTGGGCTGCAGGCAAGCATGTACAATGCTAACAACCTTGCTTCCGCAGCGCAGACGCCATCGTCCCAGGCTCTGCCATCAGCACTGCAGTCGAAGCCGACAGTCAATCAGTCACCATTGGCTAAGGCGTTCGCTCAGTTCACGGTCCCACAGATGCCACTACCTCAGGCTCAGCCGACAATCGCTCAGTCGCCATCCGCCCTGCCATTGTCTCAACTCTCAGTCCCGCAGATGCCACTGCCTGAGACCCAATTCCAGGCTTACTCACCTGCAGCCATGGCAGCCAAGGCATTCCCTCGGGTATTCTCTCCGGTGCCAGTTGTGCCAATGTCTGAGTTCTCAGTCCCGCAGGTACAACTGCCCCAGGTCCCGCCCTCTACGCCGAAGCCGAAGCAGACAGTCCAGCAGATGCCGCTGCCCCAGGATCTGCCCCAGACGCCAAAGCCGAAGCCGACAACCTCTCAGCTGACCTGGCCCCAACCTGCACCCTCGACATCGGAGCCTCGACAGACAATGCCACAGGTCCTGCCCCCCCTGAAGCCTGATCAGACAATCCAGCAGAAGCCACCGACCCAGGATCTGCCTCAAACGCCCAAGCCTCAGCCGACAACATCGACGTCTAAGCCAAAGCAGACAACCCCGCAGGAGCCATCGACCCAGGCACTGCCCCAGATGCTAAAGGCCCAGAAAGAAATGGCAGGAAGGCGGATTGCCACTCCAAAATCGCGAAAGGCAATGATCAACCAGGCTGAGAAGCCATCTTCGACGACGGCGGCCCAGGAGCCTGCTCCAAAGAAGCCCCAGGCCCCTCGTCTTCCGGGAAAATCCAAGCCAGCGAATGCCACGTCGACCCTTTACACCGTGCCCGTGTCCTCTAAGGGCAAAGGTCCTGCAGCTAAGCCCGTGGCATCGCAACCGGAATTCGTCGATGAAGAAGAAGACTTTGAAGACAAGGTCTGTGAGTTTATGGATGGTGGTCTGAGCCATGAACAGGCCTATACCATGGCAGAACACTACTTCAACCAGCGAAAACTAAACCGTCGTTGAACGTGACTATTGTCCGGTCTCGACACTGGTTTTCCCTGGTACCCATGCCGCATTCATTCTCACTTAGCTAAGATCCCTTGGTACTGGTCAGCTTTTCAAGCACAGAGATTCTCCCCCTCTCTCTTCTATTTGAACTAACTAGCAACTTCCTAGCGCTGAGCCGGTCGATGCTATATTGATAGCTTAAACCACTCCCAGGAACCCATTGGGCGACGGAGGGGGTCGGCCGGCCGCCATTCGTGGTGATCTGGACCCATGATACCTGCGCAAGCAGGAGATTGGTATAAAATGCACGTTTGGCCGCCCACCCTTGTCTAGAAGCACGTCTCTTCTTGCGCCTCTTGAACTCGAAGCAGAAGTGTGCGGGACATGAAGCTCAATGAATCTGAGGAACCTCGGAGAAGGGTGAGAGCTTTTGGTGTCAGGTGCGATCTCGTGGTAGTTGGTGAAGGTGTCATGGGATCGTGTCCTGTTCGGCGCATGGCGGGTTCTGAGTCTTCCGAGTGATCCTAGATCAGGAGGTTGCGAGGACTTCGCTACAGCTAACTTGGGATTATCTGGTTTTGTTCTACCCCTATTACCCCTATTACATAACTGTCACCTATCTGTCTGTCTCTCTCTCTCTCTCTCGGTTCTCTATTGGTTCACTGTATTCACCTACCACGTCTCGTACGGCCTTGTTCTCGCCGCCGTCCTTCGAGCATTTTACCCCTTTTCGACAATGTCTCGTCGCGGTTCTCTTTTCTCGCCGCGCCATCGAGCAGACCTCCCGACAGCTTAGGATGACAGACCAAGAGTATCGTCAACATACTGTTAGTAGAGCAAAAAGGTATAGTCCCCCAATAGATTTATAGTTGATTATGGTGATGCTAACTATTTACAGAACCCCTAGCTCATTCGACTGCTGACATCTGCTCCGAGCAGCAAGATAAGGATTTTAAGGATACACGACAACCCGAGGAATAAGAATAAGAACTAAGGATTAAGACCGACACCGACACCGACACGAGCACCAGCACCAGCACCGAGGAAGCTGAAGAAGAAGACCAAGGACAAGAATACTAACAGCAGCAGGACGACGACAACAATCGACACAAGGATACTAACCAACAGCAGCACCGGATTCCCAGGACCTATTATTTCACGGCGAAGCTGTCATTGTTCACGCTCAAATGAAGGGGGACTTGTTTTCCCACACCATGCGAGCATAAACAACGACGCCCAGATCAATGCTTTAGCAGGCCCACTGCCAATTGTCGCGAGCGCGGAGGGAGCTTTGGCTTCTACTATTCCGTGTCTCGCACAGGCGGCTGGCTACATTTTAATACTATGATGCCTTTTGGCTAGGTAATTAGTGGTAGGTAGTTACCCAGATAGATTTGTAGGAGTATGAAATTATAGGATTGTGATCACGGGTTTACCGTATCTCTAAGATGGATCCTGGCTTTGAAGCATGTGCTTGAGTTGATTACTACTGACATCTAGATCTTGGGGGTGGGGGATGGGTTGATTAGGGCTCTCTACCTATATGATAGGCAGATGAGAGAAGATAAGTTTACCCCTAATATCCTTACTACCCTCTATTTACCTTCCTGCTTGACTAATCATTTTTGCCTACCTAGGGCTAGGGGGACTTCTGTGATCTGTGTCATGTACTTCCATACAGCATGCCGATGTTCTTGACCAGCCTCGAGGGTGGGTGGAGATAATGATATATATCCGTACTTTTTACATGTATCTAGAACACAAGCATAGGCCCAAGCCTGGTAGTGGCGGGCTTAATAGAGAACTTATAACCCACGCTACACGTCTCGTAATCCATTCTACTACGATCACCTCTATCTTCACGTAAGGCAATGTTCACAGCAGTCTGAAAGGCATAGGCACGGTGTAATACTTGTAGATAGGTGCGTTCTATTCAAGACACTTACTCTATCTAGACTCTACTCTAGTTTAGGGCTCAGCGATTTATCGAGGCTTTATCTTCGTCCAACCGCTGGTGCCCTTCTCCCTCTCGCGGTCTCTTCCCGCAACGGCTCCGTTGGGCACTCTCAAATTATGATCACCACTACTACCACTCTTAACGGTGTTGACGCTCATGTAACTCTCGATGCCGAAGCGGTGGCCTGGGACGCCGGGCTGCCCTTTGTTTGGAGTTCCACCAACGAGTACACCATCATCAAGCGCGTCGTCTGGCGTCCATGCATCGTCTTCTAGCAATTCCCACTCTGGGACCGGGTTCTCGCGCAATAGCTTGGCCTTCAGCTTGTCGACCATCTTAATCACGGTAGGCATCTTAAAGCTACGCGTAAGATCATTGCCCGCCGCGCTGCCGAGAAAAGTGTGGGCCGTGCCGTGCGAATACAGCCCCATGCGAGGTGCTGTTCTACCCAGTTCAGCCGGGTTGTTGCCATTGGTCTGGGCGGGCGCTTCTGCTATCTGCTGGGGGTTGCGTTGCAAGGACGAGTTGATTAGGAGATTATATAAGTTGCGTCCTAGACAGGCGAAGTCTTCGAGACTATTGCTGTTGTCGCTTATGGGCACGCCTTGTGTCCGACAGAGCCAGACGATGTCGTAGGCCAGCAGGCAAACTGCTTCGAGGAACGAGTTGTACGCTGACGGGTCCTCCTTGCTAAGCACCGACAGGGGCTTTTCGAGAAAAAGGGGTCGAGGGTGTGGAACGTGGGCAAATTGACGGTCACGTGGGTCAGGGGGTATGAGAGAGGTACCGGGGAATGCAACGTCGCCATGGTGGTAGGAAGACGTCAGAGAAAAGATGGTAGGTTTGGGATAGTCATTGTGCGGTAGTGTAAATTCTGCAGGGAGGCGAATAGATAGGTAGTGAGAGGTAAGCCATAATAGGTGGGTGATATGCGCGAGTGAAGCGGAGATGAGTTCAGGTTGCGCGCCTAGGTTAATATTAGACTAGGTTGAACAACTACGAGTTACGTATAGATATAGATATAGATATAGATATAGATGTGATACTTACTGTTCAAATTGTGTAGGTCGACGATGTCGATGCCGCCAATCTTATACTCGAACCGGACGGGATTCCCGCGACGGACGCGCTGTAGTCTATATAATTTGGCCACTTCCATGCACAGCGCGGCGCGGTACTGAGTCATGGCGTCGTACTCTCGGTCCCAAGTATACTTGGCCATCTTCGCGGCCTTATTATTCTCCTCAAGCTCCCGGTTTCGTCGCACAGAAACACCCTGGGCTGCGGTGGCAAGATCCGACTTCTTACGGGCGATGCTGGCCTTGCGCTCCTGTATCTCTTTCTTCGCAGCGTCAACCTCTTCGCGGAGCTTATCCGCCCTAGCTATGATCTGCTCCGTCCTCTCCTTGGCCTTGCGTTCCTCCGAGATGCAGTTCTCTATGTAGGCTCGAGTAGAGCGATCGTTTACGGGGTTTCCGGCGCTCGCATCGTTGTCTGACAATTGCTTGGTGACTCGAGACTCGAGCTCCTCGGCTTCCATAAGAATCCGAGCATTGGCTATTCGTCTCTCGTATAGTTCGTTTCTCGCATCCACCGCGCAGAAGAAGGGTAGCCTCGACGGGTGGTGCATCCGCTGGCAAATGTCGCAATTCATGGTGGCGGCGGGACTTGGGGGGTGGAACTGACGAAGATTCGATGGTGCGGGATTGTCTGGGGGGGAGGGGGGAGGGGGGGGGATTAAGAGACGCGCTTCTACGGATAGTAAGCGGTCGGTCGAGGAATTCCTATTACATTTACGAGGTGAGCAAACTGCATATCGTCTTGCCAGAAGGCTATATAAATATCAACGGAAAAGAGGCGATATGGAATAAACATTGATGAGAAGGACGTGAATGCTCCTTGTGACGTTGAGAGGTGCAGGGGTGCAGGGGTGCAGGGGTATGGATTAGGTACATGTAGGTACCTACCTACATATGTATGCATGTAGAGGTATTACCTAGTTACATGCAGGGGCAAGTTGCGCTTTACTACATATGTAGTATGTACATACCTTATCGGGCTCTTATCAGTAGCCTATCAACCTTATTGCGCTTGCCTGCGGCCTGCCAAGTCTTTCGAGTCTCATTCAACCAACTTGATTCTTGGGCAGCGACGCGTCTCTCTTGTAGTCTTTTAGGTATGTAACATGTAAAGAAGTTGTTCCTTAATCTATATTGTTCTATGCCTTTATCTGTTTATATATGAGTCTAAAGTGGGAGTTAAAACAATCAGGTGATTAATTTATTCAGCCTCAGCTGCCCTTCCATTCATTCTGATTCTACTCGTGTCACGCGTCGTCTATTCTCTACAGTAACAGATTATTCTGGACACTGGACACTGGACACTGGACACTTGACACTGAACACTGGAAGATTACTGTTTAATCTGTCTGGGAGAAGGAAGTCGACATAAACAGCTGTCAGAGTCGTTGAAGCTATACAGCCGGCGTCATGTCTACCACACCTAGATCATCATCACCAGTGAAGCAATCACTTACTCAGGATGAAATGGCAGGTGATCAATCAATGATGGTAGAGTTACCAACTCATTTAGGTGACCAAACCGAGTTCGTTGATCCCGAGGAAGATGTGACGGTAAAGCTACATTCACAGTCGCAGCCGCGATCACCTCCACGGACTCAGGGTCCCAAGGTCGATCAGGGCCAAGACATGTCGCTTATGGCTAGACAGTTGGACCGTCAACGTCAGACACGAACCCCCGAGCCACAAAAGCGACGGAGTAATAGGTCTGAAATGCAGAGCCCTGGTCATCTCGTTGCATTTGACTGGGAAGACTTCGAGGATCGCTATGAGAAAGCTCTACAAGAGGCTGACGAGCAGGAGAAACAGCTCTTGGAAGAGTTTGATACTCTTGTCAAGGTAAGCCGAGCTCATTAGCGACTGACTGAATTACGGCTAACGCTAAAATCAGTACTTCAACGTCTGGGCGTCAGCTTCGTCCGCTCATGATAATGAGAGAGCAGTCAAGAGGTTTGTCATCCCCTATCGTGAACTTCTATACAAGAATAGTATTAAAAGTTGGCAGGTTGCAAACTCGCGAAAGACATGTGCGCCTTTCTGAGCAAACACTCTTACAAAAGAAGCAGCATCGTGAGTATTCATGCCCCCGATTCTTAGATCTCTAAGGCTGACTCAAGTAGTATCCGAAGTAGTGAAGGCCTTCCAGAGTGCTCTAGCCCTTCTGAGATCAACTTGAGTCCACGTATTCCGTATTCCGTATTTTATGTTTATATGGCGGTGCATGATGATATCAGTGTGCATTCGATGAATATAGGTGAGGTTTACGACTTGACGACTTTTACGATGCTTATGAATTAATTATGATATGAACTTGTACTTAGCTGCGTACATACAATTTGCTACCGTATCTAGCCTCATGATCTACATTTTACGTTAATGTCTTCTCGACACTTCGTGTTTCTCGTTTTTCGTTCTCAGGTACATGTAGTGAATATGTACCTAGGTACATAGGTACATACATAGGTACCTTAAGTGGGCCGAACGCGACGCGGTTCGGCCATAACCAAGCCGATTATCGATAACGTTCAGTTGCTACCAAAGCTCAATCAATACTTTGCTCTGACTCTAAATTCAAAGCTCTAAATTCAAAGCTAGACCTTTTCAAATATCTCTTTCACAACCTACATACATCACGTATCTAGCCGCTAGTAGCGGTTGGTTTATGTAGCAATGTCTACTTCTCTACAAGGCACGGGCAACTTCCGAGTGCCAGAAGTTTCACAGGTACGCTTTTCCGTTGCTGATCCTTTTCTTCAGTTGGCTAATGCTGACTTCCTAGGCAGGAAGAGATAAGCTCATTTCACGACGCGCACTTCTCTCTCGCAGCTACCAAACTCTTCAATGTCCAGTTCTTCCGACCGGAAAACACGCAAGATGAACAAGACGAAAATCAGTACTATGAGGAATATGAAGAATATTACGAAGGAGAGGATGACGGCTTAGGCTATTATCCAGATGGAGTCAAACGCACGCTTACGGATGAGCAAATCGCTATATTTCGACATTCTGAAATTGAAGCCCTTCGCCGTGCTAAGACTAGACCCGCTAAGCTCGGAGAGACGTCGACCGCACCGTTGCAAGCGGCCGAGGAAGATGATTGCACATCTACCACCGAGCCTAATCCCGACTCGATAGCAATATCGTTGCCTACGATGTCGGATGAGAGTTATGGGAAATGCAAAGGGAAGGAAGAAGAAGAGGCGCAGGATGGTAGCGAGGACGGAGAAATCGAAGAAGAGATGCCGAAGCCTACCGAAGCTGAAGTCAAGCGAGAGAAAAAGCAACGCGCGAGACGAAAGAAGCATGAACAGCGCAAGTTCCACCCCGAGAAGAAGCCCGATCTCCGAAAGAGGACGTGGGATGTAGTCGAGACTGGTATGGACAGTCTGTACTACGATGACGAAACGGCTCAAGACGCGGCTGCCGCTCCCGCAGCACAGAGGCGAAGGATCTCATACGATGATTGAAGACTCGCGAAAGGAGATGGATTTTGCGTGTTTCTCCGAGGTATTCTAATGCCGAAATAACTACTTAATACGTGATTAATGCGTGGTTGAGTGATAGCTGGCCAGGTTAGTGTTGCATTCCCAACTCCTCTTTGTCCGTTTCGTTTCCGTGATGAGAACCTTTGTATCGTCATCCTTAGTCTGAAGTCCGGGACCACCTGAAGTTGGCTTCTAGCTGGCGGATGGTTGGATTACCTAAACGGATGCATGTCGAATAATTAATCTTCTCTCTGAATGCGTTATACCATCCCTTGCGTGTATTCTCCCTTTTCTGCTACAACAAGCATTGTTGCTGACTACTTGTACTGCAAGTTTTAGGTGAATAGTGCAAAGACTACAGACTTTGCAATTATAAACAATGGGCTTGCATCAAAGGCTTTGTTCGGGAACCGTCTACATAGCTTAAGGAGACATATGTATCTACCCATAGTTTACCATTATAATGTAATGTACCTAAATTTATCTAATCCCGGAGGTAGCCATTTGCTACTCTTCGTCTAGACATCATTCACGCATCATCAGATCTAATGTTCCCTTGCACGCCGGAATAAGGAAAGGTGCCGTTGTTGATATGTAAGTGCACAAGTATCTACATACACAAAGTTTGCCAGGACACAAAGAGCTTCCATGCTCTTGTTGGCACGAGCTGTTTTAGGTGCTGTATTGCAGAAGTAATCGGTAGGTAGGTAGGTATGCACCTACCTTAAGTTAAGTAGACAAGGAGCTATAATAGGTACCTAGGTATGTACCTATATAATAAATGGGATCATACATGTAGAAGCACCTACTGTTCATCCCTTCTGTTTGTAAAACGAGTAAAAATAATTAGGTTAGGGAAGTTGCGCCTATATAACACCGTGTGGATTTAACTCTTGTAGTACATAAATACTGTCCTAGTACTGTCCTAATACAATCGGCCACCAGTTCGGCCGGGGTAGAGGGTGGAGACTCCACTCAGGCGCCTCCAGCCTTCCAGAACCTTGCTATCGACATCCCACTTTCAAATCTCCCATCCCACCACCCAGCACCAGGACCAATTCGGGAACTTCCTCTATAACCGCGCCATCGCGTGCCACGTTCCGCTCCGGCCGGCATTTCGAGGTCAAGCGACGACCTTCCAATCCCGACTTTTTTCTACCCGCCGCTATTCTTCTCCTTGACGCTGTTCGCTGTTCGTATCCCGCAAGGATACCTACGTTGCCCATCATGGCGCGGGTCTACGCCGACGTCAATCAGAATATGCCCAGAAGCTATTGGGATTATGATAGTGTTAACATCAGTGAGTCTATTTTAATGTCGAGGAAACTTAGAGCTATTTGCATCATGTTCCCACCTTATCCAATACAATATCCTTGTTGTCTCTGTTTCAAATCTTCCCGAGGCTCGCGGTTTCGTATCGATATCTTATCAATATCTTCTAGCAAACAGTAAATACTAATGTTTTTGGTGCTACTAGGCTGGGGAATCCTAGAAAACTACGAGGTCGTTCGCAAAATTGGTACGTCACGCCGTGTCGCCTACCCTTCTCAATACCGATAGCCGACTAATTTCTCACCGTGATCAGGCCGTGGAAAATACTCCGAGGTCTTTGAGGGTATCAATGTGATTAACTATCAGAAATGCGTCATCAAGGTCCTGAAGCCAGTTAAGAAGAAGAAGATCAAGAGAGAAATCAAAATCCTCCAGAACCTTTCGGGTGGTCCCAATATCGTTGCCCTCCTAGACGTTGTTAGAGACAATCAAGTAAGCAGCCACCTTTTCCCCCCTGATGTCACGGTTAGGCGCTGTCAGATCATATCAGGAGCTAACTCTATTTACCCCCATGCAGAGCAAGACTCCGTCTCTCATCTTCGAATATGTGAACAACACGGACTTCCGAAGCCTCTACCCGAAGTTCAACGACATCGATGTGCGTTACTACATCTACGAGCTGCTCAAGGCTCTTGACTACTGCCACAGCAAGGGTATTATGCACCGAGACGTAAAGCCTCATAACGTTATGATCGATCATGAGAACAGAAAGGTATATGACCTACGTCCTTCTTATGGCCGTTGTTGCTCACGTATTCACCAGTTACGTCTCATCGATTGGGGCCTAGCCGAGTTTTACCACCCAGGAACTGAATATAACGTGCGCGTAAGTTCATCACGCAGCTCCCGCGTCCCCTTGCCCTTCAAGAAGCGATGGGTTGCCTACTCGTATGCCTGTGTGCTCATACTATCGATTTTTTTAACAAAAAAAAGAACCAGCGGTGTGGATATGAAATCCGTACATGCTAACGTTATCCTTAGGTTGCCTCTCGCTACTTCAAGGGGCCTGAACTGTTGGTTGATTTCCAGGAGTACGACTACAGTTTGGACATGTGGAGTTTGGGTGCCATGTTTGCCTCTATGATCTTTAGAAAAGAGCCTTTTTTCCATGGGAACAGCAACTCAGACCAGCTTGTCAAGATTGCAAAGGTTCTCGGTACCGATGATCTCTTTGACTATTTGGACAAGTACGAGATAGAGCTTGACCCCCAATACGATGATATCCTCGGTCATTTTACGAAGAAGCCTTGGCACAGTTTCGTCAATACTGAGAACCAACGATTCGTGAGCAATGAGGCCATCGATTTCCTAGACAAGCTTCTGCGATACGATCATCAGGTCTGTACTGCCACTCGATCATTTTCTAATACATTCTAATGGTTATTTAGGAGCGTCTCACCGCCAAGGAGGCAATGGCACATCCATATTTTGCTCCCATCCGGGACGAAGCTACTCTCAAGGAGTATCTTGGTGGCGCAACTGTTAGCTCAGAGTCTTAAGAATCCAGCCTACCCAACCGATCGCGTACTTATTTTCAACTCCTTCCCTATGAATTCTTAAGATACCCGGTCCTATCCCCGCTCGTCGTTCAACTAGTCTCCAGCCTCCGCTATGAGCATGTGCGCTCACATCTCGTGCTAATGGCATTGCGTATTTCTGCATGCAAGGCTACGCGCCGCTGAAACCGGATGGAAGTTTAGTTCTAGGTAGTTCTACTAATAGGCCCGTGCGATGCGTTTGACCAGCGGTCACTCTTCTCCGCGGCGGCAAGACCACGGCGTGGCATACCGATAAGAAAGCAATGAATGCGATATTTTATTCTGCTACGAATCCGTAACCCCGGTCCGTTCTTAGTACACCACGAGATTATTCCGATGTCTATGGTTTTGCTACTGGGGACAGGGCAGATTGAGCGTGAATCGAGTGACTTAACTAGCCGGACAATTGGCGTTCCCGGGATCTTTTGTCAAAGGGGGCGCTGAGACAGGCTGCTTCTTTTCCTAACTCGGTATAAGGAGTATTGAAATTTTGTTTCTTTTCATTTTTTTTGTGGTGAGTATCGGGTATGTCAAGATTACTACTGCTACTACTATAAGGCTAGGCAAGTATAATATGCTAGTATGGGATGATTAGCTCAGTAGCTTACGCGAACAGGTAGATGGACGAGTTTGATGACGTGTCTTGACTGGTTTAGTGGGAATGTGTGATGTTGTTTTGTGGAGATGATGTCTCGGATTTACTTTCTAAGGATGTTTATCTAATATATCTTCGTAGCTGGAGGGGGGATTTATAGGAGATGAAGTACGTTTTTAAAACACTTGAAAAGTCGATTGGTATTGAAACCAATGTACTCTATGGAATACGTACGATACCGTTACCCGATGTCTCTTATATATGTATGTATCCAAGAGCAGTCATTTATAATTTAGGAGAGTTGCAAACTGGTAGGTAATAAAACAAGTAGACCTACGTGTGGAATATAGGTACTAGATATATACCGTTGTATGCTATTACTATATACTCTAATTCTAATCGAGGCAGCCAGTTATATCAGCTGGCTATATGCACTTCTTCCCCATATATAGCCCGTCTTTGGGGCTCAAGCTATATCCGCCTCAAGTCAACCTCGTCCCATTCCCCATTCATTAAATTAGCAGATATGCCATATCCATCTGTCTGTCTGTCTGTCTGTCTGTCTGTCTGTCTGTCTACTTACAGCACGTAAAGCAGAAGTCGCGATCGCACACGAACCCATCCTCGCCGCACCTACGCGCCGAGCCGCCGGGCGTGCGCACCGGGCTACTCTCCAGCATTACGCTCGGGCCACCGCGCGTCTTTGCCCGGCGCGACGGCGTAGAGGTCAGAATGCTAACGCTATCGACATTCACCACCGTGCGCGCTAGCGGCGAGCTCTGCGCTACAGGGCTACTGGCCATGAATCTGCGCTTGGTGCCGCGGAACGCGCGGGAATCGGTGGCGGGGGGGGCGGCGTGCTTGCTGATGCGGCGGGGTGTATATGTGCTGGAGCCCATGAGGAAGTCGTGTCGATGGTTGGATTTACGCGGTGAGGAGGAGTCACGGGGATGGCGGGGGGTCATGGTGATGATGTTGCGGTCAGGCCGGGTGATGAAAGGGCTTGTTGTGATGCTTGATGAGAGGACGCTTAGTTCGTCGTCGTCTTGGTCTGGGTCGTCGGGGACGAGGGATGTTAGGGCTCGTTTTCTCCGGGTGGAGGGGGTGCGCTGGCTGCTGCTTGCATTTCCGAGGGCCGCTGATGTTTTACTGCGCTTCTTTGGTGTGCTAGGGGCTGTAATTCTGGAGGTGGGTTGTGTGGATGAAGAGGGTAGATTCTTCAGTAGGTTCGGGACATCCGTTCGATCGGCCTCCTTGCTTTGTTCGCTTTGGACCGGTAATGGTCTTAGAACTAATTCAGACGTTTCGGCAGGTGGGCTGATTTGTCGTGGAGATGGTATAGCTGGCTCTGGTGTAGGCAAAGGTATGGCTTCTTCCTCTTCGTGGGGACGCGGCTGGTCCGTGTCTTGTTCTATGGAATCTGGCTGGATTATAGCATAATCGGAAGGTAACTCCAATTCCAGAGTAGGGGAGCTAAGAGGTTGGATAACTTCCTGTGCTATATCAGGCACTTGGGCAGCAGTCTCTTCCGGCTCTATCGCAGCAGGTAGACTCGGGGTTGCTTCACGAGAATTATCTTGTGCAAGATTGACTTCCTGGGCTTCTATGGGGGTGTCTTGAATCTCATTGCTCATAAGATCGTAGGATGCGGTTTCTACTGCACAGTTCGTATTCTCCATATCGCTGCTTTCCAAGTCTACTTCTCGATCATCAGGGTTGGCGGTCTGATCCAAATCCTGCGGGTTATCGAGTACGTTTTCCTCATTAAAATAGCCACTAGGCGATGTAGGTTCGCCAAGCGGAAGTATTTTGCTGTCTGTCGGTATTTCCATCACTATCGTGTCGATCTCATTATTCGAAAACAAGGGAACTATCTCCCCCGAGTTATCAAAACTACAAGGAAGATCGGCCACCTCAATTTCATTCTCATTATTGCTTGTATCTTCGTGGCCCACCAGTAGCTCGCTGTCGTGACTTTCTTCATCCGGAGTAGTGATATCGACTTGTCTATCAATAGCTTCTTTAAGGCCTTCACTTGTCGTAGGTTCTATGACCTCCCCATGCTGAGGAATATCAAATTCTGTATGTTCCTCATGTTCGTCTACTCTTAAAGAAGGATCGGAGTCTCTGAAGGCTACATCTTCTGGAGAATTTGATAAATCAGTTGTCGTTGACCCTTGCCGACTCTTAGTCTTCGCCATTTGGCCGTGGGAGTCTATCTGCTTACGACTCCGCGAAGATTTCTTATGAACATCAGAGGGGCGCATTGCCCGAATTAAGACCTCAATTTGACCTAGCTTTTCAGCTCTCTGTTCCACTACCGTGGACTCTTTTTCTGATGACGGCGGTGGTGATATTATCTTCGTATTGGGACATGGCTGTTCTATGGGCGCGGCTACCTTTCTTGGTCGCCTATGCCGTGACTTCTGAAGGGTATGAGAAGCTTGTTCGGCCACAGCCTCAGAACATACTTTCGTATCCTTACGACCCGTTTGCTTTGGCTTCTTGGTTGCCGAAGCTAATGGAGAGGACTTGTTCTTTTCTGTAGTTGTAATTTTGGCAATTTCTTGCGTATTATCCCCCAAAAGAATATCATCCTCGTCAGAGTCATTAGTAGCTGATGTCGGATGAGGTAGAATTTTACGCCCCGTTGTCTTTGTATGGGAAACTTTCTTCGGTATCTGATGGTGAAAAGGAGGACCGAGGAAACCATTATTATAACCCCCTGGTGCTATTGATGGCCCATATCCAAGTTGATTGTGATACCCCATGGACTGGCCAACAAATCCAAACCTATCCTGATAGATAGGTAGTGGAAGCTCCGGGGATTGCCAGAGCGGATCAACAGAGCTACTACCGAACATTGGAGGTCCAAACATGAACGGATCAGGGGAACCAAATGGATCTAACTGCATCCCAGGATATAGGAGCTGATGATTGAACTCGCCGGGCATGATGTGTTGATTCGGCCCGGTATGTAGCCCTGGAGAAGGACCATGTATTGCTGGTTTAGTCGGTATCAAAGACTTAGAGCCAGTGTCTTCTATCGGCCGGATATCCTTCCCTTTCATAATTCCTTCATCTTCATTACTTAAGACGGAACCCTCCCTATTTCGATCTTTCTCGTCGTCCAGAGATAGAAGATGTCCATTATTGACGATTACCTCTCCGGTCTCAAGATCAATCTCATCACCGACGCCGGTGAAATCCCTTCCATACTTTTCAAAGATACGTTCAAAGGCTGACTTTAGTCTCGTCGCAGCCTTGGCCCTCCCCTTATCAAGTTGGTAAAGAGGGTCTTGTCTGGCATCAAACTGGGTGGGGCTCATAGAGAGCTCATCTATATTTGCTTCATCATCGTCATCATCATCATAAGGGGCTAGCCCGAGTCTCGGTCTCTTTGAAGGTGGTTCCATGATTCCGGTTACCCTTCCATGGCTAAATATCCGGCACGTATCGAGATGAGTTTGTCGGCTGCAATTTCATCCGTCTTATGCAGTCTCTAAAAAGAAGATAAAAGGTGAAATGAAAAGGTTCATAATTCGATATATGCAACTGCTGCTTTGATGATGAACGCGTCTATGAATGTATGAATGTGGATAAGCGCGTCCGTATCTTATCAGACAATAGAATAATAGGTATAGGTTAAGGTTCCGGTACGCGCTTAGGTGCTACTGGATAGGTAGGTACATAGACCAGTACTTTCCAAAAGTATTTAACTAGGTACCTAGGTAGCTTTTCTCTACCTTTCCTGCTTACTCAGTACATACTCCACACGTACCTAGATGTTTCTCAGCTGCAACCACCCCTAAAACAGCCTACATGTAATTACTAGCGCTACCTATGCAGTGTACAGGTGCCTGAGTGATCAGCTGATGACGTACTAAGCACATGCATAAGTCGACCTCTCAATTCACGGCCGCCATCCAAACCTTCTTCTTCTAGCAATACCTCAAAGTCAATAATAGCAGCATGGAATTAATGGCAGATACCCAAAATTCGCCATGTATTGCCAAAAGTGCCGCGCTCCGCTTAAGCTAGATGGGTCATTAGCAGACCTAAACCCAGCAGCATTTGATCTACTCGTTGGTCTGATAGCCCGCCCAAAGAACCGTCGCATGCAACTAACATTTCACAGCTACGTCCTCCCAGCAGCATCCGAAGCGATCGCCCTCTTCGCGCTTAACCTACCCGAACGATACCGAGAGGAGAGCACTATATGATAGAGTATATAAAGATGGTGGGCCGGCAACCTTCAAAAGAAATAGCAGTGCTTTGCGTGGCGATGGCCAGCCTCGCGATAGCTCCGCCATGTCCTTCGTCCTCCTTACAGAGTCTCAAGTAGCACCCCCAAGGCTCACGCCTCCAGTAGAGCCCCAAAGTCCGAGACAGCAACGCCGAATATCGATGTCCAGCGGCCAACGTAATGACGGAAGGAAACCCGCGCAACCTCACGAGGCCGAGCGCGTTAATAAACTTTTTGAGATCTTATCCGCGCGTTCAGATATAGACCATCCCGTTTGTGTTGAATGTACGGAGATGTTAGTAGACGGGCTCCAGAAGAAGCTAGAATCCACAGCGCGGGAACGAGACGCTTACGCCGCTTTTCTCAAGCAAGTCCAAGCCGACGTACCCAGCGAAGAAGACATTGCCGAATCAGAAAAGGCTGTAGAAATAGCGCGCAAGGAAGAGCAAGAGTCATTCAAGCAGCTATTGGCGCTAGAGAAAGAAAAGGCGGCACTTGACCTCGAAATTGCAGCTCTCGAGGAGGAGTCGCAGGCACTAGATGCCGAGGAGGAGCAGTTCTGGAGAGAGCGCAATGCATTTGCAGTGAAACTCTCCGAGTTCCAAAACGAAAGGGATAGCATAAATTCCAAGTTCGACCACGACTCACAACTTCTTACGAGACTCCAACGAGCAAACGTTTATAATGATACATTTTCAATACACCATGATGGCCACTTCGCAACAATCAACGGGCTCAGGCTTGGCAGACTATCATCAAAACCCGTAGATTGGCCGGAAATCAACGCCGCTTGGGGTCAAGCATTGCTACTGGTTGTCACCGTTGCCGATAAGCTAGGGTACAAATTTGAGGGATACGAGCCGTTACCCATGGGCTCAACGTCCAAGATTATCCGCTACGATTACCCATCCCCATCTTCCAGTCGACTAGGCGGACATCGAAGCGGGCCTCCGCCAGGACCTAAGAAGACTGTATTAGAGCTATTCTCCTCGGGCGACCTTCCCCTGCAAATGTTATGGAACCGCAAGTTTGATCAAGGAATGGTGGCATTCCTAGAGCTGGTAAGACAGCTCGGGGTCTTCGTCCATCAACAAACGAAAGAAAGTAGCAGTCGGGGCGAGTACGCAGCAAACCCGCTAGCGCTCCCTTACAAGATTGAGGGAGACAAGATCGGCGATGACCGCATAGGCCACTTCAGCATCAAGTTGGGCATGAACAATGATGAGAGCTGGACAAAGGCATGCAAGTTTGCGCTTACGTGTTGCAAGTTTCTGATCGCACACGCGAGCAACGTGAGTCATATATCAAACGGACGTTGAGGTCTAGCTAGCGCCTGGTTTGCGTGATGGGTTAGAGATGGCGTTTGGCGCTGCAGGAAACTAGCAAGAGGTTTTACACTGCTATCATGGCTGGGGCACTGATAATGCTGTTAGAGTCCTTATGTATTAGATATCCAAAGTATGTACGTTTTAGGGTGCTATATTTGTATAAGTCTTTATTGCTTGTTACTATATTTTTGTGGTTTAACAAATGTGGGTGATATTACTACGGTATAACAGCCAAGTCTCAAATATAAATAAACTCCAACATCGCTATCTCGATATTGAGTTTTTACCTAAGTCTATTCACATCAACCTCGTCTATAGTCGTAGGTCTTTAGAACACAGCTGAGTATTATAGTGAATTAATTATAAACTATGATTACTAGTTTGAATACAGACTCGCTATGTTAATACAGTCTTCAGATAACTCAAAACGTTTGACCCCTCGATCATTCCATGGGACTGTAGGTAGTTATCGCGACGTCACCAACCAAGATTGGAGCGGCGATGCGTTGGCGTTAGTGACGGGAGAAGGGGAACAATGATTGATCTGAGCAGGCCGGTGGTGATGGTGAGGGTGAGGGTGAGGGTGGCGGTGATACTTAGACGACTTGGCTCGAGGCTTCTCTTTATTTAATCTTCGATAGAATTGTGGAGCTACCAAATGCTGGGAGTCATAGTGAGTAGAAAGTTGAAGCTGTATTGTAAAAGAAGACAAGGTCTTCCAATCTATGAGAATAAGCTAAGCTAAGCTATTTTATCGTTATCATTATCTTACTATCGTAATCTCATCATTACCCTCCTCCATCGTCTCGTCGTCTTCTTCTTCCTCGTCGATTATAACGTAGCTGCGAATTTTTTTTGGTAGGTTTATAAAAATTTCTTAATAGGTTGGTTAAACTTGCAATAAAAGCTCTCTTACGCTTCGCTAAATCTAAGGTTTAGATAACGTTTTTTAAGTTAACCATACTTTTGGGTTTTGGTAGGGATTTCCACCATATCCATCGCTACCGCCAATCGTTAAATATCCCCTTTCCATTTAGCTATGCCGTATTCTTCTCCGTCCAGGCTATCGCGTAATTAATTAAAGGCTTCTTCGATTTTGGCGAGTCTATCTCCCTGTTGTTCTTGGCGTTTTATAATGAGCTTTTGATTGGTGCACCATCTTATTGGGCCCTTCTCGTCCCCCGCCTTCCCCTGAAATAATACCCTTGTGCTGGTGATCCCGTCTAGATCTTAGTAGCATAACAAAGGATGCCTCCAGTATGTATAGCCACGGGTTCCCAGAGTTAACCTATAGCTGTTTGTGACAGTTAAGTTGTTTACAATGCCTCTTTCCCCACCCCGTGACAGGCCCAGTTGTCTCTAACCTAATCATATGGCTTGAAGTTGTAAGAATCCCCACGTAGGTAGTTTTCGTGCGGACTTTTGTCATTGCCGACAGGGTGAATGATATTATAAATGATGTGATTGCCTCCTATGTTTTGATCGCTGAGATGCCATGGAGTCTGCTCTAAAGTCTCTAGGCGAAGGATGCTCTAGGACTGCCGAGCCGAGCTGTATATCGGGGCATTAAGCCCGGCTCCGACTAATCCGGTATTGTCAAGAGCTCGACAAGAGTGTATTTTAAGTAAAGGTCTGATAGTAGTTTAATCGTGTCAAAAGGCTTTGTCGAGGGCCTTGTTCAGCATCAAATATTGTGATAGTACTTCTTAGTTATTTCCTGATGCCTCAGCCAGTTGGAGATAGAATCAGGCAAGCACCGAATGAATAGTGGTCGATAACTAGGTAGCTAATGCTGTTTACCAGTTAAGATGTAGTATTGTGTTAAAGTTATTAATTTTGAGGTATCAAAGTTGTATTATCGTCAGGTAATTTTTAATTAGATGTTGTGGGAAGTGTGGGGGTTTCTTCTGTCAGTTATGGGCGGGCATCTTTTGACATTATGAGGTATGGTTGCCGTAGGTGTTCTACCTTCCGTTGATTGGGCTACCTTAGGTGTATGGGTGCTTGAGTTCCTGCCTTGTCTATTATCTATTACGCAAGAGTGAAGGTTTTAGATCGCTACTGCGTTATGTCATCTTCATTAAGGATAAGAACCTTCCTTGGTGGTTGAGTCACGCTTGACTGTACGGTTGATTGCTGCATGTACATGCTACACAACTTACTTCCTGAGGAAGCTACTGCTTTCCATATGTTAGGTACCTACCCAAGTATTTTCTGCCCGGCAGGAAAAGTCACCGCTCAGGGCACCGGGCATTCTTTTCCTATAATTATGCTACCCTGTTTGTCACATCCAATCTGTTTTGCTTCTCTTTCCTTTTTTTTGTTTTTTTTTTTGTTTTTTTTTTTTGTTTTTTAACAACTCCCCTCCTCATATTCATCATTAATCAACTTATATTAGTCTATTTATTTCTAGGTTCTCTGTCGATGGCCTAGACTAAAAGACAGCAAGCCTCTCCAAGATAAACCAGAAAATCACAAACTTCACATGAGCAGTATTCAAGAGGTCACCATACCAATCAAGTATATACCAATATCACCAAAAAATCGAGCCAACTTAACGGGAGAAGAATTAGACGAGTGGCAAAAGACCAGCAGACAACTAGTTCGAGCCAACATTCCTAAGCAGCTCCGAGGTTATATCAAAGAGATCAACCGATAGTACACTTTTACAACGAACTTTGAATCTATACGTCTTAATTGCCATGGTGACGGAGAAACTACCTAATACCGATAACCTACATGCCACGTCCACTATCAAGGAATGGCCGGCCGACTGACTACCTAAAAGACCTTGTAGTTTCGGCCGCGACATCCATGGAGCATCTCCAGGAGCACGAGGAAATTCTAGAACCGATGGATACTCAGGAGGATATCTAGGAACATGACATCCCTGGCTTTATGTCCGCGGAACAAACAGAAGACGAACTTATCGACCATTTCGATGCTTCGGCCAACGCCCCAGTCTAATTACCCGTCTAAACGCCGTAAGAGGCGACAGGTCGTGAATGACCGTTTAGCTATTTTGGCTGACAATTTCAGCCGGGATAAAGATAAACACTACCGAGACGAACTTCATAAGATCCAAATAGATGTTACCAATAACAACAACGCCACTGTTACCTTTATGTGGATCATGGAGCCCCCTTTAGCCAGGCTGACAAGAAGCCGGACGAAAAGCCAAGCTACGAGAGCTTGGACGATCGTATGGGTGTCTCCCCATTTAATGACTCCAAGATCAGGAAGGATCAACACTTTTATTCCAGAAGCAATTCAACGATAATGATTACAGAGTTGGAACTTTACATATTACCACTGGAGAAGTTCTTAACTAAATGATGTGCCGACTTACTTTACTATTCTCTATACCTATAACTCGTTATGGAGCTATTTAACACGGGGGCAATTGCCGATAACCGTCCCTAGGTATTGATGATTAGGATCGACTTTAGAACTACATATGGGCGTAGGTAGCGACATCATCGCGAAGGACCCCCCCGGACCGTAACCATTACTCCGTCAAAATCCGCGACGACTTCTACAAGGACGACAAGTGGGTAGAAGATCCAATGACCTACTAGTGCAACGTCGTCTGCTGCGCGGGCCCCAGGCGATGGTTTGATCCAACCAAAGTTGTCGACGTCCTCATGAAGATGAACCCTTACGGCCAACCAAGTAGTGACGCCCCTTACGGGAATGTCATGGCCCAACTACACCAGGTATACACCATAGGTTCACAAAGTCACGATTGATAGGGATTAGTCAGCCACAGAAAACCCCTATCCAGGCAATTAGAGCCTTTCTAGGAATTTTCTGCCCCGTAACGACATCCCCAAGAAGTCCAAGGCAATACTAGACATGATAGAGTATAGAAAATTTCATGGCCATCATCTTGACGCAAGAACGGGGATGCAGTATAACCCTCTCAGGGGAGAGCTGCTTAAAGGTTGCTACTTCCTGATAAATTATTCTTCTCTAATATTCATTATTGGGAGTAACCAAGAAAGATGGTGCGCTGGAATCGATTTGAGGAAGAAGTGTGGTATTCATCATAAGTCATCAATGCTATATTTAAGAAACACAGTCCAGACTAGGAGTTGAAGGTTACCTTGTCTAGAACAAGGGGTACTTTAATATGTATATTCATAGGTTCTTATAGTTAGCTTAGAGGTTCTTGCGGAATAAAGACATTGTTTGGATAACTGCTTAATAGTTACCTAAGTTTTAGGAATACATCATATTGTACTACGTCCAAGAAAGTTCTCTTGCTATGTCGCAGCCTGCGAGAACATTGATAGTCTTCATAGGGCCAGCAAGAAAAAAGGGAGAGGAATCTGGTGCGCTAGTCTCGCTCTAGCCCACCGCCTGGCAATATATTACTAGGTTAATAGCTTCTTAGCTCGCCTTATCCAACCAGTTTCAAAAAGTTTGTGACTGGCCATTGTCAACTCTTGAGAGTCTTGGATAGGTATATAGACCTATGTGAAGTATCCGAATATAATTAAAGACCTGACACTTTAAAGCCATCAATACCTATGATTGTATATAGTAGGTAGGCCCTAGGGCTAGCCGGTCATGCAACCCTAAACTCAATCAACCAGCTATACATTTCTCCAACAAAAAAAGAAAAGAAAAGCAAAAAGCAAGCCCTATACCGAGTAACCCACAGCACTAAGTGGGCGGACATGGCAAAACTAAACGCCTCAGGCGGGGGTCGAACCCGCAACCTTGGGATACCTCTATACATAGACCGGAGAGTCCGGGGTTTGTTTTTATTTATTTGTAAAAGTCCCACGCTCTAGCCAATTGAGCTACCAAGGCGGCGAAACTGAGATCCCGAAGTTTCGGGGTTTGGGCAGCCGTGAGATTTCATCGCTGTGAAGAGGCTTCATATATGTAGGTTAGTTACTTGGACAACGTCAAGACTTTTTATGAATGTGAGTTGACGGGGTAGTGTGCTGGTGTATGGTGGGATGGGATAGAGAAATGGAGAGTTTTAGGTAGGTAGTAGAAGATTGAAAATATTGATGCCGTGGTATGAAATATTTATTGCGAGCACTCATATTGTTGTCGCATAGTGATATTATCCATGCCTAGTCCAATAGTTAGATTGCATAAGGAATTCATAATATATTACCCTACCTACCTAGGTAGGTAGGTGTACGTTCAGACATTACCTAGTATAACTAACTCTTCCACTAAGCACCAGATATCCTAACATTAAATTACTCCCTCTTAACCTTGATCCAACCCAATCCAGCCCGATCCGATTTAACCATTTCCATAACACGCCTTGCACCCATTAACCCAAGTCAGCATCATAACAATCCAGCCACCACATCAAAGCCTCTTAGCCCCCCTCCTCGCCATCATATCATAGCGATCCGGGAACAAGATCCCATTCGCCAGCTTCAACAACTCCGCCTCGGCTCTATCCACACATTCTGCCTTCTCGTCCCAAGGCAACAAGCCCATGGACCTGAGGCCCTCCTCTCCTCCCGCGTCGTTGACATCCTGGACCCCGGGTCGGCCCATGTACTCGCGCTCGCCGCGACGTCCGCCGCTCTCGAAGTCGGGCGCCGGGTCGCCGAGGAGGAACGCCTTGCGCTGCCGTGCCAGATACAATGCGTTGGTCTGCGTCAATGGACACGCAGGGACGTACAGCACGCTGGAGTCTGACACACCGGCGTGGATAGCGTCGGGTGCATGTACAGCATCCGGGTGCCACAGCACGTAGTCGCCGGGCTCGACGTGTGGAATCGACACCATCGTCTTATTTAGCCTTAGATGCGGGTGTAGAGCATCGCTTAGCTCCTGAATCCCGCTCCCTGGTACGGCGCCCTGGATGACGCTGTTCTGTGCCACGTGCAGCTTCCAGTTATCCTCGTGGAGGAAGTTTGGGCCTGACTTGAGGCGTGGGGAGAAGAAGGGGCGGAGGAGAAGATATGCGGTTGTGAGTTGGAGCATGGGGCAGGCGAGCAGGGAGCCGCCGCCAGGTGGGATCGAGGACAGTGAAAGCCAGCCTTGGAACATTCGAAACATACTACACGAGCCGGCGCCGTTGTAGAGGTCCGAAGTTACACGAAGACGAGCGCCGCTATCCCAGGGGTCGTATTCTTCCCATCGTCCTTGGAAGATTTTGGAGTAGGCGCCTGCACGTCCGTAGCCATCCGCCTCCCACCTTTCTACGCTCCCATTATCTATATGCGGACCAGACGCGAGGAAAGTATCGCCGGGTTTCCGCATTCTAATGCGGTCTGCGTAGGCTACTGCGTGATTGCTACTCACGAGAGCCTCCTCATTATTCGAATGCCACACTCTCATGATAAATCTCTGTACTTCGAGTAGCCGCGAGTCGGCGCGAGCCCGAACTTGCCCCGGACTCCAGAATAACTCGTACAGTTGCGGATCATGACGCGGGATGCCTTTGATAGGCGGGTTATGCCTTTGGTACTCCTGCGTTTCCTCCTTCCATGATAGGGCCACATTCGATGGAACAACCCGTCGTATGATAGCAACGCCTCTCTCCTTTAGTGCGTCCCGGAAGATGGCCACCTTAGCTAGATCATATATATCTAGGTAGTCAATCGACGGTATTATATCGGACTTAGCGGTTGTGATGCGTTCTGTCTCTTTCCTCAACCGGCCAAGAAGACGATAGAATGAATCGGCAACTGCTTTCTCGTTGCCAGCAATCAGTTTCCGCTTGATATTGGCGAATCGTTCGGGAAGCGGAATAGGATCCAAGTCTGGTAGAGATAAGTCGACTGCCATCGCTACCTACTTTTATTGCGTAAGGTCCGATTTAATTATTTTATTTTGTAGTAAAGGTATGCCTCGGAATTGCTGTTTTCTCATAAATTCAAAGCAGAACTCCTTGTTACCTGACCAAAACAAATGTACGAGCAGAAACTCGTATGGGGGAGAGAGCCATTCTCTTACATACTATGTAGTAGGTTAGGCATGAGAAGGACGACGACGACACACCCGTGGGGGTGCATAATCTCCCGTGGGGGGCACGAGCACTAGAGAAGCGAAGACCCCACGGGTGTGGTCTAGAAGTGATCAAGGAAACGCAATCAGACGTTGTCACGTTGTCCAACGTTGAACCGCATCTGATATCCTGGGTGCGTTAATCTTCGGCAACAGACTCCGAAACAGAGATCTCTTGGCTTGGTACCCAGACCCTGGTACCAATTTATGAGAGCCGACACGGGTCTAGGGCGGCTTGGCTATTGGTTAGCTCAATGCGGCTCCTGAACGACGCTCCCACGGGCCGTTGGTCCGATCATACGCTGAGTAGGCTGACATGTCAACAAGACAGAAAAGCCTCAAGCATCTCGGATACGTTAGACAGCCTGCCGGGCTCACCAACGTCGTATCATCTATACTCGCCGAAGATTACACGGAAGCTTATGCAATCATGTACATTGTAAATTGACATGCAGTTCCCGGCGTCCCAGATTGCATTGGTGTGGCGGTTTTGGAATGGTTGAGAATTCTTAGTGGTCCCATTGAGTACATTGAGTGCATTGAGTACCCAGCTTTCAAGAAGCTTTACCTCGTTTTGATCGGCGAGCTGGTATTTGACGATCCGTGGCGTCGTTGGAGACATTACTCTTCCTCTTCGCCGGTTTCCTTGATGAATCCACCTGTGTAGGTTTGACGTCTGACGGGGAAGCAGTCTTTGCATCCCCGGACGTCGCATCTGATGCTCCCTCGTTTATTAATATGTAAGCCACTTTCTCAATATCAACAGCACCAACCCCTAGCCGGTTGGCCAGCACCTGAGCTGCAGTACTTATCTCCTGGTACTCTTTGGCGTTATACTTGATGGAAGACTTCTGTCCATTACGACATAGCCAATAGAATACTTCGTCCGAGAAGAAGATGATGCCGTGGGGATCATGCACCGAGAGCAAAAGGGATGCTGTAGCAGGACCAATCCCTTTTAGATTAGTGATAGTGCGTACTGCCTTGGACGTATCTAAACTGGTTCGATACTCTTGTACCGCTTCCTGGATAATGCGCTCGACAAGTGCATCATCATTTGAGGAGACGAGTTTCATGAGGGTCGGACGGAATTTGCCATGGCGCCTGAACCAATAAGTTAGAGCCAGGGCGGCCCGAGAATAAGACGTGCCGGATGGAGGTAGGTATTCTAGCAAAGTAAAGTAGACTAGACTTACAGCTTCCAATCAACCAAGGCTTTAACGTCGTTAAGCGTCATTGTGCTCTTTGACTCCTCTAAGCCATATGTGGTGACGGCATCACGGTATCTGAATTGATCCAGCTCCAGCAGAGTCTTTTGACCGGGCTTGGCTATTTGTAATGATTAGCCCCGCGAATATTACATAGTATTAAGCATGTGGTTGTTTCGAACTATTTCGAACACGTACCCCCTTTTGCTGACGATATCGACTCAATTAAAGACTCGTATCTGCCTAATAGTTGTTGGAATTGCTCAAGCGAGATGTTGTTTGGGAGTAGACTCTGGTCCAGCATTTTGATTATTTGGTATTCTCGCCGAACGTAAGACTGATGACACTATATTCTTTAGTTATGAGCAATCATTTACTTGAAACAATAGTAGTGATAGACAGGTAGTTAATATGTAAATAGTAGTGTCAACATAAGGATAAATCACATAAAGATGTGTTAGGTAATACCTCCCTCTTCTAACTTTCATACTACCTACCTAGGTTAGGTAGTTAGTTTAGGATGTAACTAACTAAGGTAATTACAGATAAAAGAATAAGTGGCCCGTGTGTTTGCCCGAAACGTTCTAGAAGCAAGAACGACCCCCAAAATAGATTTAGATTTGTCTTAGCGCCGAGACCCCTGCTCTTCTCTTGCATCGGCTCTACATAGAAAAAGTAAAATCTATTTCCTTCCAAATCCATCCTGAATCCCCGAATTTTCCCATCTTTCGCAACACCTAACCGCCATCCCGACCGCCATACCTCAGTCGATAGTTAAAGAGGGTCTTTGCATTTCCGTCGAGTCTACCTTCCTTTTTCTTTCTATTAACATAATGGGTAACGTAAGTTGTTTTATCCGCCTCCCAACGCTCCTATTCGGAGAAGAGAGGAGGAACAGCCTGAAAAGCCGGCCAACTCCGAAAAATAGAGGACAACAAGATTACCTATGTACTAATTCTCGCAATTAGGGAGCCAAGGCTGCGCAGAAGCGCGAGCGCAATGCGAAGGACAACAAGGTCGCCAAGTCGCAGTTGAAGTCGGTAAGTCTTGATATGACGATCTTATTTCTAACGAAGATCATCTCCACTGACTTACATGGGATCTATTACATAGAATGTCAAGGCTATGGATATCCAGTGCCAGATCTGCAAATCGACCTTCCTGAAGACCACCCGTGCGCCTCAGTACGTTACTCGCTTCTAAATCGCATTGTCAATGCACAATTGTTAATGCACAATTGTATATCCAATTGTATATCTCTACTAACCGTGCTCTCACATAGGCTCACCGAGCACGCTGTCAATAAGCATAACAAGACCATGGCCGATTGCTTCCCCGGCCACGACGCTCCTCCAGCCAAATAGACAAAACGATGGTCCGTATCCGTACGGAACGATCGAACAGATGAACAATGCGCATAGCGATTGGCGCACTTGGTGTTCAGCAGAGAGGTCTTATATGGGCGTGTTGCTATGAAATCACGACGCAACTTTGATTAATGAAATTGCACCGAGTTAACTGAGATTTTCTCACGTCTTGATGATTCGCATTTTGTATATGGTAGTATACACGTTATTAGTGTGCTTCCACCGCCTGCGCCTGGGTGTTGATATCTGCAACCCCTCCGCTCGCAGGTGCGTTGGTGTTGTTTGACGTTCCTTGCGCCTCTTGCTTCTGAGCCGCCTCACTGGCCTGCTGCTCTCGTATGTCTTTCAAGATGTCTGGATACCATCTCTCACCCACATCTGGGTGACTCTTGACTCTGTTTCTTAGTGTTGCCTCGCCCAGCGTCGATGCTACACCGCCCTTCCTAAAGGTAAACTCGACATCGTCAAGCCTACCTCCATTCGCCTCTAGTACTTTCTGTCGCCGCTGCTTGATCCCCTCTGGCACTTGCCCGACGCCGACCTCGTCCAGCTCCTCGAACGTCGTAGAGGCTCGGACCCCCTGGAAGAACGGGATCGAGAATCTCGCACCCTTACCCGCCTCAGGTGAGAGGACTCTATGGGTTGTCGACGCGCAAACTCCTTGCGTCAGGGCCTCTAAGCCTTGTCCGATGGCCACTACCAATGTGCCGTCGATCGGTGGGCAGTCGATCCATCTGCCCTGCATATTCTGGACCTGCAATCCCCTGTGGTTGCTTGCTTGCAGTAGGTAACTTGTCAACATACTATCCTTATGTGGACCAACTCCTTGGCCTTCAACACCGTCACCCAGCCCTAATTCGGATACATCGGGATATTTAACGATCTTCAACTTATGCTGCTGATCCGGATCAAAATACCGGTTAAACGCATCGGAAGGTAGCTCGATGGCCTCTGCGATCAGGGATGTAAATTCTATCGAGATAGCGCCCATGCGTCCTATGTAGTCGGTGTAGACGGCGCGGAAGTTGGGTAATACCTCTTGCGAGGGCCATTGATTAGGCGCGAGTAGATTCTCGTATAGCGGCGCGTCGGGTTTCGGGATAGGGTGCTCTGTAGACAGGTCGATCTGTTCCCTATGGTCTATCTTGCCGGCTGTTATCTCGGCCGAGAGCTGCGAGTAACCCAGGAACGACGGCGCGTTCTTCATCTCGATCTTAAGCCTTCAAACCCGAATTTGCATGAGCTTGTAGAACCACTTATGCCCCTTGCGTGCTCTCGTTATTAATATGATATATTTGGACTTACTTTTCTTCCTTTGGTATATCAAAGAACGCCTTTCCTTCCGATATGACTTGTTGCCAGAGCTCGGTCGGAATACCGACGTTCTTGAGATATAGGAAGCCGACCTCCATTAAGGCATGTCGTAGATCGGCTAGAAACTGCGGCTTTGTCTGCGCATCCCTAGAGAGGGCCAGATCCAAGATCGGAATCGAAGTGAACGACATAGCATTAGTTGAATTGCCGAGTCTAGACACAAGAGCGGTTTAAGAGAAATCTAAAAGTATTAATGTCTAAGTTGAATATACGTAACTAGGTACCTAAGGTATATTATATATCTTATGTTACATATACATTCGTACCTTAGTCCAGAGTTCCATGTTGTGAATCTCATGATGTAGCCCCACCTATTCTATGGCGTCATTCCGCTTATCGGCATTGGCTTGTTTGAATAATAAAGCTAAAGTTGAAACTCTATCTATTATTGGAGATACCTAACCTCCTATAGCAATGTATTATGTAAGCACCAGTTATACTAGAGTTAACTCTATACAAATCATACCTTTAATATTTCCTTATACAACATCATTTTCTTAAGAATGTATCGATATGTACTCTATCATTAGTTAATTATTATTTCCTATAAATCCGATCCTATTATTAAATATCAAGTATAGCATCCTCCATTATATATATCATGCTTTCTTATTTCATTACTATGCTTAAAAGAAGCCAGCTCGCACAATAAGATTATACATCCGGTCCGTGGAGTCATGGGGCCAGAAACGACGCCCTTTGACTTTCGACTACCAGCTCAAACAATAATTACATGTTTGCTCTCCAGTAAAGTTCAATAGCCATACCTAGCAGAATCCCATACCAAGCCACCTTCCACGCCCGGTATTTCGCCAGACAGAAGATGAACTTATAAGTCTAAAGAACATGTATAGGTTTTAACAAATGATCAATGGCCGTGTTGGAACGGCCTAGCGAATCATTCATAACTCATAACTCCGCCATACCTAAGAACTACTCTACCGCATACTTATACAATATCCTTATGAAATATCGCTAGGCCCTGGGGTTCGATTCCCTAGATGGCCACTTCAACACACCTTTTTTTTCTTTCTTTTTCCCACGCCCACTCCAATCAATACTCAAGCGTTTAATATATTTTTGAAACTATTCCATATTGGATGCCAAGAGGTTCCAAGGAGCCAAAACAAAATTCAGAAATGCCTTTCTTTAATAAAAATAACTGAGGGCTTCCTATCCTTACGATGCCTGCGTGTAGATGACATAAATCTAAATACTAGATATTAGTACGTATTCGACGACGACTTCGCCAGACCATAATTTAGGGACAAGATTGACATAGCAGATAAAAACGCTATCACTAATCATACCATGTCAGAAATATCATTATCATTGTCAAAGTTGCCAACAGAACCAATAAATTCAACAAGCGGGCTCTCGAAGATACTAAAGCAGCGAATACCCAAATAGGAAAACCACATAAATATCAGATAATACAGTGATCTCTAGAACCTCGATCGAGAAATATCTACCAAGGGTAGAAGGGCGGCTCTTGGATTCTCTTCCAATAAGAAGTCCCAAATTAAAAATCAATAGCCAGTATGCCCCTCAATGGGTCTAACCCCTGGGCAATACATATATATGTATATCAGTATTTCCAGATCGTACCATATGGGCCGATGTGTACGAATTCGGTAACCGTGAGAAATATCCGAAAATGAAGGTACCCAGTGTAATCAAGAATCAATAAATCTTATCACCGAATCGCCATTGCTAGATGTGAACTTATAAATTGTCGTATTCGACTCTCCAACTCGCGGGCGCGTTCAGTAGGGCTCTCCATATTTTTATTTTCTACAATGTCGGCAGTCTTCGACGTGGTAATCGTCGGCGGAGGAACAGCCGGACTCGCGCTCGCTACCAGGCTCTCCGAGGACCCCGGCTTGCAGATATTAGTCCTCGAGGCCGGTGAGGACTTGACCGAGGATCCTAGAGTTACCACCCCCTTTTTGGGGAGCTCGCTCACCCGCAGCTCCGCCGACTGGCAATTTAAAACAGTCCCTCAGGTAGGTTTTATGAATTAATCACACGATAAAAATACCGGCTCATTAGTTACTACAGATAGGACTGGGCAACCGAGAGACGATTGTCCCTCGTGGACGATTGCTAGGGGGTTGCAGTGCACTTAATAACTTTATCTTCGCTGCGCCTTCTAAATACACCATTAACGCATGGGCTGACCTGGGCAATCCCGGCTGGGACTGGTCGTCCTTCTCTGAATCTTTAAGGAAAGCATATACCTTGACGAAGACATCCAAGGAGATAGAGGGCAATGGTCCCCTGGAAGTTAGTTTTCCCGAAGATACCGAGTGGCTAAGGGTGTGGAAAGCTACACTGGCCAATCTCGGATATCCTACGTCTTTAGATTCGCTTTCTGGGGAATTCTATGGCGCCTATCTGTCTGCCATTAGCATCGATCCTGTCACCAAGCAGAGAAGCTACTCTGGCAATGCATACCTCCAGCGAGCGCGGTCGCGGCTTAACCTGTCTGTTTATACTGAGACACACGTCGAGAAGGTCCTTTTTGATGGATCGAAACCTGCCAAGGCGACCGGTGTTCAGTATAGTCAAGGCGGATTAACCAAGATAGCAACTGCTCGGAAAGAGGTCATACTCAGCGCTGGTGCAATCAACACCCCGAAGATACTCGAATTATCCGGTATTGGAGAAGCAGAGCTCTTAAAACCACTCGGGATCAACGTGGTAGTCGATAACAAACATGTTGGTGAAAACCTCCAAAACCATCCCACAGTTGGCATGTGCTTCGAAGTTATAGACCAGAAGGGCTTCGAGACGATGGATGGTATCTTACGGGGCGAAGCATCTGCTTTCGCTGCCGCCCAAGCGGATTACGAGAACCAGGTTGGATTCGGTACAAGAGGCAACCTCGAAGTCGCAGCTCAGCTGCCTGTGCCCGGAATCGAAACCCCTGAGGGGAAACAGGAGATCGAGAAGCTACTAAGCAACAGGGGGCTCCGAAACGACTCGGAAAAGACAACGGAAGCTTTCGCAAAGGCACACGAAGACTTCGTCAGCTCGGTACTCACCTCGCCTACCAAGCCTTCGGCTACATACCTCACAATCCCCGGCTTCGCCACCTACGCCGCCGACGGCACAATAGCCGGCCCGCCCCCCGGCAACGAGAAATACTACTCCGCGACGATAACCCTCGCGCACCCCCTGTCCCGGGGCTCAGTGCACATAACATCCGCGTCGCCATCGCCCTCCTCCCCCCCAGCCATCGACCCCAAGTCGCTCTCGCACGCCCTCGACGTCGAGATCCTCTCGCGCCACGTGCGCTTCCTGCACGCAATCACAACCACCTCGCCGCTCGCCAGCCATCTCGCGGCGCGCGGAAAGCGCAACCCGGGCGCCCCGTCCCCTTTAGATCTCGAGGCCGCGAGACGCTACGTGCGCGAGTGCGCGACGGGCTCGCACGACTTCTCCGGGTCGTGCTCGATGATGGCGCGGGAGCTCGGCGGCGTCGTGGACGCGCGCCTGCGCGTGTACGGGTGCGCGAACCTGCGCGTCTGCGACGCGAGTGTTTTCCCCATCGGCGTCGGCCCTGGCTCCGGAGCCAGCGTCTACGCGCTCGCGGAGCATGCGGCCGGGATAATTAAATCGGACTTGGGATCGGCGTGAGCCTGGAGATATACATACATACATACATACATACATACATATCGGGAGGACGGACGGTGGGGAAAAGCTGCTAGTTGCTAATTGCTTTGGGGGGCTGCTTTGGAGTTTCTCGACGGCGTCTTGGGTAACAAAGTCGTGGGTGGTATTGGGATTCGACTTATTTCGATTTACTGCTGGTCTAATACAATACACGTTGCTCCTTTAAACTACTTTGGCGTGGTCGTAGACAGTTATGGGCCATGGCTATAGTAAGGAAAGTGGCTAACCTAGTTAATTATAACCAGCGACGGTTTAGCACTTACATGCCTTTTACGGAATGTATTTGCCATTCCACCCAATCAGGTCAGTAGATCTTTAGTTAGGACCTAGATAGCGAGAAAGGAGTGGAACACGTCTCGATATGCTAGGTATAGGATTTCAAGGACTAATACAGCAACAAGGAGTATCACCATGTATTGCGATTAAAGTACGAGGCAACTTTGATTTTTATGTGATTTTTAATATCTTCTGTGACCTGACATATATGACAGGAGTGAAAATAAATCTTCACTAATAAATGCATACTCCAGATGCGCTTTAGTGCATTTAATTTCGACTCGATCAACGCTCAAGCCCAAGGAATCTGTCTTAGCGAGTAGCTAAAGACTTCCTGATATGAGACATCTAAGGCTATCTTGACATGAAACTCGAAAACGGTAAAGCCTCCAAGCATCTCATAGGTGGTGTCCTTAACCCCTCAAGCTTCAAGTTTGGCTTCTTAACCAACCCGCCCCCCTTTAAATAATCGGAGGCGGTGTTTAACAAGCTGCTAGAATAGTGGTATCTATAACTCTCTCCTTAGATATTGAGCCCTGCCCACAAAGTACTAGTGGAAGGGCCAATAGTATCGATACTATAAGCCGCGCGTGTCTCTAAATTGGTATCTTGGTTTTCAACGGACAGCACTCATGATGCTGAAACAGGCGAGTTCGACGAGAATAGCTTCGTAACTTGGTAAAAAATGTCCTCGATCGGTGGCATCGCGAACGCCGGCGCAGTGTCGAATAGTTCTGAGAGCTTTTGTGGTGGGATAACAGCTGAATAAGCCTCGTCACCGTTCCCGTCGGCCATGGCATCTGGCATGTCAACATCCATTTCGTCCCCGCTCGCTGGCTCATCGTCCTGTCCAGAAAGTAATGCCAAAGAAGGCCTGTCTTCACGAGGCTCCTCGGTGTTCACTTGGTCAAGGTTGAGATCAGCTAATGGCTGGGCAAAGGCAAGGGATTTAGTATCCATGCCCTCGTTGACTGACCATAACTGGGCGGCAGAGTCCAGAACAAGGTACCCACTAGACCCAACTGAGGCAACGATTGACGTGATAGGGTATGGGAACCTGCGAATTATCTCCGGCTCGCTTCGGTCTGGTGAGAACACTGCTAGCTCGGAAGTGAGGAAAGGCGAGCCTGGCTTGCCTCGTGAAACAGCCACCGCAAATGTCGAGGTCTCCTGGTCAACTGCCATATGCGTCAAGATAGCTGCGCTTGGACCAGATGAATCTTCGTCTGTCCTCAGTTGAACACCGTACAGTAGCTCGTCGGAGACCAAATCATACACTATGAGACGATCTGAAAGGACGATCAAGCATGAAGACAGTACTTTGACATCGCGGATTTCCCCGGTTATTAATCCGTCAATCGAATCCCGAATCTTGCCGGATTCTGTATCGATGACGTGGATTGCCGAGCCATGGACGGTTCCAATAGCACAGACTATGGTAGACCCATCTTCGGAGAAAGAAACCGCACCCGAGCCTCGTATGGAACTGCTGGTAGCTGTTGCGTCTGGATCGATCGGTTCCTCGTTTTCCTGAAGATATATAGTTCGGGAACATCCCCAGCTGTGTAGCTGGCGTCCTAGTTTGCCCTTGACTAGCACTCCGTCGCGTTGCCTGATTGTTGGTTCCCACAACCTAACAACTCCGTCTTCACCGATAGTAGCAAAACGATACATATGCGGATCTGCGGCCAGACCGTAAATAGGCTCGCTTCGGCCTGTGTAATGAGGTGCGTTGATACGAGACACGAGCTCCAGACTCTGGTCTTCCGAAGAGGCGGTCCAGAACTTGAGGTAGACCTCACGCCTTTCGGCAGGGGATCCTTCTAGGGAGTTGATATCCCGCGACGGCGGCTGCCACTCATCAGTAGTGGCAAGCCACTTCCCATCTGCTGAATATGCCATGCCGGTGACTCGAGGCTCCGTTATAGCATATCCTTTAGCTGTCGTATTCACATCTGTCGGGTTTGTTCTTGTTAGGGCTTGCTTTGAGATACCTTGCAAGGTAGTGAGATCTACTGTTTGTATTAGAGGAGTAGAAGGGCCGCTCCCAGAGTGGCTTAATCGTTGCCCATTCCCTACACAAAAATGAATCCGCGAGGAGTCCACTGGACTGACTGCTGCAGGCGTCTTTAATAATCGGTCGGGGGTATATTGGCCTATTCTTCTGACTAGGTCATCCTTGGAAAGCGGCTGTGGGGAAATGAGTGTCTGTATTCCAGATATGTATGTTGTTGGCTTCATTTCTGCGGTCGATAAAACTATGACTGAATTATCATCTAAATGGAGAACGTATGCAGAGCCACGCTTCGAAACGACAATATTCTCGATTGTTGCAGAGAGATGGGGTAGGAAATCCATCTTCTGCGTGTCTAGCTGCCATAATACCAGCGTCGATTCGGATCCTCCAGAAATGATGTAGTGGCCTACAAACTGAGTTAGAGATCCATTATCAATATTTGAGAATGAGAAAGCTTCATACCATCTCGCGACCATTTGATAGTGTGGACAGCTCTGCGATGCCAATGGTACTTGCGGGGTTGAAGGGAGCCTCTGTGCCCCTTGGAGCTATGTAACCGTCGGATTTGAGGTAAGATATCGTTGTAGAAGAACACAGCTCCACGAGCACAGCCTACGACAATTTCTACAACAGGTTCATTACCAGCTTCCACTTGCGTCTTTCGATTAAGATGTACACGGTCCGTTGCTCGTACATCTAAGCATACAATCTCGTCGCTACAGTCAAGGGTGAAGAACTCGTATTCGAGCTCGCCGACGCGCTTGATCGATGAGGTCTTTAGTGTACCAAGAAGAATGTTACGATCTGCTGATGCTATTAAAGCATATCCGTTTCGAACAGAACGTAGATTTGAAATAGGCATGGTCTGGGTTAAGAGCGGGATGGAATCCTTGAACTTGGATCGGCGCACATCACAGGCGACGATCCGCCATTTCTTCTTATGCTCGATAGAAACTAACGGAACATCCCTAAGTTCTGCGCCAAACTTGATATGTTCGACAGACATGTCAGATAGAAAGCTGCATTGTAGCTTGAATAAGGTCTCGGAACCTTGGCCGTTCGTCCAATCAATCAACCAGACATGGCCATCAGACGAAGCAACCCATATAAGATTTGGCGAGCTTGGAGATATGCAAATAGACATGATCTGTCCCGGTACATTCTCTACATCGAGCTCTTCCAGTTGAATCTTGCGTATTAGAAGAGAATCCGCTGTCGAGTATACCTGAATAGAGGTGTTGTATGCAAGTATTAAATGCCTGGCATCCATGTTAGCTCCTAGCCTCGCAATCCTACCCGTAGCTCCCCAGGTAGATTCTATTCAGCACTCACTTCTCATCTTCCGTCAATATAGGGTCCACATCCATAATCCGGCCGCCCATTGGCTTTGAAACCTTCCAAGTTGGCGAATGGTCTCCATGTCTCTCTTGTTCCGTCCGGTGCCGCCTCTTTTCTAATTTGACAACAAAGCCTTCAGACTCTAATATTGTGCTAGTCATATTGTTGGTTCCTTTGGGGGGTACTGCTGAGCCTTTTCCTTGACCCGTTATGGCGTTCTGTGAGTCTCGCTTCGGTCGTTTTCTTTTGCCGTGCTCGTCGACATCCCTTTTGCGCTTGTTTACACTAAGATCCTAAGAAATAAAAGCTGTAGGTTAGCAATATTATATAAGCTTCTTCCTGGCGCAACTTTCGCTTACTTCATTGATTGCTATGGGGGCCATCTTGAAACCAAATGCTGTAACTCATTAGAAGGCAGCTTTTAAGCGTCGCCAAAATTGACGAACCAAAAGCAACAAAAAGTTCACAAGATTTTTTTGCGGGACAACGCGATAGGGCGACCCGATAAGAAAGTTTTGGTACGAAGTACTTCGTAAAACTAGTGATTTAAGTGGTATGATCTACATAAAATAGATTGCTTGGCATTCATTTATCGATAACAAATTTCCATTCAACTTCTCTTTCGCAACCTCGAGGTTTCTTTTACAATCATTGGCCACACCACGCTCTTTTTCGCGACGGTCAACTACACATCGCGCTTTGAGCTACAACCTCGACAGAACCACCCCAACATCGATATTCATGATATTCTATGAGACGTGCACTTTTGTTTGACAAAATGATTATTCCTATTCGATGCTTTTCCTGCGGGAAGGTAGGTATTTGTTATTATCCGGCTAGACTTGCTTTGTGTTGACCAAAGGACAACAGGTGACGGGAGACCTTTGGGAGCGATATCTCAAGCTCATCGATGAAAGCGTCCAGGATGGGTTCGTTGCGCTCACTCCTTATGTTCACACTTTGTACTAATCAGTTCTCAAAGCGATGCCATGGACTCGCTAGGTTTGAAGCGATACTGCTGTCGCCGAATGGTCATGACCCATGTTGACCTCATCGAAAAGCTACTAAAGTAAGACCAAGCATATTTAGAATCAACCGAGATCTTTGATATCAATTTTCTAACATGTACGTAAGGTATACCCCTGACGGACGAAACGACAAGAAGATCCAATTACAACACAGTTGAGTTTCGGTCGTCTTGGTATGGATGAAGTTTGGTAGTTTTGATGATGGAGATAATTGGTACAAAAAGGAGATAATTGGTACAAAAACTGCATTCTATGGCGTTGGCTGGCAGTTCCAGGATGGCGTATCGAGACTGCTTAAGTGGCGTCACGACAGTTTAGACAGACTGCAATGTGAATTTATTTGCTTTGGGTATTGGAGATGTCCGTGCTGATAAATCCGCCTTGAGGCTGAAGCGAGCCAGACCGCCTCGCAATTATATGCGAAAGGCCTATCCGTATGGCCTCGAGTTAGCCTATGCTAAATAGCCGCGAAGGAGAACGCCATGCATGTTAGCCGCGACTATATTCCTAATCTGCTTCTAAACTAATTTTTCAACTCTAGCTGACATCCTACGATGTTTATCTTTGTTTGTTTCAAGGCTTCGGGCCACAAATTATCGATCACAAACCGAATCCGATCTTCTGCATCTTTCCACCGGATAAAGGATTTCATCGGTGCCTTGCTTTAGTTCTGGGCTGTATTGTTCTCGCCTGTCGTGTCACGACTGATCATTTTAGGGAATAGTGCCACGTTGACTTTCGCAAGTGGCGCCGCCAAAACAGCCGCAAGCGCGACATATTGAACATGTACTGGACTCATATCTTCTAACCGGCGTGAAATTTTTCTTGGTGACCGCATGCTTACGTATCGATTCCTTGCTAAAAAGCAAACATGCCCTTTTAACACTAATTGATGCACTTTTGTTCCAACATTTTACGTGGCGAAGGATTACTTCTACGGGTATTATACTTGTATATGTTCCTCCCTAGAATATGTATCTTGTTGGCTACCTGCATGTAAGTTATATATGATAATAATTGATAATAGTATCCGGCTGGTCTCATGTGAAAACAAACTCCCTTGAATCTATCTCCTTAACCTAGGTAATTCCTCCGAAAATTATCAAGTAAGGTCTACCTTAATTGTAATAAGAAAAAAAAAAAAAAAAAAAAAGTTTTGGACTGTAATGGCAGGGAGCTCCCAGCTTTCCATGCAGCAAACGATATGCAGGTTGGTATCACGGCGCCTATGCACGCACGACTAACACAACGTTCTGGAAGAAGCCCCCAATGGATAAGCGAGTGTGGATCTTATATGCTACGGTACGTATTATAACTACATGAATAACTACATGAAATAGATGCAAGGGACATACAAGCGTACCTCCTAAAAAGTCTAGGTAGTGATTTAACATTGACTATTGCTACGAATTAGACCCATTAATTAGTATTAGGCATGTTGATTATCTAAATACCTCCTATACGTGTCACCTAGGTTAGGTAGGTACGAAACTAACAGCATATGCCCAGCTAAATGCCTTACGTGATTGACATTGGCGAACTTTGAGACCAGCCAATAGAATTATAGACAGATACCCCAAGCGGCACTAACTAAAATAAGCTACCTACCTAGGTAGGTAGGTTAGGGAACTACCTACATGTAGGGAAAGGCCGAGCAGCAGTTCGAGGTACGGTATACCTACATAGCGGACAATGGTCCGGGGCTTCCAATTCAACACCTTTCAACTGTCGTGCAACCTACAACTTACAACTTACAACTTACAACTTACAACTTACAACTTACAACTTTTCTCATGGCTGTTAACACGAACGGAACTAGGAAAAAGTAGATTCGTCAGCTTCAACCCGATAAGAACAGCTAGCCAACGAATTGGCCCCATCATTGCATTCTATAGTATCGCATTCTATAGTAGTATTAATGGCCGCTCACCTGAGAAGCAAAATATGGTCAACGGCCGTATAGAAATTCTGGCCCCCAACAGCTCTGCTTGTAAGACAAGACAAGGCAGCAAGCAATCAGGGAAGCTAGCACCTTTACACCTTTGCTCATTTGTCGTCGGTTCCGGCGGTCACATCAAAACGAGTCTAAAGATCCTAGCCAGCATCGCTGTCCATATCAGTCATGTTTCTGTCCTCATTGACGCAGTGATGCTGGTGGATTCGGGATGCCGAGCCTAACACGGCTTTGATGGCCATTCGAGAAGCACCATGGCCTGTACGAATTTGTACATAGTATGCAGTGTCGAGGCCCGCAATGCGTGATCGGCCCAGCCTAACACCTAACAGCAAGGTGCACACACCCTCTCGACGCTCATACACCAATAATTCTCCTCGGCCCACATGGGTAGACCCAGTTCGAGCTAATAAAAGACGCGGTACCAGATCTTCGGGAACACTATCATACCGGGTTTTGTCCAAGGATTGGTTCTTACGATGCATGAAATACTCGCAACTTTTCGCACCGGCCTTTTTTTTCACGCAGTTAGTGCCTTAGTACATAACACATAATGGCATGTATGTATGTATTATGCTACAGCATATTGGGCAGCCTTAGGGTTATATCAAGATATCTTTTACATCTAACTAGGCGATAGACGAACTCACCGCCTCTCGTACTAGGTCCAGCTCCAGCTCCAGCTCCAGCGATCTTAGGTGTATCGACTAGTTTTATCCGTTTTCACCCATAGGCAAATATATGTTACGGTGTATTTATATCGCCTTAAGCCATACCAAACCACGCCGGTTACGCAACATATTAGCAGCGGATTCAACTGTCGTGATACAAAGCCAAGGGAAGCGAGGGGGAAAAGCAATATGGAGCCTGTTACGCTCGGTCTACGCTACCATGTCGCTTATTTATTGGCTACATCATCGTGAACTACAACGGTCAGTCTGGGGCTTGTCGGTGTTCTTTTGCGCCTTGTGCACTTTTACCCCGGCATGCTGGGATGAAGTGGGTTAATACCTAGCTCATTCTCCGAGTCTTGGACTGGGGTGCTAGAGATCGCGGTGTCTTCCTGTGACTCGTTGATTTGAAGCGATCCATCCGTGGCTTAAGCGCCGAAACCCCTGTCTCGGCCCCCCCCTGCAGCCCACCATCCGACTCCCTCCCTTGCTATCTCCCTACTGGTTCAAAAGCTGCACTCGAGGTGCAAAAGAGTTTAAGACGCGCATCTGCAGGCTGGGAACTGGACAGCGCAAAGGTGGCCGCCAAACCAGAGTAAGCCGTCGAACTCTGCCCGAAGCATCATCAAAAGACAAGTGAAGAGCCTCCGTACCACCAAAAGTTACCTACTTAGGCAGTAAACCAGCGAAATCAGGATTTCCCCCTCATCGGTATCTTTCCCCAACATCGTCTCGGTCCTCATATCTAATTCAGCCTCGAAGGAGCCCTACGGTATGCGGATGCGCTCCACGTCCTTTAGGTCGCAGTGGAGCTCCCTCGACAAATCTCATGCTGATGTCTTTCATAGCCCCTCCTCTCTCAGACCAGCAATTGAATCGACCTAGTCCACCACGTTCAATCTGTCCAGTTACGTCGAACTCTGTCGTCTCGAAAACCCATACATACATCTGATATTCCACCCCTGTCCCGCACTTCTACGGATCATCCTTTGTAGAAGCGACCAAGCTGTTGGTCCTTAGTCTGAGTGTCGCATAAGCCGATCGTCCTAATACCTGATAGCGTTAAGGCCTACGATTGATCCAAATTCTGTCGCTTTTTCGTGGACAGTTCATATCCCCTGGTTAATCGGGCTCTACGTCAACTTGTGTTCTCCGGGTCTCTGGCCATTTCAGGACCCAGATCAGACCCATTACGCGACCGCCATACGTGGTATACATATCCGTCGCCGCGTGGATCATAAGCGCGCCACGGCTTTCTCAGCCGCAATACATTTAAGAGAGAGCTGCTATCAAGTGCAATTTTTCTCTTTGACGCCTCCGGACATACACCGCGGCCTGCGCATCCCAGCATTGCCAAGCCAGCCATGGCCCTCGAAGCTCCGTTGAGAACATCAACCGGGAGTATAATATCTACTTTCTCACCACATATGGAGATGTCTATATCTTCGTCAGAGTCGTCTGCGGCTCATCATTCGCAGTTTCGTCCAATGTCTGTCGTTAACTTATTCTATACATCGCCGTCGGGGATTTGCGCTCACATGAATCAGGTCTACTAGCTCTGTAGAGTCCGGTTCCCTCCGACCGTCATCTGCTCTCGCCCGGCCATCCTCCGCCAATCATTATCTTATGAGCCCGAGCGATATTGTCGGCCCTTCACCAGTTACCTCTGTCGGGACTGAGGTGACAGAAATAGACGACGAAGAGTCTGACGAGGTTCGATCCCAATCTTCCACAGCGGATCCTGATCAGCAGCCTCAGGTTGGTGGCTTGAAGATGGGAAAGTACCTGAATTAATGCTAACTTTAAGCTAGCTGCTTATGCTTAGGACGAACATTCCTGGTCAAGTACGGCAGACGACAAACGAAGAGGCGATATCAGTTATACACGCCCCGGAAAGCTTTCGGAGTTGGGTGAGTTGAGAATCTGGGATCTATCTTGCTTGTATTATATTAAGTGGCATTGTAGAAAACTGCCGACAACTCGCCAAAGTACTCAGAATCGACAGAAATGATATCACCTAGGTCTCCTATCTCTTCGAAAACCGAGGATTCTGCATTCATACCTGCTAGTAGACAAGCTCCAAAGGTAAATATCCCCTGAAGATAGTCAAGGTAAAAACTAACTCGTATAGTCTAAAACTCCTGGCCTGCCAACACCACCCCCTCTATCGACAGATGTCAAGCCTGTCAGATATAGTATTGATAGTGCAACGCCTAGGGCTCAAGATCTCCAGGAAATAATGAACGAGCCATCAAGAGTCAGGTCCAGCAGTGCTAGTAGCCTCGAATGTTAGCACAGTCGTTCTTCTGATTATTCCGGTGTTGTAGCTAACGGCTCGCTAGTAATACCAGAATCTAAGGAGCCAGAGACAGATGCTGAACCTGATCTAGAAGGCTACGATGACGAGGAGTACGTCACACGCGTCCAAGAGCAGGGCAGCGAGGATGTAGAGATCAAGTCTTTACGATCGGCCCTACAAGAGTGTTGGACTTTATGCAATACCTTGGCAAGTCTCAGCACTCATCATCGGGAAAGAGTATTCAGTTCGTCAGGAACCCCTGATGGTCATGAAAGAGCCTGGAAATGCTGCTGGAAACTATGCCAGCGGTTGTACAACAGCCGAGACGAAGTTGATGAGTCTTCTAACGTCCGTCAAAACTTAGACCTGTGCCGGGATTTCTGTCAGGCTCTCTTCGATATACGGCAACGCGGGGACGAAGTATCAGATTCCGTTTTACGTGTGAGCTTCGAGCTCAATAACCAGTTGGTTTGCCAATTTTACGATTATTTTTAGAGTGGCTATGCTAACAATGATCTAGCCTATATAGCGCGCAGGACAACCGAACTCTTCCGGAGGCTTTCCGAGAGCGAACTTTAGACTTCTACATCACACTATGCCATCGACTCATGAAGCAGCGCGGTGAGTTGGGTGAGGAGACAGATTCGCTCCTTTCCGCCTGCTGGTCTCTTGCAGAGATGCTGTTTAGCTTACGACAAAGCAAGAGGGATAGAAGGACGCCGGACGGCGAGCTTCTTGGTTCTGCAGTCCAAGCATGTTGGGAGCTCTGCGACATATTCAGGGAAGGATGGACGCAGATTCGACCCGATAGGGGGACACCGCGTCCTAGTCAGGCAAACTTTTTCTCATACAACCGGGAACGGGAAATAGCCGAGATGGCAGACGGACGAGATAGTAGGGCTTCGAACCGTTCGAAGACAGGTAGCCTCAAGAACCACTCGTCTCAAGGAGGAAAAGTAATGCGGAAACCACCACCTGTACCCGAGACGCCCGTGACCGAGTTCGAAGACACGCCGGTCTCTCCCGATACCGAATCGCCGCAGGTACCGAACATTTTGGTACTAGGAACGGAAAGCAATAGGGGCGGAAGGTGGTCTAGCAGTGCCTCAAACTTCTCGAGCTACTCACAGAGCAGCCAAAGGACGTCCAGCACAGCTACAACAGCGACGATGAACGAGGATCCTAACATCACACGCATAAAGGTACTTATCCTGAAGGCGGCATTAAATGTTGGGTTTTCACGAGAGAGCAGCGGACCGGACGGACATCATCACAATAGTGCAGCATCGCTGCAAGCCTTCGTGAAATCATTGCCGAGTGGATCCTTCGGCTCGTTGCCAAGCCACACGGCGCTTTTACAGAGTTATAAGAACCTAGTAGTAGGCGACTCTCCATTTCGACAAGCTACAGCGTTACCACCGCGTGGGAAGCGTGTCTCGGCGGCTGACGTAGCCAAGAGCGTGGAGTGGATGACGCACCGCTCGGGTCAATACGGGTTTCTGCGGGACTTATTCAAGCTCGTCTTCGGTTTCCAGGCCGAGGAGGCCGAAGGGCGTAGGGCCATGAATATCACGGTCTAAGGAGGCAACATGAGATGAACCAATCGCAGGGAGCAAACTATCTCCTCCCCCGTCTTTCGTTTCTACTATATAATTTGAACGGCCAAGATATGTTTCACATCCTGCATCACGAATCTTAACGCGGATAGGGGTCGGAAGGTTTGGAGAGGTTTTATTCGTTTTACTTATTAATGTCTTGTTGTTTTTCGCTTTTTCGCCCTCGCTTTTTAAGATACCCCCTTTTACTCCTCACGGATGACGAAGCCAGATGACTACGCGGCGCGGCGCTTGGAGGCTTTATACTGGAGAAAGAGACCGAGACTTGAGGCTGGGAGATAAAAAGAGAAAAGAAAGAAACAGGTTGCTTGATGAAATCAGCTGCCTGCGTACCTGGCCTGTCTGGTCTCGTTTATATTATAGGTGCCATTGATGTCAGCGTCATTTACGAAGCGGTCGGAAAATTATATGCTATGCTATGTTATGCCATATTGCTAATTTAGCAAGACGAAGAATTGAGATATTATGAATTTAATGGTTTTATCCCAATGGTATAACGTGGGCTTTTTAGTTGTGAAAATTATTACTGGACAGCCGGATGCTAGGTTGGTATGTTATGTTAGTTGTTATCAAACCAACCACTGTCTACTTGGAACAGGACAGTTTAACTATTACTGGTCTATGAGGACGAAGCAGTTAAATGCTACTTATCACTATACGGTTATTAACGTATTATACAGAGCAATACAGAGAACAATAGTAAGCACACCCCTACGCCATACCAAATCACATGACACTCCTCTTATCACGCATAAAATGATTTTAGAAACCGAGGCGGTAGAAACCCAGATTTTCCTATTCATCGGAGCAGCGTCCTCTAATATAACATACAGCTACCGAGTAGAATAACCAGGCCATCCACGCGCAGTCAAACCATGTTTCTCATATAGTAAAACAATCTGGCCAGCCCGGTCCGGTCCGGGTCCAACCGAGGATGCAAATATTTCCCTTGGTCCGTGATTTCTCCTAATACGCCAATGAGCCTCGGAAGCGGAACAGAGATGTTCGCTTCGGACGTTGGTAAAGAAATTCGGAACTCGTATGCCATCTACCCCACACCCACATATCCACACATCCACACACCTCTCAATTCACCTCAGATAGTGTTTTGCGGCCGTTGTTCAGCTGTAGCACTAGACCCGCGGCATCATAGCAACACACCGAAAGCCTATTTGTCCTTGCGGGTGCCAGCAGGGGGTAGGGTCTCGCCATACTTCTCGCAGAGGTCGTGGTACTCCCTGGACAAGCCGTCGGCCTGCTTCTTGAGGGTCTCGATATCGCGGTCGCGCTTCTCGATTTCGGTGCGGAGGCGGGCAATTTCGCCAGGCTTGCCTGCCTCGGCTAGCTTCTCGCTTTCCTTAGTCTTGCGGTCCGTGCCCTCGTACTGCTTGACCTTCTCCTCGAGCCGGAGAACCTCTAGAATCATCGTGTATGTCCGGTTCAGGATCAGCGATAAGAACAGGGTGAACCCGCACAGGTACATGTTCCGCTGGCTGTAGAACTTGCGGGCTTGGACTTCGAGACGCTCGTGGCCCATCACCGCTCTGTTGGAGAAGTGATTATTAGTATAAGGCTACGGGCGGGCGGGAGAGTTGGTGGGGGGGAACGCTTACGCAGCGCCCTTTGCTGTGTCAGTGGCAGCGGCAAGCTCGAGTTGCACGCGGTAGACGCGGTTAACGCTGTCTAGGAAGAGGATAAGGATAAAGACGAAGGTAATTTTCAGCCAATACTGTAATTTAGCAACGACGGGATTTTCGGAAAGGAAGCTGTAGTTCGTAATACACAGTCAGCAAACGCCACAAATTGGTTAGACGGGAGGGGGTATTCATTGTGGACGTACGTAAACATCTTCCGCCGGAAGGTGAATGGCATCGGGACGACGAGTAGCATGAAGAGGGACATCTCCGCTACGAGGAGCACGAAGACCTGGTTGTCCAAAATTAGCAAGTCGAATACATTCATTATGGGCCACAACAGCTAGTAGCATTCGATAGACTCTTGTTCGAGAATGTTTCAAAGGAAGATTGAGGATGCGGAACATACAAGCGAGTAATAGAGCGTCATCTTGGGTGAGCTACTCGTGGAAGCGTCGGGAAGGAAATTATTGTGTGTGTGTGTGTGTGTGTGTGTGTTGATACTTGGTGCAGCAATGCCCAAATGTGTGTGCGTTGTCAAGAGAGAATTGACGTAGTTGTCGATATATGCAGATGGCGGTAATTGTCGACGTATCAAAGACGAAGATTGGGTAGAGATTCCTGTCTTGAATTGCAACGAAGCTTTTGGGTTAATAAGTGAATTTTAAGGGAAAAGAGGAAAAAAAAGTCGAAAGGTGGCCTGGTCCTCACGAGAAGTCGTTACCGAGTGATAGCTCCTGCTGCTGAGCTGGTTTAGGTGGTGAGTGGTGGGGCTGAAAGTGGCAGGTACCCTACTATTAAAGCTTGGAAGTCAACTACGTCAGTTCGTACAGGGAATTAAATGACGTTGCAGTTACACGGCGAATCTACATAGTATATGTACCTACCTAGCGCTGCTTTTACCTAAGCCCCCTTCTTTTTTTTTTCTTTTTTTTTTTTAAGCCGTCAAGTACATCCGTATTCTTTACCACAACCCACTTGATTCATCTGTCACCAATACCTTAAGTACTGACAAGATATACTTCTAGCTTTAATTTCGTATGCTTGCGATGCCATTTCCGTTATACACCAAGAAACATTCTGAATGGGTTTCTTCATTCTATATTGAAAATTGAAATGTATAGGTCTACTTCTGCCTAACTGGTGTACCATGCAGAAGCAAATGCAATCTGGCCTGTTGTGATGGGAGGCCCAGGGCCGCGTGTTCTGCGCCACAGCTCATCAAATGCAGCAAATTACTCCATTGTACCTATTGGTTGTGGTATACTATGTATATTTATCTGCTAGCAAAGCTACATCGAAATAGGAATATCATCCCTGAGCTTAGAGCTTTGATTGCAACCGAATAAGTCAACACATAACCCATCAAGATAATCCAGGGTTTATCCTTCCGCCTGAATCTCGTAGCTGTTAGACTTATGCTTGGGCTGGAATTTGAAATCCGGATGAGCAGGGCCTAGGAACATCTCGCTGCATTTCATGTTAGTCTATACCTGATATGATAAAAGACGGAAAATAGGAAAACCGGGACATACCTAATCTTGATCCAGTCCTTATAGTTGTCACTTGCTAGAAGAGTCTCAAGCTCGTTCCGTCCTTTGTATAGCGGTGGCCTGTCGTTGAGGCTAGGGGGAAGGTATTCCAAGACCCCAATAGGTACGTATCGGTACGTGAAGCTCAACCACTCCAGTAAGAACCGCCTCGTGAAGCCCAGGCCCAGCTCGTCAGATCCCCACGCTTCCAGTCCGTAACGGACAAACTTCTCTATATAGCCCAGTCGCTCAGACGCAGACTTATCCAGATATTGTCCCTTCTCGATCTCCTCGAATAACCACGGTTTGACCATAGCGCCTCGCGCAATCATGACAGTATCAACTTTGGCCTTGTCAATATGCTCGAAGTAGTCTACATGTGAATAACAGTCCCCATTGCCGATAAAGTAGACTTTACCGCCGGTTGTGTTTGCCTGGGTATTCTCATCCGCTTCTTTGGCCGTGTCCGTTATCTCATCCTTCTTAGCTTTGTATGATTTAATTAGGCTAGTACATTCAGCGATGTAAGACCAGTTGGCACTTTTCGTATATCGCTGCTGTCTGCTTCGTCCGTGCAATGTAATAGCCGCGCACCCGGGTGCTCCAAGTCTGTCCCGTGTGTCTGGACCACCAAAGGCAAGCCTTTCGATTAGCCTGTCTGCTGTCGGCTTCCCGTCCCGTACCCCTGTTCGCAGCTTTGCTGTAATAGGCACTTCTCCAGAGACGACATTCATACCCCGAACCATCTTCTCCAGCTTGCTAGGCGTGTCAAGAAGTCCAGAGCCAGCACCTGACTCGTATACCATGTCGATAGGACACCCGCAGTTCAAATCTACTACTCGAAGATGAGGAAGAAATTGGGCCAAGGCCTCAGTTGCCTTCATTGCCACCCAAGGTTGATTACCCGAAATCTGAGCTCCGAATTTGAGGTCCTTCGTATTGTCGTAATCCTTTACTATTGCGTCCGGCTTAGGCGTAAATCGTGGGGATACAGTTTCCGACTCATGGGCCTTCATAAGTGCCCACTCGCCCTTCTGACCTTGTACGAGAGGCATTCCCATGGCCATTTCCGAATATGTAATCTGAGCTCCTAATTCGACGCATAGCCTTCGGAAGGGTAGATTGCCCTGCGTGGTTAGGGGAGCTAATACCGGAGTTTCCTTCCCGAAGTAAATCCTCCTCTTCTCGGACGGCTTAAGCGGCGGGTCCACGAATTGAGCTCTGAGCTCTTCTCTGATATCAGCATTTGTACTGTCGCCCTCTTGCTTTTTGGCTTGATTGTGTACTTGTCTCATCAGCTCAGTATCCTTTTCTAGCCATTTTATGTACGGCTCAGACTTTTCAAACTTGACCTTTCTTCTAGCTAGATCCCACTTGGTATCGGTAGATACGACGTTGACCACGCCAGGTCGTTGATCAGGATCTTCGTCAGTTTCCATGGCACCGCTATTCTGGAGAAGTATAAGCTCTTTTCGTCCATCTTCTCGCTCGATTTCCTTAGAGTGGCTCTTCACGAAACGGCACTTCCACCCGGCAGTACATCTACCATACTTCTCAAAAATGGGGCATTTGCCATCGAGAGTATCGAGGTCCTCACGTCGACCCTCCTTGAGATACTTGCGTAGGTCATGAGATAAGTTACACCTTTCGCCAAATTTGCACGGTTTGGGTGAGAATTCGTTGGAGTAGGTAATGCTGTTGCATAGGCGGAATGCATCTTCGTGGTTGCCAAAATTGCGGTTCTGATTTTGACCGCCTTGCTTTTTCCTGTTCTTCCCCTTCTTACCATGGCTGTCCCGAGGATCAGGTTTGCCATTGACAGAATCATTTGTGGCAATACCAGCTTCTGCTGCATCATCATCCACGACCTTAGTTTGAGCCTCAGCAGAGATAAGATATCTAGCAAATTTTATTAGCTCCGAGCAGAATGCGGACGGGTCTTATACTTACTCAGCTTTCACGGGCGCAACACCTCGGGTTCTGTCCTTGGACTGATTTTGCTGGTCTTCCCGTTTTGTCTCTTCATGATCAAGCTTTTGTCTCTTAGACGCAGGACCATCAGTCTCGGTATGTGCACTGCCATTGGCACCATGCTTCAGAGACTCGCCCAGGCTACTTGCGACTGCGGTAGCTTTGTTATCCTCAACAAGTTGTCCGTCCGCCATTTTGAGGATTTGGCACCAAAGTTACAAAAATGATGCAAGTTTTTGGTTTGATGGATTTTGGTTCTGCGTGTCGAACTTGCACTTTTATTTTACTTTTATTTGCACTAAAGTTATCCAAGTACATGTACTTCGTACCGAATACATTAGGTAGAGCCCCGAGCTCTGATTGGCGACTGCCCCGCCATTACATACATGTACCTACATAGAGACATGCTTAACCTAAGAGTTGAACTTTTAGATATTTAAAAAAGAAATTGTACCTAAGTTATTTTTACTCTATATTCTTTATGGAAATAATAGCTTATGTCATCAGGATTGAAATAGTTGTACGATCATTATTTAAATACTAACTTTATCGTTATGGTTGGTTGATATTTATGCCATATATAATAGTAAGTTATGAGAATTTAGTCCATTAATAGGTATTTGATTGAAAACAACTACGAGTGGAGATACTTGTTATAATGTACCTACCCAACACTACTACATCAATGATTACCACCTAGTAGGTGGTTAATTTGTTAAAGAATTGTTAATAGTAACCTGGCTAATTGTATTCTCATTACATATATGCATCGTATAATACAGCAAGCATGAGGTAGTCAACCTCCAAATACCTCAATTATCATCTTATCTCTTATCTTACATGCATATACATAATCCATATAATCTTCCATGCAAAAGACACATTCCAGAAGGTCAGATGACAGGAACACGATGTGCTGCGTTGGCCATCTCCCGCACCAACATCGTGTCCGTATACGTAAAGGTTGGCAAATGATACACTGCAGTTGTGCGGCGAGGAAAGGCGACTAAATATGAGCCACACAACATCGACCAAAAAACATAGAGCTTAGTCTAAGGGGATTTTGTGAATCGCATATACCATTTGTCAAGTCCGATCTTAAACGTCTTCCAGAATACCGAGTAGACGGTTATTGAAATAGAGGCTTTCAGCTGAAAACAAGCATAGCTCAGCTCTTATACGGGTACCATTAAGATGGGCTGTTACATAATATATAATGTATCATGCAGGGTAAGAGCATACATGTAGCCGTGTTAGATGCAGCTTCTACTTTATACATAGTAAATTGACTTTACTAGCTTTGGTGGCATACTATTATTGGCAGTTCACACTCTTATTAATATACAAATCTAACCAGGTAGGTACGTAGGATGAAGGACAGGTGCCGTTATCGTTATCACCCCGTTGCAGTAAGTGCAGGTACATACGTATAAGGTATAAGCCCCCGGCCAGGCGGGGGAGATACGCGGGATTAGCTGAAGTGGTACGTACCCATTTACTCAAAAAGTTTCCGACTCGTTCAAACCACTTTTTCCTTGCTTCATCTTCTCTTTCTAGAAAAGTGCCCAATTTCATGCAGGGGCTTAAAGAAAGCAAGGGATGCCCGCGTGGCCTGTCAACAAATTCAACCTTAACCATTTTGTATTAGAACGGTTTTTTTTAATCTGTCATCAATTCTATGCTCCGGATTACATACCGGCATCATCTATTTTGAACTCGAATAGCTTTCAACTCGTTTCAGCCCTTGCTTGGGGTCAAATACTCACCTCTTTGAAACTGCCCTACCTTAACTGCCCTACCCTGTAGTTTTACACCCCATGTCCTAAATCTTTGCTCGAGTTTCTCCATGCCCTTGCGCGACTCGCCTACTGACTACCGAGAGACTAGGCTAGGTGGATAGGTTGGGTGATTGACCGTGTGACGTATTTTCAGCAGATCACGATTCAGAGCCCCCTAGCTTCGGACGCGGAACGTAGGCCATGTTATTCGAGAACCATGCCCTCCGCTAACGAAACTATGGCCGAGAACCCACGATCGCCCTCAAACAACAAGTCGAGGACCATTCGATCCCAGAGGATCGCCCCGTCCTCCGCCGACGGCGACAGCGGAAACGAGGCCCAAGACCGAGCTGCTCCCCCTACCCGAAGCCACACGCCAGGCCACCTCTCATCCAAGAGCCAGGGAACTTCCTCGAGTAAACGCAAGGCATCCGAGCCCTCGATACGTTCACGTTCGCAGTCTGTTTCTAATAAATCCGCGTTTGCCGTGCCACCGCCCCAGTCTGCTCCGACGCCTATCCCCACTCTCACCCTTCGGCGCCATGTTGACTATACTGCTCCCATACCGTCTGATCCGCAGGTCGGATCCTCCAGCCTAGATGATGGACGGCGGCCGGTAGCTATGCGCTCGACATCGGCCATCGCCGGCCGGGCCACGACTACGAGCACGGGGTCGGGAGCTTCCGGTGCATCTCGCAAGGCGTCCTCCGCTCCACGGCCGCGCGGCCCTCATGTCCCCTTTCCGCCTCTCCAAGATCCCAAAACGGCACCCGATGTGCCCGCTGCACCTTCATCAGGCATGTATTGGTCGCGAGCACCGGTGTCCGGAGCCCCCCACACTCCACTCCGTGCACACACGACCACTCTAATCGGGAGCAATATATTCGTCTTTGGGGGTTGCGACTCGCGTGCCTGTTTCAACGAGCTATATGTCCTAGATGCGGACTCGTTCCACTGGAGTAGCCCGCATGTGACGGGCGAGATACCTGTTCCGTTGCGTGCCATGACGTGTACAGCTGTCGGTAAGAAACTGGTGGTGTTCGGTGGTGGAGACGGCCCGGCTTATTATAACGACGTGTATGTGCTGGACACGGTTAACTTTCGGTGGCATCGGCCGCGGATAGTAGGGGACCGGACGCCGAGTGCGCGGCGAGCGCATACGGCCTGTCTGTATAAGAACGGTATCTATATGTTTGGTGGCGGAGACGGAATACGTGCTCTGAACGATATATGGCGGCTCGACGTCACAGATGTGCATAAGATGAGCTGGAAGCTAGTATCGGGCCCCTCGCCGACCAGCTCGAATGGAACGGTAATCAAGGATACTAGCCGACCTAAAGCGCGGGGATACCACACAGCGAATATGGTAGGAAGCAAGTTGATCATCTATGGAGGATCGGACGGCGGCGAGTGCTTTAATGACGTATGGGTATACGACGTGGACACGCACGCTTGGAAGGCGGTGCACATCCCCGTGACGTTTAGGCGGTTGTCGCACACTTCGACGATCGTAGGTTCATATCTATTCATCGTTGGAGGTCACGATGGCAATGAGTACTCCAACGACGTGCTGCTCCTCAACTTAGTCACCATGACTTGGGACAAACGGAGAGTATACGGCCTCCCCCCCAGCGGCCGCGGGTACCACGGCACCGTGTTGCATGATAGCCGGCTCGTCGTAATCGGTGGCTTCGACGGCGGCGAGGTTTTCAGCGACGTCTGGATCCTCGAGTTAGCCGTACACGCATATTACTCGCAGATAAGCCATTTTACTATCGAAGTCTAAGCCAAGCTCGAGTTACCGCTGCGAGTTTAAGGAATTTTTGGTTCGGGCTGTTGGCATCCAAGGGGCGCTGAAGGTCAGATTTATGCGGCCATGTTGGTTTATTTATCAGCTTGGCCTAGCGTGGACTTTGGACTAGATTACATATCATTCTGATAGCGTTGTTCTTTGTCTACGGCGGGCTAATTGGGCCTTTATTTCGTTATGTGCCATCCATCCATGTCTACGCAAGGGCTAGCCGCAACACCCCTCAAAATTGGGGGGGTTCCTTTGGTCAGTGGCAGCCTCCATTACGAATATGAGTTAATCCACGCGAATGTAGCTACCAAGCATCATTTCTGAATTGGGATCGGGAGGATAGTATTGCTTTGAGCGTGCCGTCACTAATCTTGGGTCTTTTGGGGCGCCGGGACACGTAAAAGAGAGAGGGGCAAAGGGGGAGAAGGGTGGGTTGATATCTTATACAGTCGGGTCAGATCACAGGATGGCATACAAGTCCAGTGCCTAGAAATAATATGGTCTATGTTATATAATATTAAAACATGATGCATCATCGTCTATCAATCATATCGCCTCCGTCCCCCTTCCCCCCTAATTATGCTAAAAAAGAATATCCATGGCCTTTTTTCTTTTTTCATTCCTTTCCTCCACTCCCTCCCTTGATTTCTACCTTCGACAACAGCGCGATGTAGAAAAAAACCCACGAAGAGAGCAAGAGGTGAGCAAAATGATGAGATTCACCTAACCCAACCCAACCCAACCCAACCCAACCGCACATGGCCGAAACTCCGGGACAATGATCGATGCAAAGGAAAATATGCAGGCGAATCCGGGACGCAATGGAAATGCCTAACCGCTCTACACGCCCAGCAGGCGGCGCCTCGTCTGACCTAGCCTAGCGGTCCGCTCCCACCATGTATTTCCCACCATCCCATTCCCCCAGCGGTTGAACGCCGCCACCCAGCAGCCGCCTATTGCGAGTTTCCCTTCTGCGTCTTCTGGGCGGCGAGCCGGCGCTCCTCAGCAGCCACCATATCCTTCCAGAGATCCTGGCCCTCGTACTCCTCCTTGTGGACGCGCTTCTCGATGAGGGTCTTGTGCTCGGGGTCGTTGGGGTCGAGCACCTTGATAGTCTCCCAGCGACCGGTTCCGGACCGGGCATCGGCCGTCTCGAAGACGGCGGAGGCGACGAGCACGGCTAGCGTTAGGCCTTGGGCGTACACACGAGCCTGAACGAGCTTCTGCGAGGTGGAGAGGTACTTGTTGCGGCCGACGATACCCAGTGCGACGCCCATGGCGGCGATCCAGGAGGCGAAGACGATGGAATACCTGTTTTCGCGGCCCCACGTGGTGAAGCGCTCCCAGTTGGTCTCTTGCTGGCGGATAAGCTCCTGTGTGCGCTGGGCCTCGTCGACGTAGAAGTTCATGGGGTTGTTGGCCTTGTGGAAGGCATTCGAATACCGCTCGGCGTTGATGATTGCGCCGAAGGTACCTGTGGATGTGACGAGAAAGGCGCGGAAGGGGAGCGTGAGCGATCGGAAGACTGGATACCGCCGCGATGCGACCATGACGCCAACTAATCCAGCACCGATACCTAGGGAGCCACCGATGAGACCGCCTGTAAGCACTCGGCCATAGTGCGCTTGTTCTTCCTCTTTCGAAATAATCTTCATGGCTGCGGCTTTATGTTTATATGTGGTGCGGGGTTTTATCGATTCTTTCGACTACTCCGATACTTCTTTATATCATAGGCAGTCCGATGCTTTGGGATGGGGTCTTGTCCTGTCTTGTCTTGTCTTGTCTTGTCTCTAGTATTACAAGATCTGTATAACTCTAGGTGTATGTGCACGTGGTCGTGAGAAATGTGCGATGTGTGGGTATCTTAGGAATATCTAATACGATTGCTTTGAATGTGTATTATCGTGATAGTTTGGTCGGTACGCGGGGTATTATATTTGAGGATCTGGTAAGTTGGAAATTAAACGGTGACAGAATTCAATTGAGCACCTGTAGTTTGCAATTGGCTCTTCTTCGGGATTCAGGCGGATTCAAGCGGTGACTCTTAGTAACATAACACAACGTCAAATCGACGAAGCTGTTCGCAGAGGAGAAAGTCGGGAAAAAATTACATGATGTAATCCATCGGTGGCACGTTCCGGCGCACACTGGTACGATGGAATGTGGTTCGGCAAAATAGAGCAGAGCCCGAGTTATTCCCGTATTGTGGCTAATGCAGTTTGTGGCTTACGCATCAGTCGTATAAGTCTTACAGGCTAAAAAGTGCTAAAAAGGCCTAGGAAGGTACTAAAGGCACCTATTACGAAATTAGCGCCCGCTGTTCGCCGTTTGCTCGCCGTTGAATACAAGGGCTTTCGGGGTTTGGCAATTAGTTCCCGCATTTAGTGATCAACTCGGCGTCTTCCGCCAAACTCAGCTGTCGTACTTCCGTCGTTATAGAATGCGACAGCCGCCGTCTTCAACCTACTTAGCGACAAACCTCCGTAAGGCTGCGGCTGTCGTCGCGGCATTTCAGGTGAATTTCATCGGCGGTGCGGCGTGTCTTTCAGGGTTTCAACTCCGAATAGCAGTATAGTTTAACGATTTCCCTCCGCGGACTGGAACACAAGGAACGGCGTATCCAAACATTCGTGGAATCCGGTCCGCGAAGGAGCAGAAAGCCGGGGGTCTCAGTCAAATCATCGAAGCGTACGCTCCAGTGACCATTCGCTTCCAAACCTACCTAACCTAGGTATGTAATGGCACATGTCTATCACGTGTCATAAATGAACGTCTTGGCGTCTCTTGTCAGCTCCGTGTCCGAACTGTCTTAGCTCAGCCAGGGCTAAGCGGGACAAGCGCAGGGAGATGCCGTTTCATGCCTTGCAACTCATCTGCTGCTGCGGGTGGGTCTGGTAAGGCTCGGTTAAAGCTGACACGCAGCGAGACGACGGAGCTAGAGCTGGCAAATTTTGGAAATATTTTATGTAAAAGAGAGGTTGGGCCTCTCTGCCAATATGTACCTAGATATCTAAACAATATTACAAATATATTGCTCGGTGAGAAACCAGGAAATACACACCTTGGTCATTTTATAAGGATTTGAAATCTTTGCTCACCTTGATAATTTATATTTACTTGCCTTGTCCATGCGGGCAGGTGGAATAACGACTTTAGTTCGCAATACTATACGATCTACATAAGACCAGAATGCCGCTAGAAGTAGAACATCGTCGGTCTTTCTTCCGGAAAAGGCTGGTAATGAGACGTCTGGGTTAAGTAGGTAGGCAGCTTGGTAAGAACATGGAGGACTTGATGGAAGACTTGATCCGATAGATCGCAAGGAGATCCAGATGGCCGTAGGAAACGGGGTTGCTTCAAAACGATCGATCATAATTTCCCCTAGGCGAGCCGGCGCCGTGATGCGCATGGCAAGTTATGAGAGCCAATCCCACGCGAATCCACTGAGGCGAGCAGAGTGGCTCTCGCTACTGTATTACCGCAGCTCGGAGATGAAGTCTGACATTTGAGACGACAATGCTAAAATATGCTAAGCCGGCACTTCAGCGGCATCTTGTGTAATAGGTTGCCATTAGCCACGAGACCGTCTCTCTGAGCGACAGCTTAAAGAACATGGTTTCAGAATAGACTGACGCCGTCTCATCTCTATTCTATCTTTATATAGTTAGCGGGACGATCTCTTTAGTTATGTAGGTAGTTGACTGTAAAGTGGGAATCGTGAGGATCGAGATTGTGTGTGGACTGCAGAGTGGAAGATGCTTCTGAGGCTTATTCCGGGGCTGGCGCCTCTGGGCCAGTGGAATTCGAAGTGGGAACTAGGAGTTAGGTCTCGTTAGCGTAGTTAGTGTAATAGTACATAGTTAGCGCATCTTCCCCCTTGTCTCCCCTTGCAGGGACCCGGGGACAAGATACAAAAGTGGAAACATGCTTGGAAGCATGCTGCTTACTGCGTCCTGTGCGTACCTAAGTGCCTTTTGCGGAAATCTTAATTCAGGGTCCAAGTGCGCTAGTGCACATCATAGTGTAGAAGAAGAAAAAATGCAGGCGCTGTGAACACGGAAAGTGTATTGTACAATACATCTATGATGTACATCTAGATTTAGGTACGTACCGCAACGAGTTGTGCCTCTCGGCCCTCTCCATGTGGCCTCGCACATCCGCACCCGGAGGAGAGGATCAGCGAATAAGAATATCTAACGGAACGGTTGATTGGACACGGCAGTTCGATCTTCCACATGCGACCGTCTAAAAAGCGGTGAATACTCCGCTCGAGTGTCATCTTTGTCATACGTACATACATAGAATAACTACCTAAGGTACATATATATTAGGTACATACATTAGGTACATACCTAATGTAAGCATACAAAAGGGTGGCCCTGAGTACCTAATCCAAGAATGCCAATCTGAAGCTGAGGTCAGCATATTATTAGAGCATACAATTCTTGTAAGACGTTCATGTACAGAGTAGTAGTGGTAGTATTCGTATATATGACTCGGTGTAGGTCGTCACATTTTCAGATATAAACTTGAATGGAGGATATTATTCCCAGACAAGTTGCCCCCGCAGAGTTGACATCAATACCACGCGAATATCGCGAATATCGCGAATATATTGAGGGGGTCGGGGATGTGTTTCCAGCCATGCGGAATGCAGGACAATCAGAGTCGAGATCATCAATTAGCATATAAACATACCTGTTTAAGCCTTCAATTCCGTCATAAATGCGGAACTACGCCTATTTGTCGCGGGGTTAGCTCCTAGCTCCTAGCTCGATAATTTCAGATTCCCAGAAATGTTGAAAATTATTATTCTAGATCGGAGATCACCTTCGAGATCGATGGGATCTGCCCCTGTGTTCTAATACTCACGGACCTATAATACCTTATCTCTAAGTCTCTGTTAGTGTTGTGTAAGGCGGAGGTGAAGTCGCAACGTAATGTCGCACGTAAGGCTTACAACGAGGATAGAATATGGGGTTGAACAACATGGTATTTCTTGCATATGGAATATTCCCGGTCTACATATCGTCCTGCATATTATGGGCGTATCATGGGTGACTACCTAGGTAGGCGACTTACATACACGGACCGAAATAAATCATACGCGGGTGTCATCCGGTTGCTGAGTTATACAACTATACTACGTTGTCGTAGACGTTTTAATATATAAGATGTAAGCCCAATGTTATCTATCACTTACCTATAATCAAGAGGGTGGAAGGGCTAGGTATGTAGGTAGGTTTGGGTTGGTAATAGCCTATCTAGGCATGTATTATGATATTATGATATTATGATATTATGATATTATGATGTACTATGGTGGTTTGGGTGGTTTGCTCGATTGTTAAAAGGCAAATAAAAATGCCCGAAGCCGAATATTCGGTAACTTCCTGTTCCTGCTTTCAGCTCGGCGTCGCAAGGCTTCGAGAACGAAAATTGCCGCATCAGCTGAACCTCAAAAGAATATACACCTACGAAAAGTGAAAAGTCCCAACAATGTTTAACAAATGTCTAACAAGTATTATGTAACAAGCCCCAGCATTTAATTAAGCCTTGCCTGCCCGTTTAGGTCATGTAGCACTCAGGTCTCAAGGAACTGGAAGGACGATGTTTGTGGGTTTGCATCCGGACTGCCAAGTCTCGAGACCAACCACAAATCCCTACCGTAGTAATTTAGGTACTTGAAATTTTTATCTTATTTTTAATTCGATCTTATTTTTATTCGATAGAATAGTTTAATACTATACTGTACTGGCCAGGTTGATGTTGTTTGCGCACTTGCTTGCGTCCGCTCGTGCGACTAACCGAGGCCAATGAGAAGAGCCGGCGAACCGAATATGGCTTCGAATTATAAATGGGAATGTCGAGTTGTCTAAGATGCGCACCAACGAGACGGCAGAACGCAAGACCTCCTCGGCTTACGGGTATATATTGAAGCTATTAGTAAGAAGCTAAGCGCCGTATCTATTAGGACTTGTAGGGTTGCTGGGCACCTATGTATGTATGTAGTAAGAAATAGTGGTGGCGTCGGGGAGGCTCTGATTTGATTCATAAAGTGGCGTTAAGATACCTAGTCGAGAGCTACGCACAGCATGTGATTGTATATAATTCGACGAGATGCTAGGACGCCAGGGTATGAGTCAGGGCAACATTTAGCGAATGGGACATTGCCCATTGCCGCACTAAAGGGGAACGCTCTTCGTACGGAACAGGCCTATCCCGTATATCCAATTTTGACAGGACGGCCTTTTTTGCAGTTAGGTAACCGTAACTGTGTAAGTGTACGGAATATGTAGGCATGTGGGCATGTGGGCATGTGGGCATGTAGCTGGAAACTTAAGTCCCGATTGCGCTGGCCTATTCCCAACTAGGTTGTCTCAGCTTGTCCCAGTACGAATATGTATGCACGTTGCGCTGCCGTACGAGTAATAAGAAGCATCTTCTCATGCAAGCAGTTTAGATTAACGAGGGTGAAGTTGCTAATGGCCGCATCGTGTGGTAATTCGTGCGTGAGAGTGAGCCTATACGACCTCATCCGCGGCCGAGTCATACACGCATGCTGCCCGTCATTCTAGCTCGTCTGCCTGCTTACTCCTAGTTTCCCACGCATTCATACAGCGCGCAAAACACGATACTCGCGGGTAAGTCGAATTGGCTGAGATCCAAGGCTGGGTAGCCTTGTTTAGATCAAACTCATCTTAATCGTTTAAGTTGTGTAAACAGGAAATATTGTAAAGGTAAACGGCAGCCAAGCCGAGATGGGAGCAACTATGTATTATTATATTCTTGTGCTATGACGCACGAGCATGACATCAAAATCCCTCCCGTCTATCACCCTCACCAAACGTCGCGTGTAAGTGGCATTTAGCAACATCATCATACCTACCTAAGGTAATCACCATGATTCCCCAGAATTCAAATTCGACCGTAATGTAAGAAGATCAATCTTATCATTACGACTGAATAATAGTTAGTTCATAATAGTCTCAAAAAAAAGATGAAACTTATTGACATCTACTATGTAGTAGCAAACGGAGGCCTGATCGTGCAGACCCCCAGTTGGGACCCTAGTAATCCGTAAGTCCCACACGCATCGGCTTTCCTTAATCGGTGTCGAGTCGCTCAACATCCCTGGGTCCTTAACTCCGTAACAGACTTAGACTAAACAGACCACTAAATGTAGTGTAGACCTAGCCGTTGGTTGTAACATCGAGCCATGTGAGTTCCACACCATCTCTTCAAAAACGAGTTTGAATACATAATAAGAACAATGCATACGATGGCCCGATGCCCGGATACAGCTCTCTGCATTTATATTATCAATAGGTAGTAGCCAACTCGCCACAGTCGTTTGTTTTTAGTTTCCCATTCCATCTTTGAGCAACGCGAGCTTGATTAGAAACCTGGCTAGAAACAGCCCAAACCCTCATCGAAGCCTCGATATCCCTGCTATGTATTCTATGTATGTAATGTGGAGATGAAATTGAGCCATGTACGTTGTATGTGCCTCGTTAGCCTTTCCCCATCGCTGGGGACTAATCGTCACTGATCAACAAACCTGACGATACTATGTACCTACTCGCCGTGGATTCGACAGCCCGTCCTCGGTGGAGAGGTGCTAGTATTTCCCAGCTAACCTACAGGAGCAGCAGGAGTTTTTATTCTCCTCTACTACATACATACATAACTAACTTAGAACACTACGAGAATCGCGGTTGGCTCAAACTGCCTACCGCTGATGTGGGTTTGTTTGCCCATCAAACTGTCCATGGAATAGTCTAATTGATCCGAACTTGGTCTGGGAGATTGCCGTTAGATTAGGTACCGTGGTTCGGTAGTCATCACAAACATATGCGTGTGTGTAACTAGCCTGGTCCTATCCCGTGAGCCTAAAATGTAGGCATGTAATAGGTAATAGACTTGTTATATCCAAGTCTGGTCCATGTAAGTCGATACCGATATTGTCACCTTAGTTAGCTTCATTACCTACCTTCATTGCTCAATACCTAGACACAAGGTATTATATACCCACAACTTGATCCGTGGAATTGCTGTCATGGTTTTAAAATACGATAACCCACGTTTCTAACTTTCGTATATACATACACTACGCATTGGACTTATGTACGTGCAACGTGCCAATGTGCTCGCATGAACAACCGCATACCAACAACACCACTTATACCACTTTACTTCCTTTAGATATATTGTTCGGGTGTCTCGATTCCACTACCCCCCACCCCCGGCCCGTGTTTAACAGCCGCCTCCAAAAAACCACTTATTAACACCACCTACATCACTTGTCGACTTACCGCCAGATCTGATTTCGGGATCATCCCGCCAGAACCACAATACTCCTCCATCCATCTGACTGCCGTGCAACCCGCTGCGGTAGTAACTGCTGCACAACCTGGCTAAGTAGGTAGCAATCCAGAATCAATCCCGGCGTCCAAGGCGTCTACGGCGACCACAATTCTCTCCTAGGGCTACTAAGTACCGCCGGCTCGTCCGTCACTAACCCCCGAAACTACATAGTTGCAGCGGACGAGGTTTCGCCAAAATAAAAGGTGGCTTAAAGTATTAGGTAGAGCACCACCTGCAAGAGGCGAGACGCTACGTCTCCCGTCCCAAGCCAGTGTGATTTGCCTCCCGTGGTGACCATTACCAGCTGCTCGGTCGAAGCTCGTGCTTCCGTGTGATTCTACGCTGTGGAGTTTGCCGCCGTACCTTTTATTATTTTATTACTTCATACTGCTGCTGCATCTCTCTGGATACATTGGGGAATATCCACTCTACATACGTACAGGCAGCTGGAGACTCGACAGCTTGGACCAACGTGATATTCGAGCTAATCGATCGTACCGTGTTTGGTTACAGTTTGCATCTGCCCCTCGTCCGGGTTTCCATCCAGTCACCTAAGTAGCGTCTAGTTTGGACCTACCCAGTGCACAGCATTCAAAGCGACCCCCGGCCCTACATATCGTCGTTAAGCTTACATACATTCCTACCTACCTACCTCTGTCCATACCCTCATACATATCATACATATCATACATATATACGCACACACATGCGCGCATGAGTTACGCGCATAAGTTGTAAGTAGTACAGCAGACTCGGATACTCCTACAATACGACTCTTCAAACATACCTCACGCATACATACACTGCGGTCATAATCCTGTAAGTTGTTCGACCTAGCTTCGTACCCTTATGTACGTACCTTAGTCAAGACTGCCTAGACGGAAAGGCACCTTGTTTTTCTTCTTCTTCTTCTTCTTCTTTTTCGGATTCGTCCATCCGCTCCCCGTCTTGAAGCAGCTTCCAGGCATCTTTTTGCCTTCCTCGCCGGTTCCCCAAGGCGGGTTTACTCCCATATTCACCTTGGAGGCCAACACGACTAACACATTGAACTGTCCTAATCTCGGGTTGGATTCATAATTCCGTCTTGCCGTTCGTCATTATCTCTTATAATATTTGAGACCACTTTCGCTTTTCTTATTTTATTTTATATTTATGTTTCTTGCAATTGGAATATTTTACTGACGCTTTTAGTTATTATTACTTTAGGTATTGTACAGTTAAGAGGCAAAGCCAAAACCGCCAATCCAGTTACCTTAGGTACTCCGTTTGTTACGAGGTACTTAAAAGAAAGTACCAAAGATACTTTGGATAAGGTACCTTTTTTTGCCCACCTGAGGGAACGAAGAGCCCAGCCCAAGGACCGAGGACCAGGAAGGACCATTCTCAAGGGTCCGCGGGTCCACTATACTCAGCACCAATCAGCACCAATCACCATGAAGGGCGCCCTGGGTAGATGGCTAACAGGCACAACACGTACCCCATTTCCAGCGACTAATGACACCGAGCATCCGTTTAGCAGCCGCAGCAGCGCCGAAAATAATAATAATTCTGGCGCTGGCTCTGACCTCGCCGCTGCCGCTGCTCCTACACCAACTTCCTCACATTCCCTCACCTCGCCGTCACCTTCACCACAACCCGCAACTCCGGACGACCAATTTAATTTCCCCGGTCGCAATAACTATTTCGCTTCCGATATCACCGGCGCATCTGCCTTTAAATCTGTTGCCGCATCCGCATCTGCATCTGCATCTGCATCCGCATCCGCATCTCCCCTCTCCGTCTCCGCATCCAAACCAATAGACATCGCGAGTAATAATCCAAAGATTCGCAACTCCAATTCCGCCTCGCCGCCTTCAGGCCAGCCCATCCCGACCGAACCGGACTGGCTTCAAGTTAACGTCGACGGCGACCTTGACCTCGAAATGACCACAGGTCCTGCGCTCGACTCGGCCGTGAGCCGTAGTCGCCAGGACTCCTTCGTCAGCGCTGGACCCAAGCCCATCTCTATGATCAATCCGAATCGCGAACAGGCTAATCGCGGTAGACGGGAGAGCTTGGCCGGCAGTTTAATGAACGGTATGAGCTGGGGCGGAGTCTCAGTCGGGAGCTTCATTAGAGATGAGTAAGTGGTACCGATTATTTTTAATTCTCCTTTGCTCGTTATCAATTTCCTTGTCCTCATGTTCTCATATCCTCATGTCCCCCATATCCCCCATATCCCCCCCTCTGTTACTCGTCGAGGATATGCTTCTTGTTACGCAGCGCTTCCGTTTTACCCGACCTGCTGTTTTTTAAATAATTTCATGAGACGTTTCTGTTTCTGTTTCTGTTCCTGTTTCTGTTCCTGCATGTAAAAATGCTCCGGTGGCAAGTCGCTAATTATCATGTCTCGAAACGAATAGCCTCGTAATGACAGGCACGTCGCCGTTTACCGGTGCTCATCAATCGCCCTCATTCCACTCTAACTCATACATCCCCAAGATGGAGGCCGAATATCTGCGCAACTTCATATGTTGCGACTTGAAATTGGACACGATGCACGATCTGCTTCGCCACTATGAGACGGTCCACACGGGCCAGAATGCCCAGCCGAACCGGAATGGGTCCGGTATCCCGATGCCCCATAGGCTTTCGGTTAGCAGCCGACCGTCTATGTCGATGGCAATTGGACGGCAGGATTCGCAAGGCTTTCAGCATCAGTCGCAGATAGGATCGAGCCAAAGGTTCGGAAATATAGGAAGCAGCAACCTCAGCCCCGGAATGGGTTTCGGTGGAATCCAGATGGGAAGACAGTCTTCGACCATGGACTCCAACGCCCAGAAGCGATCACAGCAGCTGAACCGAATGCAATCCAACGACGAGATGGATGCTGTTGGTGACATGGAAATGGATGACACCGTCGGTATGATGGAGATGGACGATAACCAACGAACTATCCAACAGACCCGACAAATGTTCGGACAGCAGCAGAGGCCTCAACTACAATTGACCACCCCGGGGCTACAGCACCAAGCTCTCCGAACATCGCAGCCGTCCACACCCGGTGCTAATAACTTTGGCTTCCAGAACAATCCTACAGTCTCGTCAGTCAACACGCCTACCTTGACAACGCAACAAGCCGCATTAGGGCAACAAATAAGTGGAAATAAGGATGGGATGGGGGATATGGACTTCTCTTCGCTCAATAACCTAAACCTCAACAACATAGGAGATTTTAATAACTCTAATCTCTCCGAGTTTTTCATTGACGACCCGGCCAAGAGGCTCTACAGCCCGAACGGTGGACCGGCAAGCCAGAGAGCGTTACAGCAGCAGATGGCTCAATTTGGACTCGATGCAAGTCAGTTTGGAAACATCACGGACCCCAACCATTTGGCAGCGCTGCAACGTGCGATCGCGAACCCTGGTTCCTTGGTAATACCGCCGGAGGAGGACAAGCCCTTCAAGTGTCCAGTTATTGGGTGCGAGAAAGCTTATAAGAACCAGAACGGCTTGAAGTAAGTTAAACTTTTGTTCCATTTTTCCGCCTGAGACTTTGTCTCCTCCCCCCTCCCTCCCCATTTTGAATTTCCCGGCCCTTATCTTTACATGTCGCTAAATTGATTATGCAGGTACCACAAACAACATGGGCATCAAAATCAGCAGCTCCACGAGAACGGAGACGGTTCTTTCTCCATCGTAAACCCCGAGACATCTGCCCCTTATCCGGGCGAGACGGGTATGGAGAAAGAGAAGCCACACAAGTGCGAATATTGTCACAAGCGCTACAAGAACTTAAACGGCCTCAAATACGTACGTCATCCTGGGTTTACTGTTTACTACTTACTATTTACTATTTACTATTTTATCCATACATCATCATATCTACAGAGACTGACAACCAAACAGCACAAGCAACATTCGTCTGCCTGCGAGATCCAAGCCCAAGCGGCTAACATCCGAGCTAACCTTGCAGCCAACAATCAGATGTCCTTTAACATGGGCAATATCGGCCACGGACTTCCCGGAATTGGCGAAGAGATGCAGTTATAGGGTCATCTGTTCTCTCGGCCGCCTGCCAAAGACCACGGCGCTTGCTACTAATTTCTCGAGTTGCGACCTGGCGTTGATGGCCCTCATTCAACCGGAGGTTTCTGGTCCCGCATTGATATTTCGGCATAGATATGTTCATATAGACTGGATACCCCCTTACATACTGTGGCAACTGTACATACGGCCATAATTTCTCTCGGTTCGGAAAAGTTTGTTCTTTACGTCATCTTGGCGGCGTTCTTTGCTTCTTGCATAAGGCGTCCAGTCTAAGATATACCCTCGATAGACTTCTATGCAGAACTCGTCGCCTTTTTTTTTCTCCCTCCTGTTCACAAAGAGCTGGGCGCGTCTGTTCGGTCACCGTTTACATATCCTCAAAACATCATGATTTCAACATCCCGCTTCCTCGTCTTTTCTAATCACGACAATTTACCTTCTGCGACTGGATCGAACATGGAAGAATTACGAAGCCGATAGGGAGATCACGAATTAAGGGAACAAATCACAGAGACGATTTGATGTGCTCAAAAATATGAGATACGGCCGGTGGAACGGCAGCCTAATGGCGAGGTTACTATACCCCAGCGATCTAGACTCGCTGCTGCTGCTGTTCTTGTTTTTGGTTTTATTTATTTTTGTTACTTTTCTTTTTTACTCGCAACAAAAAAAGGGATACGCTCGCTTACACAGAATGTTGTGCCTCACGGCCGATGGAAAAGGCTATCTTTTCCGTCCTCTACGTATTTGTTTTCGGAACGGTCTGGGGGATAGCCAGGCGTTCCAGCGATAATTCTTTTTTTTCCAGCCTTCGATTTCGGTTCACTCAAAAGAAAAGAAAAACTTAAAAGGAAGATCAGAGGGAAAATTAAAAAGGCGGCGGGAAAAGTACCTATAATGTACGTCCCCTAGGACGTAGAAAAGGAAAGGAAAGGGAACTTGTTTATAGATGAGGAACAGCTGGGTATACCGGCTGCTACTTTCCTGTGTGTAACTAATGAATTCGCGATGTTCTTAATGGTTCTACTCCATAGCTTTGTGCCTTTCATACATGTTTATGTTATTATATTTGGTTAGAAGAGTAGCTAAGCTCGTGATAGAGGGAATTGACTACAAATGTTATTACTTTTCTGGTATCATTGTCTTTCCTCTGCTTCAATAGACCGAATACCCTCAGCCGGTTTGGTAGGACTATGTGTTCTACGTCTGATTCTACGTCTGATACACATACCCAGCAAGCTTCCGTCTTACTGAACTTCTTGTCAGTCGACTAGACCACATGGGAGGTAATGCGCATCAGCTTACAGGATCTCAGCTTGAACACGAGGTGAAGCGGAGGTATTAATTCGTACCTAATATACAACCCATTCTATTATACCACCTCGCCTACAAGTCCCACCGAGGAAGAAAGAACCTCAATATTGAACTCGTAGAGTAGCTTTTGGAGAATATATCCCCTACGAGGTAGGCCCACGTCCTCTGCATCTGAGCTCATCATAAAGAACTACCACAAGGCCTCAAATGACTGGCCTCTCGTGATCTATCACCTCAGACGCCACTCAGTCTTTGCTCAGCACTTTATCGAGAGATTTCTTGCCCCCCTGACCCTTATCCACTACACCACTGACCCAATCGTCCTTCCTACGTACTTCTCCCACACAATACATACCTACTTAGATACATTACAAGCTCAGATCTCAAGTCCGTAACACACCGATACCCTCAATCTGAAAACACCAACGACCCAGCATACACAACTCTACTCAACTAGACACCTACACCCGTCCATCTATCCAGACCACGTACGTCAACTTAAGCAGACCCAAGCTAACCAGGCCCACCTCTCCCAAACCCAACTGAGGACACGCAACACCAAACCCACAAACCCACCCACAACCTTTGGCCGCCCGCTCATTCCTTCTTCCCCAACAAGTTAGCATCGCCGAGCCTCCTCCGTCCCCCTCCCCTCTCTACCACGTACCATCCGGAGCCGCCTTCTCGACGCGCTAAACCCACCCACCTACCTAGGTTACATACATACATACATACATACATACATACATACCCCCCTCGCCTTGCGCGCCGAGCCCCATCAAAATAAATAAATAAATGCCGATCCACGCTAGGTCTGTCTACCCGAGCTATGTACCTCCTAGCGCAGTTCCGTTCCGGAAATACATACGCCAGATACCTCACTACCTTAGGTACCTAGGTACAGTACTATAGCCCGCTACCTTAGCCCAGGTATTCCCTCGCGCAGTAACCCACCGACGTAAACAACGACGCTACCATGCTTCCTCAGGGTTCTAGCCTCGATGCCGATGCCAGCGCCGATGGAGGCTAATGCAGGGTCTTGAGTCGCGTAGCCCATGTAACGTACCCAAGGCTACGCCGGGTTCCGTAATAACTAATGATGACGACCTCGCCTAGCCGTCTCCTCTTCTCTTCTCTTCTCATCTCATCTCTAGCGCCCTCGCCCTTGCGATTGTCACATGCGCACCACCACAAACCACATCTACATACTCATACGTAAGATAAATATGTGAATGGTAACGTGGACTTTGAGTAGTATTAAACCGTTGCCTATGTAGAGAGTAAGGTACACACAGGCGCATGCGCACAAAATGAGCCCCTTTCTTAAACAGCCTAGCTTAGCATATCCTACCCGATGCGTCTTGCCTCGATTCCGTTCTGTGATGACCTGCTGACTGACTACCTTACTTGACCTAACCTACCCCCGTCCCATGAACGCCAAACCATGCTGATTAAAAATACAAGTCCGACAACCTCTCTGCGGTTGATGTTTGATTGTATCGACCCCGTGTTTAGAAAAGAACAGACGTGCAAAACCCAGAATTCATATCCATTGCTTCGTGCCGGATACACACCAGGTGCATCTCGGATATCCATAAAATGCAATCCCCCTTTCCCTTGCGAGGTAAGCTGAAAATGCGGATTAAAAAAGCATTATTCAATGTCCGGATTCGCATAGTCAAGTCCGTCCAAAGTGAATCCTTCGCCGTAGTATCCTGAAGAGTCAGGCCATATCCATGCCTTCTGAGTCTTCCACGTCCGAAGGCAGAGCCTGCGTGTGATCGCTACTGATGCTATCTTTCCGCGAGACGCCAGAAGTGTCGAACCGGCCGCGGCAGTTATCCACATACTCGAGTTCTTCGCCCGCGATGACTCGGCCCTCCATATCGATTTCCTGCGACAGCTCGACGAGAGCTGATCGTGGCAGACGTAGGAACCCCTGGGTCCGTACTATGCGGCCCCAATGCGTCAAGCAGAATGACGCGGCCCGTTTGCGCAGCCACTCCTCGCTTGCGAGTCCTGCGCAATACCAAATGATACATGCGTGTTCTACATCGAGTTCTTTTGATAATCGATTCACGCAGAGGAGACGTAGATGAGGGATGTTGTAGATATTTGACATTACCAATAGCCCGGCAACATCCGAAAGATCAGTTGCGCCATCGTCGGAGTGGATGCTGTCCGTGTAGAGGTAGTATAGGAAAGCCTTAACAACTGTATAAGGCTCCGGAATATGCATCTTTTTAGTGTGGAACTCTGCCATTTGCGCGTTGTACAAACGGGCAAAATGAGGCCATCGAGCTTGGAGGATTAGCTTGTGTACATGGATAGGGGCAGAAGTAGGTGCGTCTGGTGTGAGCCAATTCTGATCCATTGGAGATTCTCCTGCACGAATGAGACTAGAACCCATCATATCGTCATCATCGTAGTCGTCGCCAGCGAGAGCGGTGATGATAAAGTCAGTTCCACTTCCAGCCTCAGGTGGCTGGTTAAAGAGTTTCGCGAGATCATGTCCAAGCCCTTTCGATGGTTGGTCTTGAACTCTGGTATGTGCGGTTGGTCTAGCATACTCCGTTCGAGACTCGGAAACAGCGTTATTTCCTAGAAACCCGTAGCGTCGTAGGTCGATTTCCATAATATCGCTTAGATACTCTTCAAAGCCACCCGGGCCAACATCGTTGATAGCGTCGGTTGGACATCCAAGTAGCCAGGCCTTAGTACCATCTTCATTCATCGTGCAATAGTGCCATTGATAGCCCAGCTTAAAAATCTCACGACCATCGGCCAATTTTTGCCATCGCAGAGTATTTAAATCCAAAGCCGAAAGGGAACACTCCTTTGGGGTAATAGTCGCGACGGGGGTGACAAAGTCTAGAAGACTTCCGGAAGAATAAATATGGAAATGAATGCCAGAACCTTGCGATGGAACATTGCCTCCGGAAACGAATCTTAGGACAGAGATGGCACCGGGCGCCATTGGAACTTGCTTCTTCAAGTGGAACGAGGGAGTGCTAACTTGAGCTGCCCGGATGTTGGCAGCAAAGCCTGAGGCTGAGAGGGGCGGGGCCGAGCCTAGCGAATAAGGGGTCCGCGGCGAATCGCTTGAGCGGCTAGCTATGGTATGTCTATCGACGGAACCTCCAATCTGAGGCGGAGACTCGAAATCCGGGCTACCCTTCAAGTCTAGCCAGCACAGGTCGCCTATCTTGTCCATGTCTCTACTTAATCCTCCAAATACCCAAATTCGATCATTCCTGCCAAGAGTTAGCCTTTAGAGGAGATATAGGAAGTGTATATAGGAAGTGTATAACATACCATACGTAGGCCGAGTGGTCAAATCTAGGAACGAAGCGCCACGACCTCGACCAAGTATAAGTCTTCAAGTCTAGGTAGCAAATATCCTCTGAGACATAGCTCTCATGACCTGTGATGCCACCAATGATGAACAGCTTGTCCTCATGTAGGACAGCCGCATGTCTGGCTCGACCCTTGGGGACGGGTCCAGAAACTTGAGGCTGGGTCCAGTGGGCGCTCTTCAGATCAAATATTATCAAATCGGAGAGATACGTCCTGTGCTCATTCTCGCCACCGAAGACAAGAAGCTTATCACCCTGATACAAGGTCGCAGTATGTCCTACCAGTGCATGTGAGTCGAGGGTATACACCGTAAGACATGATAGTCCAACTTACCCATTCTTACACCAGGGATGTCCCCATAGTTATCGACAAGGCTCCATTGATGGCTAACGAGGTCTAGCTTTAGTACGTGGTTGTAGACCTCGTCCGTGTACTGGTCGAAACCGCCGAATGCATATATCTGATTGTTACCGCAATATGTAACCGAGGCGTTCACCAAGCAGGCGGGTCGCTGGCCGAGGGTTCGTGTGACCTTGGGCCGGTAATTATCCATTATAGCCCTGCTCTTCATAGGCGAATTCGTCATGACAAACGTGTTGTTAGAGGACACGGCAGACATGGCGGAGGCGGAGGCGGAGGCGGATACGGGGGTCGGCGCATTCGAAGTCGCTGGTGTGACAGCCGGTAAGGGGAGAGCTGGATGATGGTATGTTGAGCTGATGGGTCCACCAAAAAGGGAGTGAGCAATTGCGGATGGAGTTGAGGGATGGGCCATGGTTTGGGCTACTGTAAGGCAGCGGAATCACAAGTTGCAAGGCTGCGGATAGAGAATGAGAAATCGATCGCAAGGCTACGTCGGCATTTCTAGTCCCTTTGTTCGCAAAGGGTTTGCGATAGGGACAAGAACTCAATAAGGCAAGTTGACTAGGTTAGATTCAATGAAAATTATAATACCAATGTGGATCTTAGACCTTGGAATATCGGGATGAAGGGCTGGTCGTCTTGTTGTACATATCAGCCAATATTTGGTCAAGTTGGGGGTGTACGGTGTAGTATTTGCCAATGGCAGGGGTTGTTTTCTTTTGCTATCTCCGGTTGTACAAGGGTTTGCCAGCAAGATTTATGAAGGTGGGGATGCTTATGTAAATAGGTGCACATGGGGCGTTTCACTTGCACTATTAAAAGGTGGGTACATATGGTTTGACAGTACGGATTAGGTCCGTACGGATTGTTGAATGACGCACAGGCCATCAAAGAAAATACACTATACATTAATACATCCGAAATGGCTTGGGTAGGTGCGCAGCTGTTCAAACTAAATTCGTCGTAGTGCAATGGGTCATGGTGGTTGCCCTGCGCAACCTAAAACCCCTCCGATCCACTTCTAGTAAACATTTAAAGTCACCAAGTGCACGACGAATTTAACATTTGATTCTTCCCTTCATTACAACCTTCAACTCTACCCATCCGCCCATCCTCATATGCTCCTCTAGTCCGCTGCCGTCTAAGGCCAAAATATTACCAAAGCCTCTTGCACAATACTTTCAAGTCCACTAGATCTCATCACTGCTACTTTCCCTTGAGGACGTACAGTCATTTGATCGCCCCGCCGACTTTAAAGCTGTTCTACGCAAAGGCATTCTTCGATTATCGAACACAACGTCTAATACTAACCAACAACCAAATCCAGGAACCATTCACTTGAGTCTCTTGGAGCTCGTTCGACCTGTCGGAGCTCTCACTTACTCATATAATACCCCCCCGAGACATTCTGTTACTCTTCGTCGGAGTCAACAGTTTCTCGTTTCGATACACAATAATCGTCATACTCTAGATAATTAGACACTATGGCATCTGTTGCAGTATCAACTCCCTTAAAGTCCCACAAGGGGCTTTTCTCCTCTCGTACCGCTGGCGGACGGATGCCCCTCACACCATCTCCCCGTCAACGTACCACAACTGCCAATATTCCCATCAACGTGAACTCGTCCCCTTTCACGCCCGACAGGAAGTCTTCTAGTCGTGACACATCCCGCCCAGCTAGCAAGTCAGTGTATGGAGGGAATCTATCGGCACACCTTGCCAAGACAACCTCAAGATCGTCTCACCGTAATTCACCCAAGTCTAACCTTGCCCGCGGTGTCTCCACCCCCCGCAAGGCTCTTGAGCTTGGCGTATCCGACTTCACCCTTGTTGGCACAGGACAAACCAAGACATCTTCTAGCCCAAAACCCAAGAAGACGGCGGCGCCTTCAAGATCAAAGTCCAACAAGACCACCATTTCTTACACTGCGGATCGGTTCATTCCTAACCGAAGCAACAGCTCTGCTATTGCTAATGCTGGATCTGGAAAGCTTGATTCTCAAGAGAAGAAGAAGCAGCGATCAAGGGCCAACAGCGGTGAAGCTTCTGCTGTCCTATCTTCCGCTACCGATGATGCTATCGCCGCGCTTGAAAGCCTTAACATCGACGACGACGAAGCCGCCAGCTACTCTCGCCCGTCGCCTAACACAGTAGCTTATCAAGATTCTCTTGCAAATGCTTGTGGTGTTAACCTTAACACTCGCATTCTCCAGTTCAAGCCTGCTCCCCCAGAGTCTTCTAGGCCTATCGATCTTCGTCAGCAGTACAACCGACCACTTAAGTCAGCCAATGCTAGCTCTGCTCAGTTCCGACGCCGCATTGCGACTGCCCCTGAACGAGTCCTAGATGCCCCAGGTTTGATTGACGACTACTACTTGAACTTGCTCGACTGGAGCTCTGGCAACCAAGTTGCTATCGGCCTGGAGCGGCAAGTCTACGTCTGGTCAGCCGATGAAGGCTCAGTAAGCTGCTTGCTAGAGACCAGCGCTGATACATACGTCAGCAGCGTTAAGTGGTCTGGTGATGGCGCCTACGTCGGCGTTGGTCTTGGAACCGGTGAGGTCCAGATCTGGGACGTTGCTGAAGGCACGAAGGTGCGCAGCATGTTCGGCCATGACACTCGCGTCGGTGTGATGGGCTGGAACAAGCACCTTCTCTCTACTGGTGCCCGAAGTGGACTCGTGTACAACCACGATGTTCGTATTGCCGAACACAAGGTGGCTGAGCTCGTGTCTCACACTTCTGAAGTCTGCGGTCTTGAATGGCGGTCCGATGGTGCCCAGCTTGCAACTGGAGGCAACGACAACCTTGTCTCTATCTGGGATGCTCGATCGCTAGCTGTCCCCAAGTTCACCAAGACAAACCACAAGGCGGCAGTCAAGGCTTTGGCCTGGTGTCCGTGGAACATGAACCTCCTCGCGACTGGTGGTGGCTCTTACGACCGCCACATCCACTTCTGGAACACTACTTCTGGCGCCAGAGTGAACAGTATCGACACTGGTTCCCAAGTCACCAGCCTCCGATGGAGCACTAGCTACCGCGAAATTGTCAGCTCGAGCGGATTCCCTGACAACTCTCTCAGCATCTGGAGCTACCCCACTCTCGTCCGTAACGTCGAGATCCCTGCTCACGAGAGCCGAGTTCTCCACAGCTGCCTCAGTCCCGATGGACAGATGCTTGCTACCGCAGGTAAGAGATAACCCATGCGCCCCAAATTTTGAATCAAGAATTTCAGCTAACAATACCTTTCAATAGCTGCCGACGAGAGCTTGAAGTTCTGGAAGGTGTTTGAGAAGAAGGCTGGTGCTGCCGCAGGTGTTGGTGCTAGTGGCTCTTCCAGCAAGGCTCAGATGGCCAAGCAGATGACCATCCGATAAGCACCATGTAGATCTCGCGAATGTCAGGAGCATCATCATAGCTCAACGAACAGTAGGTACAATTTCGCTCTGGCATCTCTGGGTACTGCATTTGGTGTCTATTTAGCATGGCGTTGGGGTATCCTCACGATATAGACCTAGAAGGTTTTTAATCAGGATACGACTTGGTCATGAGCTACGAAGCGATAATGCGTGCTACGGGAGACCGCAAGGATGGAGTTACAATGGTTGTATTATAATTACGGAGTTTAGGGGAATTCAATTATGCATCATAAGGCAGGAATAAAGGTAGCTAGATAGTCGACATATCAATAGGATATGAGATTGACTGGTATTCGCTTATTTGCCGTAGCTGATGCGGCATAATGAAGTCATATTAATATTTCAATTGATCTTGTTCCGATGTCTTGTACACGTTTAGGTGCATGTTCCTTATTAAATACTAGGTTAGGTAGGTACAAATTCGTTCCAATTAGGAGGTAGCATGTACTATGTAATTTGTTGGCAGTCGTCATTACCTCATTTTATTTCATTTGACGTGCCGCGGTAGTGGTAGTGGTAGTGGTAAAAGGTACGTACCTGGTTGCTTTAGCGGCGATGGCGGTGCAGTGACTTAGGTACAACCTATCTTATCTAGGCCGTCTAAGGCGATTAAGTAAGCGCGTAAGCGGCACTTTAACAAACCAGGCACTTTCAAGCCAACCTTCACGAGAACATCACCAACCAGACACACCTCATCGTCGGCCAAATCCGCTGCGCCAGTGTACAACGACAGAAAACTGCGTGCCAGTTGTTAAGTTAATACCAGAGAGACTGAAAACTAAATTTTGAGCCAGATTTGAGAGGGCGCACGGGGAGGAAGCTCGGGCAAAACAAAAACCTTGGTTTCGTCTTCCGTATTTTGCAACCGCTTTTTGACTCGCAAGCCGCGTCCAAAACTCCATCTTCGCAACTCTGCGGTCTTGCAACCTTGCAACCTTGCACAACATTGCATTCCTAGGTATTCATTGTGACCGTACCTACATTATTTACCAGGTATTCCACCTGTTCGTCAGACAGGATTTTACGTAAACCAACAACTACACAACCCTGTTGCCGAATACCGCACCCAACCTTTTTGATCGACCCGAATAGTCGGTCAACCCGCGGTCATTCGTCACCATGTCCAACTCGCAGGTCGGCAATGTTTACCAGCAGATCATCAACGATGTCCTCGAAGCTTCGCGAGTCGATTTCGAGGAAGGCGGCGTGGACGAGGGTGTTTTGGACGAACTGAAGAGGGTGAGTAATTGGCAAATTTTCTTGTTTTTCTTTTTTTTTTTTCTTTCTTCTCTCTACCGCTTCTCCCTTGAGTCGATCGGCGATCAACAATTATTAGTGCATTGTTCTATTATTTCTTTCATTTGGACGGGGATTTCCTTAAGTATGGAATATTTGAGGAATTATTTTCCGAAATTTGATGAGTTGTCGACCAAGCCATGATGGGCACCCATATAGGCCACTTTACTGTGCTGGTTATAGGCGAGGCCGAGGTTGGTGAGAACTGGCGGATTTCGTGAGGGGCGGGCAGGCACTATTTGGGCTTTTTATGCCTCTGCGCCCGCTGCAAATCTCCCAGTGACTCACGTCATTTTTCATTGGCTGAGACCCAGTCCACTCACGTGCCTCTTACTGTGCGCGTTTATCCTATCAGATCATTCGTTACTTTTGTTACTTTCGTCACTTTCGTCACTTTCGTCACTTTTGTCACTTATCCCTCTCCTTTTTAAATTACCCTGCAAGGAACAATGCTTTCGTTACCAGCTAAACCTCTCACCGAGTAACAAGAGTAACAAAGGTGAACTACTTGGCTAACATTATTTTATCAGGGATGGCAGAGGAAGCTCTCCCAACAGCAGCTGGCTACGTTCCCCTGGGATCCGAGGCCAGACGCCCCTGCTCCCCCGCCCCCGGCTCCTGTTGTTGCTGTTGCACCGGCTCCTGAGCCTGTTCCCCAAGTCAACGGCTCTTCATTTATCCAAGAACATGTTCCTCAAATCCAACAGCCTCAAGGCCTCACCATGCCTATGGCTGGTGGTCAGCCTTCAAATGGTGCTGGGGTGAAACCCGAACCCAGCGTTAAGACAGAGCCTGGCCTTGACAATGGATCTATGATGACCCAGCAAAGTGGCCCCGGCGTTGTACAAGAGCGGGTATCTCAACAGCTTCAGACCATGTATGGTGACCGCGCAGCAGCTTCCATTAACAAACTAAGAGAGCAGGCATTTCCTCAGAACCAACAGAGGCCCGGTAACCAACCTATCCCGCCCAACTATCAGGGCCAATATCAGCAGGGTCACCCTCAACAGCAGTACCGACCTGGCATGCCCCCTAATCCACAACAACAGCAGCAGCAGCAGCAGCAGCGCATGACCATGCCGAATGGACAGAGACCTCCGCCCTCTCAGATGGATGGCGTAGATGATGCCGAATCTCATGTTGGTGTTGTCATGCGTCGTACCTCTGCTGGTGAAAATGTAGAAATGGGACGAGTTCAGATTGACAACTTGCTCCACGCTCAGATCGCGGCCAAGGCTAAGGCTATGGAAGGTGGTGGCCTGATGCTACCCCTTAAGCGCAAAGGCAAGGATCAAGCTGTTTCACAACATAGTACACCCCTGCCTGGCGGTATCTCCCAGTTTGACGGCACAGATGATGGCGTGAAGGACGAAGCATCCGATGACGCGGACGCTATCAATTCAGACCTCGACGATCCCGATGACAATATTGAAGATGATGATGAAGACGAGGATGGCGGTCAGATCATGCTCTGCATGTATGACAAGGTCCAACGAGTCAAGAACAAGTGGTAAGTTTCCGTTATCCCGAGATATAAATACCATTGTAGTTGCTCACAACATAATAGGAAGTGTGTTCTCAAGGACGGCGTTCTGAGTGTGAACGGCAAGGATTACGTATTCCACAAAGCGACCGGCGAGTATGAATGGTGATCTGGAACTTACGCCATCATGCTGGCACGATTTTGTACAAGACCTGCTTTCGTTTCTTTTTCTTTTTTTTTTTGTTCTCGGCGCGTATTTGATTTATCCAACCGCGTCAAAACCCACCTTTCTGCATTTCGGTATTCCTCTCATCCCTGACAAGAAGCATCTGGGCAATGATCGCAAATAGAGGATAAAAAGTTGCCTTGCTCGACATTAATAAGGTAGAACTCCCAGTGAGCTTCACTGAATGCAAGTTTGCGTAAGGAGTCATGGTTCGTTAAGGGATATTCGCATTGCTTTTTCTTTTTTCTTTTTTACTATGGCATCATATTTGCGTGGTGATGCTGACGAAAGTTGATCCTCGTTTCGGGCATTTTGGCCGCCGGGATGAAGAGGCGTGCGCGGGGGTCGCGGAATAGACTAGTCCTACTACTGCCGGTATGGATAGATAGTACTCCAGGACAGCTGTACTAATAGCAATAATTTTCGCAATAAAATTCTGTTTATGATATGAAGTATGACTTGGGCTTGTTGAAGTATTGTGAATATGGTTCGGTTCGGTTCGGTTCGGTTCGGCTTGGCTTTGGCTAGGACGGACTTCGGACGGCTGCATTAGTTACCAGGTTCTACTGCTTGAACGTTTTTGGTGATATACGATGTATAATGCCTACCTAGGTTGGGAGAGAGGGTGGCAAAGGGGGGGAGTATGAGTCAATAAGCTATGACCAAGCCATCCCGTCGATCGATTTCGTACTGCATAAGCAGCCTGATATTGTCTCCGTCAAGCCTCGGCTTGGCACACAGCTTAGCCTGTGACCCAACGTCTATAGTCGGTATACGGGAGCATAAGTCAGAGCTGGGGGTTGTATGGAGGGAGGACGGATATGCGTTGTAGATAATGGTTGAGGAAATACTTGCTTATTCCCTTTTTTTTGGGTTGTTGATACTGGTGTGGCCCTGTCTGTATGCGTATCAAATGCTTATTATGTATAGTCTGTTGATGCATTATCTACCAAGACGTCCCGATGTGTTATGAAGCATCCTTCTCGAGCGTGAATATATACTGTATGCGTAAAAATTGATGGAGACCAGATGATGTAGTATACCTTATAACTTTATTCATTATCCCGTTCCATGGCACAAGTTACTACGTTTACAAAGAAATAATATTGATAGAATAGCGAGTGAAATATACTCGGGCGTATATTCAGGTCGACTCGTATCGTAGGCATGTTTCTCTCCTTATTATTAAATGCATAGGTAGGCACTAGATACACATACAAACTTAAACTTAACAACGACTGGCAACCAGCGAAGAGTTTTGACGTGGTAATAGTGGTAGTAGTGATAATAATAATTTAGATACTCATCACACAATGTATGCAAAGAATATTTATCAAGGTAGCAAGACTATATCGGCTTTATTTGACTATTTTATAATATCCATCGTGAGATTCGAAAGCTATTATTCTCTTTCCCATCTCACCAGCAGGACCTTATTGCAACCACTGTTACCTAGTTGCTACGTAATTGCCGAGGCCGCCTAAAGGGTTGCTGTCCCAGGCTGCCGGCGAAGAGTTTCAAAAAGGAAAAAAAAAAAAAGTAATTTGACCTGGATGGGATTCGAACCCATTCATTTCCTCAACAACAGTGCCGTGGTATAATCCGGTAAACCGGGGGGACGACGCGCGGCCCATCGAGAAGGACTGTGCTACAACTACACCACCAGGCCTTTTCGTTGTTAGGTATTAGACACGCTGCTTTTTGCAAATATATGTTGCCTGTGCACGCACTACGCATCTCCCCAGTGACGACCCTATGCAGGTGGTAGTAGGTGTATGCCTAAATCTTCCCTAGAACCTCTATCTACCTATCTACCTTAGGACCCTACCTATCTAGGTAGGCAACCGTAAAAGTAAAACGAAACCCTTAAGCATAAGAAGAAAATGTGCTTGTTTCTCGTGGGCATCTACACTTAACAAGATGTGCCCCTGAAGGACATTCCACGAAATTTGGGGTCGTGCTCAGGCTTCCGTCTACTTATCAACAGTTACTATCCTCTCTTAAAAACACACTAGGTGTAGGATTTCTGCGAGGAAAGGGGCTTAAAGAGTACAAAAAGAAAGCACCTAATTTATATATCACGCCGTGGTGTTTTCCTGAGAAATTGGCAAAGGACCGCTCCTACGACACTAACTCTGCTATTTACCAAGGAAAATGAACGTTGTCTCTATTGGTATAGGATATAGCTGAGAGAACAGGGCTTCGAGCCTCGGCATAATAGTGGCATGACTGAATATCAATTACCGCTTATTAGTAGTAAACTCGCTATCTATTGCCTCTTATTTCGAAAGTGAGGCTGCGGACTAAATTACCGTTCCGAGCTATCGGTGTCGGTAGGGTTGTTGCGAGTCCGTGCAGCTTCCGGCATTAGGAAAGTAAGTTACTTGGTAGGGAGCTAATTCTCCGAGTAAAACCGCCGGCGGATGTCGTTGGAAGGCCGGCCCCGGGATTATGGGAATTGGTAAGGAACGTTGGTCGCGTAGTATTCGAAAGAAGATCGAAGCCCCACTGCTATACGACTAGCATTTCCTATTAGTTGCCGTCTAATCCCCGCGACGGTACTATGTACGTCGATCGTCAATCTACACTATGAGATGCTTGCGCAGCTAGTGGCTCTAGCCTGACACGTGGGTCGTCAACCAGGCATTGACCGTCTGGGCTTGATGGAATGTTGGATGCCATATCTGTATGTTTATATACCTCAGGTATATATATTTGAAGTAGCTCGTCGTCTGATGAAGAGCTAAGTCGCATATCGAAGTTCGGCTGGTCAACGTACACCACTGTAGCTGGGCCGCCAGGCGTGACCCGTATAAATGCCGTTGACCAACGCATAGGTGATATGCATAGCGTTGACGTATTGATGAACTGGGGGTCTCTTGTATTCGTATAGCAGCACTGGGTGGGACTGGTCAGCTTCTTTACGACCGCTATGGTCTGGGTGCCGTTCGCCTTGACCTGCTGTGTTGGATTTAGCAAGTATTCCACGTGTACTATATATTGGGGCATGCGGTAATTAGACTATGACGAGAACCATGGGTTGTTTCCTTTGTCCCGGGAATCAAGAGAGACTAAAGCATCTCGCGTTTTGAAGCCGAATATGTTGTTATAATTACACGACATTATTGGGTGCCGTGGTGTTGGGTCGCTCCTGTATTCCAATTTTAGTTGGTATATCCACTTGTGATGTTTTTGCTTTAATCTTCACATATGTATGCGCAGGGGCTTCGGGTACTCTCCGATTTTGCTCATAAGCACTGTACAATACTTACCCACACCGTCATTCCTGATTTCATTATGCATATATCGTTTAAATATTAGTGTAAACGGGGGATGTGTTAATTAGCTTAGGCCGCCTATAATCCTCAATAAAGTGGACTACCTAGGACTTATGAAACTGCCTGTGTTTAGTTGGATAGGATTAATGCGTTAGGGCTTGGCAAGGGTTGATGAGAACTTTTGTTCTCGATAGCCTTTGTCCGTGTGCTAGTATAGGTCGATTAGGTTAATACATAGTAAGTGACGGTGTGGCGTTTATAATATACGACTTATACTAGATACTGGATATCGTTTAGTTTTATATAGCGCCCTCATGTGTCTTTTGTCTCTTGTTGGAGATGAGCGGCAGGGTTAAAGCCACGATCGTGTTAATCTTCATGATTTACGTAATGGTGGGGCGTAGGTGAGTCTATGCATATATAGCTTGTTGGTAATTCTGGATGTGAGGTCTGAATAAGTGGTCTGTCGGCAAAACCCCTCTTCTGCGGCCAGTGTTGGGGGTTGGGAATATCCATATCCATCCGTCCAGAAGAAACGGGTGGTTCTAAACACGAGGTCGATATGTAGGAGAAGTCCTTAAGCCTAGTGTACATAGTGTATGTAACAATAGTGTATGTATGTAACATGATCCTTGACGGAATCCATCTCGTAGATGTGGATATTTAAAACCGCATTTCTTGCATAGTATGGCTGATGTATGTATGTATGGATGGATGATGTATGGATGCGTGTTAGTACATGCCTATGCGAAATGACAAGGGTCAAAGGAGCTGGTGTAGTGTCAAGTGCGGGACAAGCGGATGAAGAGAAAAATGGAGATTGGTAAAATTGGGTTGACCCGACAGACTGGTAACGAACGCTTGGGCGGTGAGACGCGAAGCTACAGGCCTGTTAATGTGTCTTAAGACAGGCATTCCGGGATTTGTCCTCGGGCGTCCGGCCCTAACTAGGACGTCCGATGTAACCTCGCCCGGCAGTGACGATTATGATTTGCAAGAAGCTCGCCTTTTTGCATACCAGGATGCCAAATTCTTCGCCCTGCTTCATCGTATGTCTGGTAGACCCGTGGCTCCCGGGGAAAGGAAGCTGAAAATCCCGGCTGACTGATAAAATCCTTTGTCTATCATAAAACATTCCAATCACCTGATAACATTTCAATGCACATGGTATCTTCTTACGCCCGTCTTAGGTTGGCGGTGTTCCCGAGATCCTTAGAATGGCGAGATGAGTTATGTTGTTTCAAGAAGCGGTCAGTTGGATAGATTAATATTTGTAGATCCTAGAATATAGCCGACCGGGAATTATGAAGCGTAGTTGGTCGTCGCATAGCTATTTATAACCGATAGTACGAAGTATTACTGTATATTATGTAAAAATATGGCTCGCGCTTGGTTACTGGTTACTTATTAGCCACGCGAAGCCACAGGCTTGAGATTTAATGGACCTCTGTTAATACTGCGATGACTAAGGTAGGGCGCATGCCGGGGTATACGTACATACATACTACCTACATGTACCTACATGTAGGTACCTAACCTATTGATGACTGTACCTATTGTACGTTCTCGGGTAGACCGTGCGGCGTGCCAGGATCTACAATTAATAAGCTTCCAACGTTCGCCGGTGAGTCTATAAGTCAGTAAGTTAGTAATGCGACGGGTCATCGCAGCTCCAAGTCTATTTTCTGCGAGATCTATCCTGCTCGTCATCGATGCAGGTACCAGTAAGATAACCGATATCATTCTTCTTTTGTAGTTATAATACGACAGCCGACTTAGTCATTTGATACGTGACCGGCCGTCGCAAGCTCAGCTCGGTCGCTCGGTGTCCAATGAAATGGCACCGAGACAGCTCCCCAACGTAGACAAACGTCGTACATTCGTATTTGAAGGACCGGTGAATTGGGATGATCAAATATAACACGAAAATATTTTCTCTATCTAGCCTAAGCTGATAGAGTTACAATAGCGTTCTTTGTGCGGCGGCATCAAGAGCGGTCTGCTGTCTATAGTGTAATCCGATTCTAAAATCAAGAAATATGCACTAGGGTAACATATGAATCGTAGATGCATCAGGGATCGGCATTGGTCTAGCCCAGTTGCGATTTCAGCTGAGTTGTCGGGTCGGTTATGGTCTTGTCGGCTCAGTTTAATCCTCGGGCATAGACACCGGGCCGAGAGCAGGGGTGGTACCGAGTAGATGTGCATCTAAGCTGACTAGTTGCATTTACCTTGACGTGTGGATGACCTAATTTCTTCTACGAAGCGAAGAAGAGGGGATATGACCTAGAACAAAGCTTTAGTTAGTACGGGGCTATAAGACCACTGTCTTGTCGGAAGCGGTTGTATCATTTCTGGGTTTCTGGGTTTCTGGGTTTATAATTGTCTTCACTAAAGATTTCTAGTCCCGAGACAACTTGCCAACGCAGCTTTGAGTAGTGGAGAATGCCAAGATTTAGCTTAATTGCGTTCCGTAGTGTCGGGTTCGACTCCGTTGTTATGATTGGTTTCTGTTACAAGGGCTCATCCGCGAATACCTACCTAGGTAATCAAGCCCATGTGAAGTCGATTGGTTGAGAGTACTTATGACCTGGGTACGATAGTAGGTGGGTGATACCCGTCGTTAGCTAGTTAGTGAGCAGTATAATATAATCCTCTGGATACAGTTGGTAACAATTCCTAACAGCTTATTATCTATTATACTTAGTACGCGAGATATATTCAGGTATTATAGTAATACCTGTAATATTGGCCTGTTGATTTGCGCAATTCCTGCCTCCGAAATAAAGAAATGTAATATATACGCTATAATATCAATGAAGATTGTATTTGTGTAGGTCGCGTTTCTGAGTAGTCGTTAGGAAAAGTCAGCTAAGGGCTGTGACGTTGAATTTGGTTGTTACTCGGGCAGGTTTATTGCGTAGTTGCCTGATTTTGGTAGTAATCAATATGAACAAGGGCCAACATAGTTGGGAGCGCCTACAGGGAATGCGAGCAGCTTTGTTATCGACGTAATATAGTAGGGGCTTGTATATACCGACATGACCATACGATGTTTTCCTACCTAGGTAGGTATGCAAGAGGGTCTGGATGAGATAGGCTAACGTCAATAGTTGCGTCTGCAAGTGCATGGTATAACAAGTACCTGTTCGGTACTCTTTTAAACTCCCCTAATCCTTATTAGGGGCATGTACTCCATATGTAGGCGGTGATCTTTATCGTCGCTACCGCCCCTATGGTTCAACGCCCCGCGATGTAAGGATATGTTTCCATTCCTGACGAGACCGTCAACGTTCCCTTGAGTACCAGCGCAAGGTGAAGCGTGTTGACTGAAAACAACCCTACCTAGTTGTCGCTATGGCATTTAATCTCAATTATAGGCGACCCTCTCAGGATTTCGAGTTATTAACCCAAGTAGAAACTCCGTAACTTGAGTTGGTGATACCTAGAGGTTATAAAATAAGTATAAATATATCGCTGGTGAGCACATAGCTAGGTACATAGGGGTACCAAATAGTTCGAATGTTAGTAGTCTTGCATGTGCGTTATTAGCGTTGCTGCGAGAGGAAATTATGGTGCCCTGGGAGTAGAGGGATGGTCGCGGCCAATGATCACAAATCTACCTGAGAGAAGCGCTGCATTACGTGCCGTCTGTCCAGTTATTGGGGAAGTACAAAGAATACTTTACGGAAAGCGGATGCCAGGGTCGTTGGTTATCCTAAAGGGGACCGCAAGTGACCAGTCATTGGTGGGAGTGCTTGGAAGCGAGGAAGTACTGTGACTTAGATCCGTACGGAGCCGTAACTAAGACAGTCTCGTGGCCTGACTTCGAGGTGGCTTGTTGCAAGTTGCAATCGCAAAGTAATGCATGTTCACGGGAATCCACTTAAGGAGGTCTGAAGTCCTTGTTGGTGTCGCCTTTCCAGGTTGTACTTTGTGGCGACCTTACAATGGCGCATTAAGGGGAGCCTTCTTGAGGGCACTTCGGCTTGGACGCATAGAATCTGCCCCCTGACGTAGCGGCTTACCATATCTCGAAGCCATTGTATTATTTGGGCCTTTGACCTATATGTTCTAGCAAGGCATCCTTATAGACGAATCCAAGCTGCCTAGCTGTGGAACCTGCTGTGTCTTCTCGAGACACAATTTTATGAGCGGAAACCAGAAGCTACCAGTAGCGACTAGTAGCAACAGGACTGCCGACGATACATGCTGCTACACATGTACTGGTTCTCACTTATTTCTGTAGTACGCTATTTCTGTAGTACGCACACATGTCTTTGGGCCTCAGGTAGTCTAAGAGCATGTATAATGGAAGCCATTGAGGAGGTGACAAGTCGAAGAGGAAGCTATACTAGATGTGTTAGTTACTGTTGCTACTGCTGCATCTCACAGGCTCTACCATAAGATCGATCTTGTACTAGTACCTTACCTTTGAGCATTGTGTCACCAGCACACCATCTAGGAGACACGACCCTCTGCCTCGGGACGGGGGAGCGCTATATCGGTGGGGCTAGGCCTTAGCGGACTGGGTCCTCCCGAAGCCTTACAGGAGCCACTTGACCCGTAACCAAGTGGACGGATCGAAGAAACACGGCAACGGGGCGTGTCATTACGTAGATATGTATGTTGGTAGTACCGTTCCCGAGACTGCTTGCTACGAGCTGAGACGGTTCGAGTCGAGATGCTCTGCCAAGAAAATTTACCCGGCGCATCTTTGAATACCTTGTCCACCTCACACGAATATTGTTTATGTTACTTAAGTCGACATGGACAGTGATGATGGCGGTAGTGAAATCCTGGTTACGTTGTCTATGTACACGTATGTAGTTGAAGAGTTGTTTCATGGGACGGTCCGGGTACTTGGGAGTTCGTAGGCGAGAAAAAGAATAATTGGAGACAGGGGCTGCACCTGTAATTGTATTGTATTGTACATAGTATACAGTACAGCGCAAGTTTAGCGCTGCTTCCTTAGCTGCTTCGAGACCCACCATGCAGCACCTATAACTTCTCCGAGATGCATGAGCCGTATGTACCTAAAAAGTATCGTCGTATACCTGAAGGTTAGGTACATAGGTAGGTAGGTAGGTAGCTATGTCGATTGTACTGTACCTTCATGTTCATCATCCATCGCTAGCCGATGTGGAATAACAAATGCATCATGTTATATCTAAACCAGTGAGCATAGCATCATGGCTTGTCCATGCACACCCTACATGCATATTTATGAGGTACCTAGATATTATAATCCCAGAAGTCGATGTTCCAACGTCCGTTTTAGTCTTCTCTCCCCCCCTTTCCACCTATGACCTATGACCTATGGCCTATGACTTGTAGCTTTTTACACTTTTTACATATGTCCCCTGGTCGTTAGGAAACCTCTCCATCTCGACGTTCAAAAGTCTCGCTTGTCTGCCACTCTTTTTTTTTTTTTTTTTTTTTTTTTCGGTCTTTACCCTCCTCTCTTCATTATTTCCTCCCCACCATTGCGTCTTTGCATGCCTGAGGAATACGGATCTGCATTACAGTTGAGGTTCGGTTCGGTACTTAGGCTATACTAGATGGTACCTAAGCTAGGGTTGGCACTAAAACAATTTTATGTTGTACATCCCTCGTTCGATTGAAACTCAGGTCGAAATACTTATCCTAGTCCCCACTAACTACATAACTACATAACTAACCGCTAAACCGCTAAACAACCGCTAACTGCCATCGTCACATATCATCTTCCAATCCGCGATTTCTTCAGCACGCGTACCTTCCTTGTCCCTCGTTGTCTTGTCTTATCCTGTATTATTTTTCTCGACATCACTCTCTATATCTTCTATTGATCTCCTCCGCTCCTTCTTTCCTCCCCAACTTCATGCCTTTTACCCAAATCTGCATCTTGAGCTAAGAGCCGTTACTTTGACCCATCCGCCTTTTCTTGAAGCTATCTATAGGACTTAGCGCATCGCAGACCTGAGCTTGTCGCCCTAGTCGCAACCCTCTTTCATACCTGCGCCGCGCTTCTACGACGGGTTCTTTTCGCGTGCGACCTTTTGCGCGTCTTTTTTCTGCCCTAACCGGGCTACACCGTGTCCGCCATGGCTCACAATGGCAACGGCTCTATTTACCCCCAGAATGGGTATGTTCGTCGAGCTCCAAGTGTCTAACCCCCATGCTCTAAGCTGTACTAATATGTCTATCTATAATTATTTAGCGGACCAGTCTTACCTTCTTCCGCCTCGAATCGAAACGAAAACAGAAAGCCGGAGGAATGGTGGTACACGGAAAATGGACGCTCTTACGACACCTTTCGGAGGGGGAAGTATATGTTCCCAATGGATGAGGTATGGAATCGATAGAGCAGGCTATTGTCGAAATTTCGACTAAAGTGCTTTTTTAGGACGAGATGGATAGGATGGATATATTCCATAAGTTCTTTCTAGTGGCGCGACAGGATAGCTCTAACTACGGAGGTCTATGCCAACGGCCGCTACCCGTCTACCCTCGAATCTTAGACCTTGGATGTGGTACTGGTATCTGGGTGATTGATATGGCCGAGTGAGTCTCCTCCATGGTTGCAACAAATTACTAACTTTGCTCCTGGCTAACCTATCGGCCTGTTCATAGTCGCCATCAAGGACGGGCCAACATTCTCGGTTGGGACCTTTCCTTAATACAACCTCTTAGGTATGCTACTTGCCTTTTTAATTGTTCCTTTCGCTGATTTGGCGTAGGATTCCACCAGGTGTTGAGTTTCAGCGACGTGATATCGAGGATCCCTGGACCGGCATCGAAGAGAATTCCTTCGATCTCATTCATATGAAAATGCTTGCTGGGGGTATAGCAAATTGGACGGCTTTATACGACCGTGCATTCAGGTACGGCCCATGGTTGTGGTTGTGATCTGACCAGCGAACCCTTGTAGTTGCTAATGGCTGATTGTGACGGACAGATACCTCAAACCTGGTACTGGACTCTTTGAACATGTGGAGATTGATCTTACGCCTAAGTCCGCAGATGGCGAATTACCCGAAGACTCTCAGCTTCGAATATGGGCGCACGAGCTGACCGAGGCTATGGAGAGGGCTGGGCGACCTATAACAGCAAACCCCCACACTGTAGGGATGTTACAGCGTCTCGGCTACGTTGACGTCGAGCAAACAACCAAGCGGATCCCGTTCAATTCTTGGCCTGAAGATGGACAAGAAAAGGAGATGGGTAGGTGGTTCAACCTCGGTATTACGAAAGGGCTGCACGCCATAACAATAGGTCCTTTAACTAGGATGAACGGTTACGACCCGGAACATGTTGAGAACTTAATTTCAAAAGTGCGGAAGGAAATGTGTTCCCGCAGATTGAGAACTTACTGCACCATGTAAGTTTCGATGTCGCTACCCGTTTTTGATGAAACTGATTCAGGGAGTAGGTATATCTGGACAGCACGAAGGCCATCTATACCCGGCCAACGAGCGTGATCGCTTCGGCTGCCTGCAACGCAACCATTGGACCGGTATCTATCTACACGCCACTGGAACCAAGCTTCTGCTCGGTGATCTCTTAGGCCATAGCCTACCTTGGACGTCCACGGCGCTTGCATAAAAGACGTATTCCTTCCTATGCAGGGATCTCCCGCCTTTTCAAGTCGATTTAGGAACTACTGGAAGGCAGGCTCTAGGATCTTGTCCAACTCTTTTTCCGCCCCCATATCTCGAGCGTCAACCCCGGCGAGGTTGGACTGCGTCATTAGTCAGCTACCTTATGTCTACGGGCAGATACAAGGGTTGTGTTAAGCAGTACCTCCAGCTATGCGAGCCGGTCTTATTCTATGACCGCCACGATAGTTGTTCCATAAGACTTGTGGGCCATTTTGTTTTTACCATAGCCCATTTGGCATATCCCTGCATAAGGAGCGAGGCCCGCATGCCTTTCTTAACGGGCTCGCACACCTTTTTCTCCGGTATTGGCTAGATCCGGAGGTAATGCGTCTGCACGTGCATACGCAGGACCAGCGCAGGTTATATTGGATGTACACTACTTTGCTCACGGTGCATTTCCCCGTTCTCGACTTGCGAATGACATGGACTTTATACACTTTGGCCTTGTCAACATAGCCAGTTAATGTTTTCTCATCTGGAACCGAAGCGGTCCGGGCCACGACGTCACGCGTTCCCGAGAAACCATCCTAATTTAGGTGTATTGGTTGGTTGTTTTATGTTCGGCGCAGGAGAAGTTGAACCTTGAGCCGGGGGAAAAAGTACCTTCATTGGCGGTGCTGGCTTGGCACCTAAGCAATAGGGGCGCATTGGGCAGTGAGAGTTACACTGCTTTCCCCCGTCTTAGACGAAACGGCGCTCCGGGTCATCTCTGCATTACTTTCTCTTGATTGTGTGCATTGTACAGTCGGCGGGTGTTATGTCGTGTCGTGTTGCCTGGCGAGGGTGGGCGGTTTTGGAAAAGTTTGACCCGCAGGGGCGGCCAAGTTAGGCCGGGGCCATATGAGAGGCCATATACAACACTATTTGATGTTGGTGTTATTGCCATTGTAGCAAAACCGGTTGCAGTAAATATTTTGGTTCTCGTGTAAATAATAACATTTATTTTTGAGAAATCCCCAGACTTACTGAGCTGGCCTCTATGCCCCTGTCTCTTGTGCCTCTTTTTTTTGTATTATGTTACTGTCTGCATAGCTACATGAACCGGCGAGCACCGAGTTCTGGTCTGACCAACGATATGATTTTTTTTTTTTAAAAAAAGAAATGTTTTTATCAGCACAACTCCCGTATTACGTCCGTAAGCATTTCGATATACGCGTTGATCTGTGACAACTATGATCGACGTTGAGCATATCGAGATCTTTTAACAATCATTATGTGGGCTACCTGTTTATTTCATGTTGGCGACCCATAAGTGCCCAATTTGTATATTCCACTGCATATGCCAAAGTAAAGCCCCTGTGTCGTTCTCCTTTGGTTTTCCATTGGAACTTTCTGTTCGGCTTCGAATGCAACTCCATGCGCCTAATCTTCAACGTTACCTTCTCCAACCAGGGTTAGGTTCATCGCTTCAAACCAGTCGCCCGGGTATAGATGAAGGTGCCACAATTTTATTCACGGCTCTGCATCTTGGATGACGCACGTCTGAGGCGTCCCAGCTATTCTTCAACCTCGTCCTTGGTAAACGAAAATCTAAGAGGATCAATCTGATCCACTCTGGCTTGTTTGTCTTTTGCCTCTACTACATAGGCGGCTCCCCCTACCAGCTTCATAAAGGGGGGATGGGATGGGATCCATCCGTGGCGTTCGTCGTTCTCAATCACACCTACCATCTTTCTTGGCTATCGGCTCGTTGCTAACGGCGATGGCGCTCTTAGTCGGACGGGTAGAGGCGAATACTACCCATCCGAGTAGATATTACGCACGCCCCTCCTCCCCCCTTTAATAAGCGGACGAATAAGTATAGGAACGGCTTCCTCAGCACCATCGACCGGCCCGACATGTCTAGTTCCTGATGCTATCCGATAATAATTCTTACGGTGGAGTCCCGGGAGCTGTGTTGCTCCGTAACTGGCTGGCTTATTTACTACATTGTACGTAGACCACGCTACGATACCCCTTTACGATATACAAGCTCGATTCATGCATGGACAGGTATTGTATTATATGCAGTAGCGTATTATATATTCCTTATTTTCTTGCTTCTGCCACGTTCCATCCTCTAAGGAGGTCAGCAGATCTGCTCTCTCATGCAGTTGGTTCCTTTCTATATCACCGTACATCACATACGAAAACATATAATTTGCTTTCTTGCCCCCAATCTTCCCCCTAACGACAAACATGCCATGATAGCTGTTATGCAGTTGGTACCGGGTCGCATCTGATGATATCGCCTCTCGTTGTGGTGAGGCGGACGGAGTGAAGCGAGCGAACGGGCGGGTAAAGGGAGGCCGTTCCGGCCGCCGGCTCAATGCCCCTTTCTTCTACTCCCTCCCCCCCTGAGCTCTTCGAATTCCTCTCGGTTTTTACGCAACGTGTACATTTAGAGCTGCCATTTACAAGACGAGCCATCGAGCGAAGTTCCACAACCTACAAGCAGTTGCTTTTCACGATCACTAGTCTCCTACAATACCGGCACTGGGGGCTAGCTCGCTCCCCCCCCTTTTCTGTCATTTACACGATAGATTTTCGGCAATCCTGCATTCTTGACCAACAGTGTCAACGGGCCTCCGCACTTTCTTGATCCAATTCGACTCGCAGCATGAGAGTAACAAAACCAGCCGATCCCTGCACGTTTGGACTGGGCTTGTCGACTAGGTTTTTGCTACTAACAAACAACTGCGTTGTATAAACCACAAGGGGCTTATACAAACTACGAGACGCCATACGTTATACGAATTAATCGATACTACATATAGTATTATGACCATTATGGACAGAGTCATCACGTGTTTCTAACCTACAAATTGACTAGTTCTTTAAGCCATCACCGTTATCTCTTAAATAAATATATGAGGCTTGATCTACGTACCTAACATAATGACCCCTTCCAACGGCACCTCCCGCCCCTCCTCGTCCAACATGCTGTGCCCCTTGAATACTTAGCAAAAGCCGTCACCTGAGCGGCCTAACACTAACTAAACTACGTATTTCCACTTACACAAAGACGAGGTTAGTTTGAGAGGGGACACTCTCTAATCACATGCATATCGCATAGCAATGATGATAGTCGCCGGCCTTCGATATGATATGTAAAATTCGGTCGGGCCATGATTATTATTTCGCCTCGAGCGCTTGTCCAAGGTAGGCAGGTCCGAGGCTGCAACGATGACGTTACGCAAAATGAGATAAATAAAACCAACATCTGCCCGAGGGAGCGAGGGAAACACAAACTTCGTATCTTCGACATCGAATAATTCCGACGTGAGTGGCCGAGGCAGCGGGCTAGCGCTAAAAGAGACAACGGTGGGCAATTACTTTATTCGTTGACAGCAGCATTCCCATCTTGATGCAAGTTCGTATAGTTATTGTACAGGATGACATGAACAAAGGAAAATATGGTCGGCGGCGTAGAGCGCGCGAAGGGGGCGAGAGTGAATATACAGGGTGAGGACACTTCGTTCCTAGCTCCGACCTTCTCTCCCTTTGCACTTTCCACGATGCCGTAGCCGACTATAGAGACGGCCTAATCTTCCTGTTAGGGGCATATAGTCACCTCTATCAGTGTCTAGTAAGAGAGTCCGACCTCGGACCTTTCGTCCCTTCGTCCCTTCGTATTACCCACTATGTTTCCTCGAATGCAAGAACGACACCCACCCCGTCTATAACGTCCCCCACCCCCCATCCATGCGTAATACAGAGGTATCTTAGTTAATCATTCTCTCGAGAAGCTGTCTTAGTGATGCTCGGCGTGAGAGCCGCCGTGGTACCCAATTATCTTGAAGCGGCCGATCATCTCGCCGACGGTGAAGAAGCCAATGCATTCCGCAACCAGAACGCCGGTAGTAACGAGCTGAGCTCTGCTAATATTTCTCGCTTGCTGGATGATAGTGGCGGGCTGATCTGCAATCTTGGATGCCGTCTGAAGCAGAGAATTCGGGTTCTTCACGGACTGCAACACGTTCTGCCAGTAGCTTTGGACAGTAGTAAGAGAACTACGAATATCTTGTTAGACCCATGAGCAATAACCTGTAAGTATACCTCGAACTCACGGTGGTGACATCTTTTGGCCTCTGAAGACGATCTTGGCGAGTTCCGAGCCGACCTTGGAGTAGTAGACAACCGTAGGTACTGATCCTGCAAGCCCAAAACATCAGTCGCTATCCAAACAAAGACGCATACGTCCCTCCTAAGTGACCCGTAATGCTATCACATGTTTCCACGTACTCTCAAAAAATGCGACTAGTCTTCCGGTGCGACCACCGACTTTGCCCAGCGAGTTCGCAATCCCCTTGGCGGCGCCTGCAATGGCCGGACCAGCCGTCGAGGTGACCCTCGAGAGACCCTGCGCTGCCTTAGCCGAGTACTCGGTTGCCTTCGCTGTATATTCGGACGCCTTTGCCGCATACTGAGCGGCAGTCTGGGAAGCTTTCGAGGAGGCTTTCGATGCGGTCTCCTTAGCGGTCTCCTTAGCCGCCTCGGAAGCCTTAGCGGTAGTGGTCGACTCGAACCTTCGGGCTGCCATGCGACCCCAAGCTCCTGTTTGCCGAAGCAGGGGACGTGCGAGAGCGGACGACATTGCTAGACTCGGGTATTCGGGCTACTCTGAGACGTACGAATAAGAGGCCTAGGTCGTGTCGATTGACCGGGGAATTAAATGGAGGGTGGCGGAGGGAAGGGGTGAGAGTTCGCAAGGGTCGTCGTCGATGGGGAAGTTGTTTCTCGCACTGGAAAAAAAACACTCAAAAGATAAAAGATTCTAAATCGGCTGTTCGAAAATGTACCCCCGGCGGAAAAACCCGATCCGAGCTTGGACCTCAAGGTTAAAAACCTAGGTAGGTACAACGGTACCCGTGGGTCTTTGGATCTTGAGCAATTGACCAATCAGATTGCTAGTAGGTAAGGAAAATTCTAGATTAGTAATAGTTAAAGGGCCCCTTCTTAGTTCACTTATTCTATTCATCCCATGTCTTCTTTACCTTTCATCTTTTAGACTCTATGGCTTCATTTTTATCTTTATCTTTATCTTAATCTTATACTCATTTTCCGAAATTATGTTAATTTTCAAATTGGATCCCTAATATCATAACAGCTGGCTTAATTTATAGTCTTTCTTATGCTTTATTTCCGTATCATTCATTACCTTAAGAATATACCTATATTCCCAAAAACTCACTTGATCTTGGCCCTAGCCTTATTCTATATGCAATGGCCTGCCTCCATCCCTGTCGCACACTCGCTTGTGGGTATAGCGGAACCCAAGCTAATCAAGGCTTTGAATCTGGACTTTAATGGCTCCCGTTTTGGGGTCCGCTGCCGTGTTGAAGGCGTCGAGAGCGTCTTCAAGCTTGAATCGATGAGTAACAAGCTTTGAGAGGTCTACTACACCATTCTCGACCAAGCGAATAGCTCGAGGCCACGTGTTGCAATATCGGTATTGGAACTCTACGTCAACTTCTCGAGTGCTGGCCCGCATGAAGGGGAAGTTGATTTCGTTCTTTCCAACACCGGTGATGAATACCTTGCCTCCGAATTTAACAGCCCAGACGGCCGATGCTATACTGCTCTCCACCCCAGTGCACTCTATAGCCAGAGACGGTTCGATGCCACCGAAAGATTCTATTATCTTCTTCGCCGAATCTTCGGCACTCGCCCTCTCTACTTTGTGCGTTATGACTGACGGGCAGATATCCTTGGCGAATCTCAGTCGTCCCTCATCAATGTCGGTGATGACTAGAGGGCAAGCTCCAGCAGCTTGACAGCAGAGTAATGTGATCAATCCGATCGGCCCAGCGCCGCAAACCAATACCGGGTCACCAAGGTTAACACCGGCTCTTTGCATACCAGCTAGTGCGACGCTGAGAGGCTCCAACATCGCTCCGTTCTCGTATGACATATTTCCAATCTTGTGACACCAAATAGCTGGGTGATTTACGTATCTCCTTAATAGGCCCGGAACTGGAGGTGTCGATAGGAATAGGACCTTCTCGCAACCGTTGTAACGGCCCGTTAGGCAAGGCTCACATTCGTTGCAAATGATGTTCGGTTCTATCGCGACTCGATCTCCAACTTTTAGGTGTGTCACCGACGGATGCACCGCGATAACCTGGCCAGCAGATTCGTGTCCCAGGATATGATCCCCCTCCACAATCATAGGTCCGATGCATCCTGCGTGCCAGAAGTGAACGTCGGAGCTGCGTAACGATTAGCAAGACAGTCTTACTTGTCTTATACAAAGGCTACTGACCCACATATCCCGGTGCTCTTGATAGCAACAGTGACTTCACCGTGTTTCAAGCTCTCTCCCTTCTGCACATCCTCTACTGTTGGTTCTGCCTCGTTGATCCATAGCTTGTGGGCGGGATTCGTGAAGACGGCAATGTTTGCCTTGGAAGGCTTCACGACAGTCTCAACTGTAGTCGAGCTCATTTTGACAGCTCCGAGAAGAAAATGAAGCAAGACAAATGACAACCACGAACAGAGAGAGAGAGAGAGAGAGAGAGAGAGAGAGAGAGAGAGAGAGAGAGAGAGAAGGTTCAAAGAGAGTTTCAAACTACCAGGAGGGGGAGCTCAAAGGAGGGGCCTACCCGTTATTATGTTCCCCGACACCTTCGCTTCCGTTCTCCAGTATTTTGTCGAATTTTAAACTGTTGACCCGAAACTGGCTGATCTAAGACGATGTCGGATAAGTCTTCACCTAGCTCGTGGTCTAATACGGCCACCAAGCCGTGGCCCTACATGGATCGGGAACTATATCGGCATCGGGACTATATATCATCGTCGCTTACACGTATAAAATCCCAGTAGGTCAATGGTATTGTGAATGTTTTGTGCTCTGTCTGCATGAGGGGGGTGTAGGGTGCTCAATTGGGGCTAGCAATACGATGACGTTCGGTTGCTATACGTCCGATTAAAAATGGGGGATATGGGGACGGACAAGTTTGTCTTCTTTACCGCACCAATTATTCTTATCGCACAGCACATCGTCAAGGTCTCATCCCCGCAAAATCTCTATCATGTGGTGGGCAGTACAGTAGCGCACCTTCACGATGGGTAACTACCTACCTAGCTTCGGATGTCGGCCGCAGGAACAATTCTATTAGTTCTGCTAGTTAGATGGACTTTTTTTTCTTCTTTTTTTCTATGTACGTGCGCCATGTAACAACCATCCGAGGCAATATCGTGACTTTCAGTGTCCACCATCAGCTAGCCTGTCAAATTTACCTATGAGTAGGTTAGATGTTTCCACGTTTCCATGTTTCCGCGTCTTATCTTTACGCAACCAGGTATCGAGCAGACCCTACATGTCGTTCTGGCGCGTACAGCCCGGCGAATGGGAAATGTTATATACCTAACGTGCACATAGATCTAGAATCCAATGAGTTCGTCTAGATACATCTAGCATGGAGCATGAAGCATGGATCTGCGATCGCTTTGCATATATGCAATTACATAGGACCCCCGTATTTTTAGTAGCGAGCCATTCATCTGATGCGAAATCCTCCCAGGGGCAGTGTGAGATTAGTATACTAGAATCCTTTAAGGAATCAAGTTAATATTCCCAAGATGGTACCTAAGCTACCTAGCGGTACATATGTATGTCAGTGGCAAAGAGGTACCTATGTTATCTGTTTTATGGTGTTACTACACCAGCCACATTTCTGCACCTAAGAGGGGCGATATAATTTGTCATCAATTAGGACGCAATATTGGCAGATTGGGTCGCACTTTATTATATTGCATTCTACCCAAATCTTCAACTTGACTTATCTCAACTACCTTACTAACCTAATCCACTACACCTACACCTACACCTATTTCTTCTCAATAAATATATAACTATTGCCCATCGCCTTATATATATCATCTTTCTAGATTTGGCTAGTTCGCAATCCCCTATTTTAAAAATGAATAACGACGAATCTAAAAGTGGCGTTGGCTATCTAGCTCGCCTTGAACATTTTCATCAGCTTGATAAAGAGAGGGAGGATATGATTAAAGATTTAATAGCTAAATACGACGATCTCGAGCAGCGCTTCGAGTCGAAATGTAAAGAATTTGATAATGAGGTCCAAACACGTTCTATATACCAGTCTCGAGCCAATGATGCTACCACAAAGCTCACTGATATTCGACATAAAATGGTAAAGCATACTACCTAGGCCCCTGCATAGCCTATGATATCAAATGTACTAAAGTTTCTAGGATGTTAATTCTTTTGCTATTGCTATTATAGATGGCGACGGTGCTGTTTTTCGTGACGATTGGATTAGGAAGGGTGAAGACGGCGGCGCGATGGCCGCCCATCAATTGCGCGACGACATTAAGAAACATCTTAAAGAAGCTCATCCTGACGTTAACATCGAAACGTGGCATATAATGGTTCAGGTCGTTCTTAACCTCGAGGGCCTCTCCAGAAAGCTCTTTTGCGTTGACCTTGCGAAGAGCATGAGCGAGTTATCCGCCTTCGCTCGTGGATTTAGTCGTGCTCAGGGGCTTTTTTCTTTTATTGACGTCGGAAAGGGCAAGGAGCAGGCTGATTTTAAAGTCCGCGAAACGCTGCGCTTGATGGTACATAATCTTCAGTGCAAACATATTATCTTTGGGCCTTGCCACGACAAAGGTTATATCGTCGAACTCAGGCCCTACCAGCTTGAGACGTCTATTCTTAACAAGATCACTTTACTTGAAACTACCCAGCCCCCGCGCGAATTTGGCGAGCTGGCGTTCCGCAGAGTCAAGTTTAACGATGTATTTCGCTCTGAACTCCTTCCGGAAGGCTGGCTTCCGCCGACTCCTCCACCGTCGACAAGCAAACCAGCCCCCATAACACCATCATCAGTAAACAAGGCAATCAATTATTCTACCACCGCTTCTTCCTGGACTAGCACGCTTCCGTTTGTCAATAGTTTCAAAAAGCCTGTGGCTACGCCGGTGAAATCAACGAAGGCATCTCCCCGCAAATTTTATTTCGTCAATGCCTCGGGTCAGCGTGTCGATGGGCCCCTACCGCAAGCCGATCCCTACTCCGAACAGCGTTTCAAAGACCGTTGCGAAGAAGAAGGAAGCAGGAAGCCCTGTAACAGATACCACCTGCATGGTATTTGCGAGGAAAATGCATGCTTGTATTACCACGGGAAGCCTCTTAGCCCGGGTGAGCAACTCATCTTACGAATCAAAGCCAGAGGCTCTCTATGCAATTACAAGAGCGCTTGTAAGAGCATTGATTGCTATTGGGGCCATAATTGCAAGTTCCAGAAGTGCCAAAAACTTAATTGCGCCTTTGTTAACACTCATGGGATAGACCTGGTAAGTTACCTTTATTTACCCGTTCCTTAGTTAGGTATCATCGTAACGAGAGTTATTCTTCTATACCTACCAGACAACTTATCATTCTCGGAGGATCTAAAAGGTCAATTCTGGCGCATGCTACCTGTCTTCTCTGGTGTCTATGATTATTTACTTCATGGCCCTTTAAGTTTTCCTACATAGAATTCGCTGACGTGAAAATAGACTCCAGCGGAGAAAGTTTACGAAGACGGCTCACGAGAGGTCTTGTCTCCCTAAAAAAACATGGTAAGCTGGTATATAGGACTTGCGCAAAATCGTAGTCTATGTTGTTACGAGCGCATCTAAGTATAATTCTTTTTTAAATCACGTAAGATACATGAGGAGAGGCAATATATAAGTATGTATGTTTTTTATTATGAGAGGGAGCTATGTATAGATCGTGGTATTATGTTACGGTTCACAGTGTTTGTTAAACTTATAACACAAGACTTCTAGGGCTAATTAATAACCCTAACCCATCAAATGTCATCACTTCTTTGGTTTGCGCTCCTTGTTTGGTGTACCCGGAAAGATGAACATATATGTTCGATACAGGGCTGTGAGTACCGCATAATGTTCATAGACACCTAGCAGTCGGAAAAATAAGGTGCTATTTTCCTTCTCTGGTGTATCTTCCTTTGGTTTATTTTCCTTCTTTGGTGTCATTGTTTCAACTTACAGTTATGTGGTTTTGTGTAGGTTCAGATGTACGGTGGTTGAAGTTGTCAGTATGGGTAGGTAGGTAATTTGGTATACTCTATTGGAAACAAGGAAAGTTTGTTTTAAAGGCAAATGCTGTAAATTCATGCTAGATAGCAACAGCCCCTCTGTTCCTCAAATGCAGAATTGTGTTGAATCAATCGAATAGTTCATCTTTGACTATGACAATGTCTTGTGTCATCAAAGAATAAATGTCTTTGATCACGGATATGAATCGCCAAAATCGCCAATAATACAAGACGATAGTATCAAATCAGCAATACTTTTAGGTAACAGTGCCATTGAAGTTACAATTTCATCTCTTAAAGTATTAAAACAATACACTTCTCGGATATCAGTTAGTTGTAAATGAACGTATTTACACATTGTGTTGGCAAACCACGGTATATAAACATTGCTTCCTGCTCAAGCTTCTTCTCGTTTTTTTTTACCATCATCACACAATTCATCATTCTATGAGAACTCAAGTATCTTCCGAACTTTTATCATCTAAGGCAACATCAAGAAACACTTACAACACTTTATTAATTTAAGCTTCCTTTGATTACCCCCTACTACCAAGTAAACTAAATCAAAATGGCTTCTGGAAACACAGATAAGCTTAGCCTCCGCTCCCACGATGGCAATGTTGTTCAAATTAGCCGCACGGCTGCCCGTTTATCTGAGGTCCTTTCGGACATGATGAACGATGTCGGCGAGGAGGGTACCACTGAAGTCCCTATCTCCGTAGTTAGCTCACCGACCTTGAATATCGTCGTTGAATGGTGCGAGGCCACGGCCGTAAAGAAAGCTCAGGAAGAGGCGAGAAATGAAGCAGAGAGGATTGCAAAAGAGAATCGTCGAAATGCGCGAAAGGAGGCCCGAGAAGCACGTGAAGCGGATCGATTGCAGCGCGAGGCCCAAGGTGAGGAGGTCGGACCCCCGGAGCCAGCCAACGATGACTCGGAGAGCGACCATGAACCCATCGTGTCCACTGTCTATGAAAAGCCCGCCACCGTGATTCCCGCATGGGACAAGGCGTTCCTAGGTAGGCTCACTAAAGACCAGCTGTTCGACCTAATCGTAGCCGCGAACTTCTTCGATATCAATGGGCTCTTCGACTACTGCGCCAAGTCGATTGCGACGACCGTCGAGGAAATGTCGACTGAGCAGATGCGTGAGTACTTCGGAGTTGAAAACGACTTTACCCCGGAGGAAGAGGAACAGCTTCGTAGGGACCATGGATGGGCTGACCCTGACCCGAGTTACTATAACTAACTTTTCTACTCGCGTATAGGGATGAAAGACGAACCAATCAGCATATTCACTATGCCTTAAAGATCGGCTAGTCTAGTTTGATTACGTGTATTATTAGTATAAAATAGTAAAATAGAAAAAAAGGGGTTCCTTAATTTATTGTACTACTTGTTATGAAAGTGTGAATTGTCTTCTATGTTTTTCTTTCTCGGTGCTTGGATGCCGTAGAAAACGGGACTTATATACTCAAGGAGTCTGTTACGTGACCTAGAACTTCAGAGGTCAACTAAACGAAAATATGAAGAAAACGAGAAAGGAAAAACAAAAAGGAAAACATACAACACCGGGGATTCGCTGGTCGTCACCGACCCAACTACTAGTCCGGCGGTATCGGGTTTATCGCGGGGAGAGCGGACGGGATCCCGAGTATTCCAGATCCTATGGTCGTATGTGACAATTGTAGTTGTTCTTTCAATATATATATCGGCAGTCATTGCCAAGTGAGGGGGCTAAAGGGCCCATCCATTTAGCTACCTACCTCAGCCAGCTAAGTACCTAAAATAAGCCTAACATATATTCACTAGGTGGAACTGGAAGGCTTAGTAGCAACTTCCTTGTTCCGTAGGGAATTTTGAACCTGACCACGGCAGTTTGTGGTTAGGTAGTTACCTATGAGGTATGTTAAAAGTAACCTTCCGGGTGTCTCAACTAGAACCCTAGTACAACTCTTAACTAATTTAAAAGATTAGGAGGCCTAACTGACAAACCAGCCTAGAAATATGGTAAACTTTCTCTCTAAAGTAACTAGGTTAAAGAGACTTTTCTTTAAAAGGGGGTTGGTCGGGATTAGAGTAAGCTTTTAATAGTTAATGTAGTTGATTAGTTCTGAAGTAACACTAGACTATAGTAATGCAACTAAGATGATAAATGCTATACTCATATTTGCATATGGTTCTAAGTGATACAAGTTATTAAATCAAGAGTTTATTAATCATTAAAGCTACGTAACTAGGTTAACAACTTGTTTTCGTTCGTATCTTCAAAAAATAGGGATCGTCCAATCTTTAAGGGCTGCTTAGCTAAGCCTCAAGTTCAAGCCACAACATTCCGTGATCTTGTCCACAACCCGCTCGATAACATCGTTTATTTAAATATTTTGAGTCTTTCAGTCTTTTGTTCAAGTTTCAAATCCCTGCTATATGCTATTCATCTTTTTGAATGAATGTCATCTCTGCGATGTTAAGCTGCGGGATACTTCGTATTATGTAGCGCCAAGTAAAAACCTACTACAGGCTACATCTTGGGGTTCAACGTTCACTTTAATGCCTTTCTAGGTCTCAAATCGAAGACATGGCCCAGACTTCCTATGTCGCGATGTCTAAAAGGCCTATAACTCAAGAAGATATAGAATATTGGGCCAGAGATAACCCCAACCGCCCTGGGACTAGACCCGAAATTAGAATCCAAAGCATTTGCCAATCGCTTGCGCCCGTCGCGCTACGAATAACTTGGGCAGAAGAAGTTATTGCCGCCGGCTTAGACGTTAACCAGCTGCTCCCTCATTCAAGTCGGCCTTTGCAAGAAGCGATTGAGAACCCTCAAAACCGCGACTGGCGCACCATGACTACGCTGGATCATTACGAAAGCCTTGATCTAGTGAAGTGGCTGTTGGACCATGGTGCCGACCCTCGGCTGAGGGATTGGGTTGCCGTTAGTGCGATAGATGAAGCGTTGAGAGACCCCTTTGCTTTAAAGGCTTAACAGCTAAGCTTCGTAACAGATAAAGAGGTAGCCGAGATGACCATCTTGGCCCGCTGTAAAGACTTGTTTGGTGCGGGCAAGTACTTCCACGACCACTGGTGTGTTCTTTGTAGGCGCGGATATCTGGGGCATAAGAAAGGTGAGCAAAAAAGGGACTGTGAATATTGCAAGGAAGAAAAGGAGTTTAACTGGCACTATAGGCGCACTGATGCATGAATGGTATATTAGAGATATAGATAAACCCTGAAAATCGGTTAGAAGGAAGTAGAGAGCAACTTGCTGTATCATTTGCACACCTTGTATTCATACATAAAGGCTACTTGCTGCTTGAATTTGTACCTCTCCTACTAATGTGTATCTAAGTCTTCAACCCGATCCCTACTCTAGGAATAATGACCTAACGCCTATGCAACTATAGAAATACCAAAAGGCTGTGTAAGTCATGTGTTACAGCATACTACTCTTCCCCTCCAAATCTGGCAGATGCATCCACCAACGTTTCTAACAGTCGAGCTTTGGGATAAGGCGCCTCATCTTTTAATACTACCAGACTGCCTCCGTATAATGTATTCTGGAAGTGCTGCTTTGCCCTAAAGTATCGTCGCTGACGGACGCGGCAGTACTCGTCATACTGTCCCTCACCAATGGTCGCCAAGACATATTTGGGGTGTACACCAAGCGCTTGGGCCCCCTTCTGGCCAAACCCGAAGCTCGTCACGCTGAACGCGTTTACCTCGTCAACCTTGATAGCTCGATCGGGAAACACGAGGTTCTCCCAGGGCTCAAGCGCGACGTCGATGTTGTCTGCGTTCCTGTTGCCCGGAACAGCCCCCGCGTCGAGAATCTGGCAACACCCGTTGAGCATCCAGGCCGCTGCGGCACCTTTAGGATGTCCGGTCAGATATTTCTGGCACACGGCTAGGGCCGCGTTGCCGGGCGTGCGGCCAAGATGGCTGAGTTGCCGGTGGAGCACTTCCACTTCGTTCTTCTCGTTGAGATCGGTCGAGGTGCCGTGGAGAGATACGACGCCAATGTCGTCGGCGGTCAGGTTCCAGACGGCTAGAGCTCCGCGCAAGGGTGAAATACGCGTGTCATGCGTCCAGAAGGCGTTGCCAAATCTGCGTCGAGCCTCCCTCTCCTCGCGCCGAGCAGCCAGCTCGAGTTCGTCAACCGGGCTACCGGATCCCGCCAAAGGGCCGAAAAGCTCCTGACGCTCGCGGATTGACTTTAGGGAGTGCTCCAGCAGCCGTCTCCTATAGTCGATGTCTAGGAGTGGGGATGGGCCGAGGCTACGGCTTTCACGGACGTTGACCATGATGCCTTTTCCAGGGGCAGGAACCGAGCGACCGACGCCATCGCTGGCTGTTTGAACGTGCGCAACGATAGATCGGATGGGCAAGCCTAACTCTAGGGCTACCTTGGCGTTGGTAAGTAACTGCATGCCGCACCCTTCTGATTCGACAAATCCCTTCCGGGACGAGGCACACGGGCGAGATGTCTCATGTGGCGCGCGGCCGCGCTCAATGTCAGCCATACTGTTGTTTGTCGCTTTCATATTGGCAAATTCTGCCGACGTATCCTGCGTCATATCGTCGAAACCTCCTACCAGGCATATCTTCGCAGCGCCGCTTGTAATAAGATCGTATCCTTGGTTGAGGGACTCGAGCGCTGTCGCGCAGGCACCGACAGGCGTTCTTGTCGGGCCCGCCGACGACATGAGGAGCATATTCAGCCATGCGCCCGTCGTGTTGATGAACACCTCGGCTAGGATATCGCTTTGCACCGGCCGGTCAAGATACCCCTGGCGGTAGAGCTTCTGTAGGGATTGGCCGCCGCCCATGCCTGATCCCACACAGTTCGCAAGCTCCGAGACGTGGATCGTTTTGTATAATTCATATACGTCTGTGATTCCTGCCGAGAGGAAGGTCGCGGCGGCGCATACAAGTGCCATCTGCGTGCATCGATCCACGCTCTCGCAGAGATCCTGCGGGAGTCCGTATACCGTCGGGTCCCATCCAGTTGGGAGTTGGCCACCGACGATCCGGTCGAAGACTCTTGCCTTGGGGATCATTAGAGTAGCGCCTTTCCTGAAGCACACGGAGAACTGGTCGCTCTTGGATATCTGCTTGATCTCGACCTTGTCGCCCTGTTCCCGTACAAACTCCATGGCCGTGTCGAACGACGCGGTGAAGGGCTCCAGGTCGTGCTGGACAATCACCTCCTGGAGAAACTGCTTGCTGTCCCGATTAGGGTGGTCTAGAGGGCTCGGCTCAATAAGGCGAAGTCCTGTATGCTCCAGAATCTGCTTCTCGTACTTTGCCTTTACTTCGTGGTCGTGCACAGGTGTACCGGTAGCTACATCGAGCCATGCTGCTGCTGCGCCGTCTGTTGGAGGAGCTGGCTTGGGATTATGCTTGATAAGTCCTGTCATCCAGGCCAGTTCAATACAGCCTTGGATTGACAGCTCTCCTTTGAGCTCCATCTCCCATCTTGTCCGGGAGTTTCCCCAGGGTCCAATTTCGGCGAAGCCGACCACAACTACGACCGACTCTAGGTCGACCATGTTATCTAGCTTGGAGTTTAGGGGCTTCAACTTGGTCGTGTAGTCAGGCAGTGTTGGAAACTCTAGGTCAAGGTCAACTAGAGGTGGTTTGGGTATCGTCGAATTCGATTGCGACGTCGCGGTGGGTTTGCCTCGCGTAGCAACCTCGTCAAGGGCTTCCTCTTCAGCTAGGGCCCGCTTGATCTCCTCGTTTTGACGCATCGAATTCCTTATTCCCGCAATGAATGCTGCTAGCTCGGGATCGCTACCCATGCCTCCGCTCAGGTCTGCTAAGAGACATTCGGTCTGGCAGATTGATACTACGGGATCCGACATGAGTCCTATTATAAGTCTTCCCATCTCTTCCGTCGAGAAGGTGGCCACGCCGCGTTTAGCAATCTCCTCTGCAATTGCGTCGTTAGCTGCCATCAGGCCTGTGCCTCGAGTCCAGCCAATGATCACGCCACAGAGACATAGATAATCGCTCCAGCTCTCAGAAGACCACTTATTCAATAATGTCATTAGTCCAATCTTGGATTCGGAGTATAGCCCGTCATTCCCGAACGTGCCGTGGTTGGGAGAAAGGGGTAACAAGACCTGCGCCGGCCTTGTACGAGAGCCTTTCGACTCCTTTGCGAGCTTAACGGCGCCCATGATCCTCAATACGTTCGTCAGCATAGCTCTATGCGCAAGCTCCGACTTGGAATCGATATTGTCGATCTCACGGCCCTTTTCAGGCAGTGCCGCAAACGGGATAATGAAATCGAGATCCCATCCAAGACCGTTGACTGGGTCATAGATGTGAGCGACTAGATTCTCTATATCTTGCTTACTTCCCTGGTTACACGGGAGAACGACGAGCTTGGATCCGTTGGCCCCGTGGCTCGCAAATATCTTCTGATAAATGGGGCCCGCCTCGGGCATGGCCCTGCTGGTTGTGACTAAAACCCTGGCTCCTCCCTGGAGAAGCGATTGGAGAAGAACTATGCCGATCGAATTTGGACCCGCGCCTGTCAGGAGGACGTCTTTTCCGGCAAACATTTTCGTCGCGACTTTGTCGTCTGTGCTCATGAGGGTCGTTAGTTGTTGGTCCGGAGTCCACTCAGCCCCCTTTCTCCTGAGTATATGAGGGGACTTTGTTCCTTTGGCTTCCGGTTCTGGTTGCTTCTTCGGAGTTGAGAGTGAAACGCCTTGGTAGATCTCTTGCGGGTTGTCTTTTATAGGCTTTGTCTCCTTAGGATCAAGCTTGTTAAGCATCGTTTTGATTCCTTCGACCCCGCTGTCTTTCGAGGATACCTTGCTAAGCAAGTACTGCCTGGCCCTCTCGAGTCTGCTGCTAGCCCTACTTCTAAGGCTAGCTATAGCTGATTCAAGACCATTCTGGTTCTCACTGTCCTCTAAGAGCTTATAGTACTCGTCGAGTAGATCGACGTGGCCCCAATTCCAGACAGAGTCATATGATCGCTGATGATCAGCTTTGAAGATCGGCTTGATACCGTTGCAGAAGTCCTCGCCCAGTTCTTTTTCGTACATATCGATTTTATCCTGTGTCTCTACGGAATCATCGATAGCTCCGGACGATGTCGCGGATTCGTCGTCATCGGAAAGAAGGGCGGCAATCTTTTTCTTTAATTGTGAGTGCTCATCGCGCAGCTGCTGTACTACTTTGGAATCAAGCATGGTCTGTTGCGGGCTGGCTGCAGCCGTGCTCCCTTGTCTAGATAGGCCTGCACTGTCTAGGTGCCCTTGGGCGATGGCGTCGAAGAATGCCTCAGCCTCCTCGTTCTTCTTTAATCTAGCTGCTGGCTGTTGTCCAAGCGCTAGTAAGAGAACCGAGTCTTGTCTTCCGGAGGCGAGGCCCCATTTGTCATTCAGGTAGGACTTGGCAGAGATCAAGTCGAACGAGCCAGGCATTTTCGATCCAACCATCTTCTCAACTCGGGTGCGTAAACACTTCTTCAACTTTCCGTCGTATGTGCCTTGGATTGTTGCAGCAAGTTCCTTAAGGGGTATATTCTCAACGTCATCCGCCAACGGCCCAAATTCTTCTAACATGTCTCCTATTATCTCGTTCTGTACAATTGACCTCCCACCGGAAATTGCTTTAATGCTTTCCTCAAGCTTAATTTCTGAAGATGACTTTTTCAAACTGCTTGCGATAAGTGCCGTAACTGACTCTAACGCAGTAATTGGGACATCGGGGATTGGGCTATCTGCTTTTGTAGGGATAGATGTGCTCGCAGGAGGCGCCTCGGCAGTAGGTATATTCGGAGTTGATTCCGGATTACTCTGTGATACCGGCGTCTCTACCCTCTCCGGCTCTGGGGGTAGAGGTATATCGTAGCGGAGGTCGTCATAGTTGGCGCTAGTCGAGAGAAGAGACCGCTTGATCCCATTGACAGCGTCCGACTCGAGATTGAATTGGCCCAAAGTTTTCTTTGCCATATTTAATAGTGTCGGCGATGGACCAAACTCGACTAGTTTCTCAACATTGACTTTGTCAAAGAGTATACTTTGAGTTTCTGACCACCGGACAGGCATCGCAAATTGATATCTATTATCTCTTATGTCAAAATCTGTCGCTAATACAGGTCGATTTGGTTAAGAGAAACTTACGCCAATAACTCCGTGAGGAGCACATGAGCAAGCTCTCGCTCATGTTGTTGGTGTGTCATCTTGACGAACTTCACTATTGAGCTTGTCGGCAGCACTCTATAATGTTCAACTCGAGCGTGATTCTCAT